GCCCAAGAATACTCCTTCTGTCGCTTTGGCTGTGAATTTTCCTCTTCGGTTTTTGTTCATCACAAACGCTCTATTTCCGAATACTGTAGGTGATTTCCTGATGGTGTTCGTTGTACCCATTTCTCATATGGGGAATTGCCTTTGAGAGTCTTATCGGGCTGGGGCTTTCTATTATTAAAATAGTGTGCAGTGTTTACTGCTTCTGCCCAAATTTTTGCCAGGGAATATTGCATCATATCATCAGCATCTAGCTTTATCCATCAGCAGATCCGATTTTTTCTTTCACTCATTGCGTTTTGCTGGGGGTATAAGGTGCAAGATAGTCTTACGGCTATATACCGTTATCTTTGAGGAATTATTTATCAAACGCTTTAGACCTGTATTCGCCTCCATTATCAGTTTGTAGATTTTGAATTTTCTTCTTATGAAACAGTTCAACATAGTTTTTATATTCCTTGAATTTATCGATTACTTCGCTCTTTTCTTTTAAGAATATACAGCAGTATCTGTATAATCGTCAATAAATGTTACGAAATACTTTGATCCGGCCATTGATTCGTTCTCAAATGGGCCACACACGTCACTGTGAATTATCTGGAGCACTTCGGTAGAGATTATTTGTCCATGGCTTTGGAATGGTAGAGTGGAAAATTTTCCTTTGATACAAGTCTCAAGGTACCAAGTTTTTTCTTCTAAAGTCGAGTCCTCGCCATTTTATTTTTAACCATTTCTTTTAGGCTCTTTCATTGATGTGACCTAATTTCTTGTGCCATTTCATAATTTCGCTTTCATCACTGGTGCGAAGTTTGCTGTCTCTTCCGGTTTATCAAATTCAAGATAGTATAATCCATTTCTTCTGTTAGCTTTTAATACAGTTTTCCCGCCTTTTATGACACTGGCTTGTTCTTTTTCAAATAGAACCTTATAGCCATGATCCGTAATTTTGCTTGCAGAAATTAGATTATTCGATAAATCAGGTACATATAATGTGTCAGAAAGACTAATTTTATAGCGTCGATCCTTTGTATAAAGTTCGGCTTTTCCTTTCCCTTTAACTTCGGTCGTATGTTTATCTGAAGCTAGCTTTAGAGTGTCAGTCGCGGGGATTAAATTAATGGAGTATACTTTTATCACCCGTCATATGTGACGTACAGCCACTGTCAAGACACCATAAATTGCCTTTACATTTCGGATGTTTCCTGTTGTTAACAGATGTTAAATGTCTTTTCTTGACCTATTTTATTGGGGTTATTGGGTTTCTTCTTTGACAACAAGCTTCTGTGGATCTTTCTTATTGCAATCCTACAAAATTGTACCTTTTTCTTACGTCTTTGTGTAGAAACTTCTGAAGCCTGAAGGTTCAGTATTTCGGTTTGCCTTACTTGCTTCGTATTTCTTTACGATTTTTATTTTTAATGTCAGGACTTGGTAGAACATCTCTCGACTCAATTGCCGTTCGGAAGCTATATCGTCGGCTTATTGCAAGAAGTCATTATGTGACATTTTCATTATTTTGGGAAAACGGCATTTTAGTTGGAATTAGTTAGTGGTTATGTTGATTAGCCCATATTTTCCTTAATACATTATTAAAGTGAGAAAAATTGAATGTTTTGGATTTGCTTAATATGTATATTAATTAAAACAAGTGAGAGTCGGTAGTCATATAAAATTATATATTATTTATAAATCAAAACTAAAAGTTAATGACTTCTGGCTACTGTAAGTCGGTTTGATATGTGAATTAATTATTTCTTAAATTAAAATAAAACAACAAAATACTTATCAAACCTTATTGAAACAAACAAAAACGAATAATTACATAACAATCAATAACAATTCTTTCATAACAGTTGACGTAAAAACTTGCAATAGCTAATATTGGCAAGTACTCACGACAACTTCGCAGTCTCAAGTTTTCAATAATAATTTATTTTATTTTATTGCTCAGATGGGTGTACGAGCTCACAGCCCGCCTGGTGTTAAGCCCAGTTAAGTTATGTGGAGCAACGTAAATGCGCCACCCACCTTGAGATATAAGTTTTAAGTTTTAAGTCGTCGTGGTCTAAACGATAAGACGTCCAGTGCATTCGTGTTGAGCGATGCACCGGTATTCGAATCTCAGGCGGGTACTAATTTTTCTAATGAAATTCGTACTCAACAAATCTTTACGATTGACTTCCACGGTGAAGGAATAACATCGTGTATAAAAATCAAACCCGCCGGTCTCAAGTATAGTTACAACGGCGGCTCCACCATTCAAGCCGAAACACATTACTGCTTCACGGCAGAAATAGGCGGGGTGGTGGTACCCACCCGTAAGGACTCACAAGAGGTCCTACCACCAGTAATTACGCAAATTATAATTTTGCCTGTTTGATTTTTATTACATGATGTTATTCCTTCATCGTGGAAGACGATCGTGAACATATTTGGTTAAGTACGTATTTCATCAGAAAAATTGATACCCGCCTGCGGGATTCGAACACCGGTGCATCGCTATATACGAATGCACCGGACGTCTTATCCTTTAGGCCTCGACGGCTTCAATAATAAACTAAAAATAATTTTCTTCTCCCTGTTAGTCAATGAATCAATCATGTATTTTTTAATGAAAATTAGGAACTGAGCTTAAACACCATACAAAAATATAAAACAAATAAAAAAACATCTAGGTAAAAAAATATATGTATCAAAGGTTTCTTCTTCATTAAGATAATTTGGACCTTCTTTATCAGGTATATTATTATACCAATGGCGTAGCTCTGCAGGCTAGGTCTTTAAAATTGGAAACGTAGTCATACCTAAATTGAACAATGTTAGGCCGGTTTTTCCAAACTTGAAGCATTTAACTTTCAACGACTGTAGCTTCTGTCCTACAATTGACTTATTAAGCATTAATTTGTTTCTCAACTCTTTTAGGTTCAAGATATCAAGGTGGCTCATTACATAAGTTCATACGGCTTCATTGCTGTTTTTTTCTTGTTTAGGTTTCTGTTCAATCTAGCCAATCTTAAAACATTACAGAGGTCTATCAGAGAAAAAATTAGCATAAGACGCATTTGATTCTCGATAGCACTATGCATAATATCGACCTCCATAATAATATGTGTGTGGCACAATTCTTAATACTTATGTTCAATCACCTCAAGGTGGATAATTTGAACTAAGTATAGCATTAAGCATAACAGAAACTGATTACGCTTTTGCATCAGCTCGTTGAGTTTCTCGCCGGATCTTCTTAGTGGGTCGTGATTCCGACCGGGTAGTAGATTTATTCGCGAAGCAGCTGCTCTTGAGTTGTTAGTTCTTCTTCGGAGGCGCTTGGACGGCTGTTAGCAAATCCCACCCCTCTTGGCTGAGCCTTTGCTACCCCACATCTCCTGGTGAAACTGGAAAGGCTTCCGGGCCACCAGTAACCCTTCAATTCTAAAAATATATAAAAAAAGGCTGGTGTTAATGTGAATGCCACCACCTATCTTGAGACCCGAAATCTAAATCTAAATTGTTCCATATAACGGCTGTTCCACGCTTCAAACCAAACCGCACGGCTGCTTCTCTTCGATGGTGGTACCAACTCGTACGGGCTTGCCCTACGCCATACCAACCATCCTATCAGTAAATACAAGTTGGCAATCGTAGTCCATTGGTATGATTCTCAGATAACGATGTTGCCCGTTCTCCAGTGTATCATTTAACGTCTTTTACAGGTGTGGAAAGAATGATACTNAGGAGAAGGTGTTGGAAGGTCGTGATGCTGTCCACGTATAATTGTCTATGATGCACTATATTTGAATTTGTATTATGTTCCTTTTACTTTTGATGTGCGGTGTCATTCTGAATTATATTTTCTCTTATACAAGTCAACACAATGTTTTCAAGTATTTAATTTACGTTTTAATTAATTGCTATAGCCGCTAGTCCACCCTATCAGTGGGCTGTGAGCTCGTCCACCGATCTAAGCAATAAAAATAAAATAAAAAATTGAGTCGTTTAGTGCGGTAAGACCCTAAAATTCCTTGGGCCCACAGTCTGCTCCCAACACCTTGCAGATCGTCAAGTCCCACATACCACGCGCGCACCTTAGGCGCGGGGACCTCGTAGGAGGTTCAGCCAGGCCCGAAAAAAAAAAGGCTTCGGTTAGTCACAGACTAATCTAAGGACAAGAATACATACAATAACTATTTCAAACATCAATTAGAATACTCTAAAGACAATTTTAATATGATTTTAAGCATTTTATAGATTATTATGGAAGCACATCATTTCTCGCTATTTATCCTATGGTTTGGATATTGTTTTTATAATGTTTATCCAAAGATCGCGTGGAAAGTCGTTCCTTTAAATCCAACGTTGCCGGTAGGTTCGTCTTGGAAGGTTATGTACATGCTGTAAGAAAATATAATTTTTGATTAATTCAAAAAAGATAATGAAAGGGATAATCGTACAATACAAATGCGTTTAATCAGATTTTGCTATGCGGATTCAGGTCCAAGAACTCCGACATGACAAACATGACATACATAAGTACATGTATGTATATATGGGCGCAAACGCCACTGTTGGCAATAATTAACATAATAATGTATAGTTTAGTTTATTCTATGTTAATATTTATTTATTATTAGCAACAAAACTGTTATTCTACCATATTTAATAATTAGCAGACACTGTTTTGACGTGAAAATGTTCAGAATATGTTTAATGTTTATATTATTGTTTAAAAACACAAATGACTGTATAAATGATTAAATATGAATAAAGCATAAATATTAATAATAGTTTATATTATAATTAACAGTACTAATAATTTAATTAAGTATTGTAATTGTTATGCAATGATGTTGTTGGCGCCATCTATTATTAGGCTGGATAATAACAATGTTAGTTAATATTACTTAAAAGTAATTCATGTAAAATAAATTAAATGTGAGTCATGTAAAATCACTAAAATATGTATTTTGAATATTAAGCTATGTCTTGTGAATTGTTTCACAGTAATTACATTTGTTTGTATAAAAGAAGTTGTAGTTGCTATAACCATCAATCAGAAAATGGCTAATTGTGTAAGAACCACTGAATAACTCAGGCGTGGCTTTTTGTTGTAAACAAGTAATGTTAAAGTTTTATAGAATTGTATTGTATTTTCATTGTAAAAGAACTTATGTGTGTAAATCCTAGCTTAACGCCGACATATACATATATGTTTTCGCCACTAAGGAGCCAAAAAGGATGAGCTAACTACAGATCTTATTATTACCATGCATAAAAATAATAGATTAAAAACTGTATAGTAGCAAACCATTTTTTAAAGTTAAAAAAAGTGATTAGGAAAAGCATTTTAACGAAAAAATGCGTGGGATAGTAGACGTCAATTATTGTAGCCCAAGAGCCCGCGACAGCCAGACCTTCGTTATTTTATAAAAGCTGAAAGTTTCTCTGTGTATGTCTCCAACACAGGTAAGAACGACCCGCGATTATAGAGTTTCGATTGTGGTTACTTGGGCAGGTAACAGGCAGTAAAGGTATATAAAATAGTACCTTAAATTCGTTAAAGTATAAAGGTTTTTTTTTTAAATATTTACTCCAGAATATCTTTAGAAATCACGATATCCGTTGCCGGACACTTTTTCCAGTTGTTACCCCCTGCCAGACACCCCTAAACTTTAATAAATTTTAATTATACTTTCGTTATACTATAAAAGCTAAATTTTATATATGTTACTTAGGGACTTATAAAAATATGTTACCCCAATAGCCGGACAGTTTTAATGGTTCTTACATCTTGCCAGACACATTGAGAGCCCGCTGTAGGTGCGAGCGCGAGGTAGCAACTGTTCAAGCGGGTGTGAGCGAGATAGAGTGCTTAGTCTATTGTGATCTTTTACTGCACATCAGCTGTCGTTTATAGGATTTATCCGTTCTAAGCAGTGATATCGAGGCGCTACTCGGCATGGGAAGCTCTGTCATTCTGGCGGGCGACCTAAATTGTAAACACATCAGGTGGAACTCACACACCACAACCCCTAATGGCAGGCGGCTCGACGCGTTAGTCGATGATCTCGCCTTCGATATCATCGCTCCGCTAACCCCGACTCACTACCCGCTAAATATCGCGCATCGCCCGGATATACTCGACATAGCGTTATTAAAAAACGTAACTCTGCGCTTACACTCGATCGAAGTAGTTTTAGAGTTAGATTCAGACCACCGCCCCGTCATTATGAAGCTCGGTCGCGCTCCCGATTCCGTTCCCGTCACGAGGACTGTGGTGGATTGGCACACGCTGGGCATTAGCCTGGCTGAATCTGATCCACCATCGCTCCCGTTTAGCCCGGACTCTACCCCGTCTCCTCAGGATACCGCTGAAGCCATAGACATCGTAACGTCACACATCACCTCGACATTAGATAGGTCATCGAAGCAAGTTGTGGCGGAGGACTTCCTTCACCGCTTCAAATTGCCCGACGATATTAGGGAACTCCTTAGAGCTAAGAACGCTTCGATCCGCGCCTACGATAGGTATCCTACAGTGGAAAATCGTACTCGAATGCGTGCCCTACAACGCGACGTAAAGTCTCGCATCGCCGAAGTCCGAGATGCCAGATGGTCTGATTTCTTAGAAGGACTCGCGCCCTCTCAAAGGTCTTACTACCGCTTAGCTCGTACTCTCAAATCGGATACGGTAGTAGCTATGCCCCCCCTCGTAGGCCCCTCAGGCCGACTCGATAGTTCAATATCGACGACAATGAGGAAAATTATAAGAACGATTAAATATTTTTCTTTGACATGTAATATTTTGTTTGTACTTTATAATATTAAAATAACCTTTTTTATTTTCTATAATATTGCTATGAACGTAATAAAATAATTTTTTTATTGGATATCTTAAAAGATCACAATAGACTAAGCACTCTATCTCGCTCACACCCGCTTGAACAGTTGCTACCTCGCGCTCGCACCTACAGCGGGCTCTCAATGTGTCTGGCAAGATGTAAGAACCATTAAAACTGTCCGGCTCTTGGGGTAACATATTTTTATAAGTCCCTAAGTAACATATATAAAATTTAGCTTTTATAGTATAACGAAAGTATAATTAAAATTTATTAAAGTTTAAGGGTGTCTGGCAGGGGGTAACAACTGGAAAAAGTGTCCGGCAACGGATATCATGATTTCTAAAGATATTCTGGACTAAATATTAAAAAAAAAACCTTTATACTTTAACGAATTTAAGGTACTATTTTATATACCTTTACTGCCTGTTACCTGCCCAAGTAACCACAATCGAAACTCTATAATCGCGGGTCGTTCTTACCTGTGTTGGAGACATACACAGAGAAACTTTCAGCTTTTATAAAATAACGAAGGTCTGGCTGTCGCGGGCTCTTGCTCTATTGTAAATATGTTATTTTAATGAAATATTGGTAGTACTCATAGTGGTCACTATAAAATCTTAAATCTAAAAACCACCTCACGATTTTTTTTGTCTTTAACTATGGTAATTTCATAGCAAGGAACAATCGCCGTTTTAGTGCACCATATGTGAAAACAGGTTATTAGGTCGATCTATGATTATTTCATAATCCGATCGGTTCCAGAGAAGGAACCTGAGAAACGGTTATCATATTCAAGAGATGCAGCAGCCGCATACGCGCCTCTGTACTTGGCATAAGACACTACCGTGTTTTAACCGTCCGTACAGTCTTTAAGCCTAAAAATCTCGATCAAGTTATAGTAACCGGCAAACTTCTTGAGCAAATGACCTTGACTGCGCAGAACCGAATTTTAGATCACTTTGGTGGTGAGGGTGAGGCGCGACGGCAGGGGAAATCGTATCGAGCGCGTTATTGGTAGATCAATCGAACCTTGCGCCCCGCACCGCGCCCTCGTTCCGCTTGCCCCCAAAAGTACGCTTGCGTACAGTGAAAAGTCTATCGTTATTAATCGTTAAGTTACTTGTTATAATTGCTTGTTGACTTTGTTGCCATTGCTATATGTTGAGTGTTTGTTGATTTTTTATAAAAAATACACTATGCCGCGACAAACTGGTGTAGTATTCAAAAGAAAGGGTAGAAAAATTGTGTACGACGTATATTGCTTCATTATAAAACAGGTGAATAATGATATGGAAAAAGTAAAACAGACTTCGGAAGCAAGAAAAACATCAGTAAGTACTGTTAGGTGCATTATTAACGAAGCTAAAGGCTCTGGCTTGCTCGCCGTGTTTCGGACTCCGGGTAAGAAAAGATCAGGGAAGAAGAAAGTTACCGGAATGGATAGTTTCGTTCAATCTGTTATAAAAAGATGTAATCATAATAACTACATAATAAGCAGTGAAACTCCGTATCGTAGAAAGGCTTCGAAAAATTTAAAGAAGATATAAATTTTAATGGCTCGGAATGAAGCTTACGACGAATTATGAAAGAGCTAGGCTTCAGATGGAAAATAAAACACAGAAAGTAATCGGAAGCTGGTAATTGAAAAAAGTAACATTCGATTACAACGAATCGAATATCTTCAAAAAATAATTAATTATAGACAAAAAGAAGACCGAACCGACCGAGTTGTAAACTACACCGATGAGCCCTATGTCGACTCATCACGATGATAGCGACTCGGATGATGAAAACAGTGATGATGATGATGGTCAAGATTATGATAACGAAAAAAAAATTACAAATACCAGCTTCGCTTCAACTGAACCAAGACCTGGCAACAGCTCTAGTTTTGACTTAATAGAAGGAATATCTATTTCACCCCAAGATTAAATTATTATTAGCCTATATTTTTTGTTGATGTTCTAATAAATATATAAATAAATACATAATATGTTGATTTTAATAATTTAATAGCATTATGGCGCAGAGTAAATAATGTTTTTGCACGTGAGTGTACCATGCGCGAACTTACCCCCACTACGTCGACAAATTCTCAAGAAGTTTGCCGGCTATTATACTAATCGGACAATTTTATTAAATTATTTCATTGTTATCGGTCGTTGAGACTATATAGGTCTATGGTCGTTGATAGGTGTGCGAAGTTTCAAGTCAATCCGACGTTTATAAAGTGGGATAAATTTCATTCAAAGAATCTGTTACATACAATGCCAAGTTAATAAAAGATTGTTAAAAATAATTGTAAATAGACATACTTTAACAAAAACCGACTACAAATAGAAAAAAATAATATTCCAAAACAAATTATGTATTATACGTTATGTATTAAACAATAATTATCGAAATCGGTTGGCGTGATATTGAGTTATTCATCTATTTGTCGAGCACGTACTTAATGCAAATTTAAGACTTATATGGTTTTCTTATGGATACCATTATCAGAACTGGACTAAATTTGGTAGAACTTGTGGTAGGACCTCTTGTGAGTCCGCACGGGTAGGTACCACCACCCTGCCTATTTCTGCCATAAAGCAGTAATGCGTTTCGGTTTGAAGGGCGGGGCAGCCGTTGTAACTATAATGAGACCTTAGAACTTATATCTAAAGGCGGGTGGCGCATTTACGTTATAGATGTCTATGGGCCCCAGTAACCACTCAACACCAGGTGGGCTGTGAACTCGTCCACCCATCTAAGCAAAAAAAAAAGAAGTTGTAAAGATGTAAATGCCGACGCCATCCACCTTAAGGCAAAGCTCAGTTTTATACTCCAACAGCTGTCCTAACCTTCAGACCAAATTGCATTACTGCTTCCAGGGATAGCGTACCAGGCTGGCGGTACCTGCTCGTGCAGGCTCAAAAGACACCCTACCACCATTAAAGAGTATTTCTAGTAGTATAAGGTTGGAATCACCGTTTTTTTTCTTATAAATCATTCACGGGTTCCAGTGACACAAGTAATACCAACAAAATACGTATTTCATACCGGTTCATAAGTCAAATGTCGATGACGGCTTTCACCTTGAAATGTCTACGACTCAGTCACCACTTACTACAACTTCTTTTGTTCATTTATTCACAAAATCTTTAAAATGCTACCTTCGCAGGTTACGATTGTTGAGATAAGAGCTTGAGATATCTTGAGAGCTTTACTAAAATATGGTAGTTTTTGTCTGGTGGTAGGACGTCTTGTATGTTCGCACGGGTAGGTACCAACACTGTGCCTATTTGCCTGCCGTGAAGCAGTAATGCGATTCGGTTTGAAGGGTGGGGCAGCCGTTACTCACTAAGAGTTCAGAATACCACCGCTGAAGATTATAGAGATTAATATGATGAGGAAACATTATCAGACTTCATGAACTACTACTGTAGTAAAGCTTATTAGTAAGCTAATTGCAAAATTTAAAAGCTAATTGCATATAGTGTTACTGTAATGGGTGTTCAGAAAAGTTAAGGAAAAAAGCGATCAATTTTTTTTACAGAAGATTACAAAACAATAAATGCAAGCTGGACTTAAGAAGATGTACTGATAAGACAATTTAAGGAAGAAAATATGTTACGGTTACGGTACTGTAAAGACAGGTTAAGTAAAAGCAGAGATTTGTTTCAACAAAATATTTGGGTGTTACCATAATATTCGTCTGAATGTACTTATTAGTACTAATTTGTAATATTGAACCTTTTTGTTATTTTAAATTTAATAAATTATGGGATTGGTTTAGACAAAAACATATTTGTACTCTTACCGGTCTGTTGGTACACCCAGCTCTTTTTCAACTAATTCAAAAAGAACCTTAGCATGCTTCTTGTTTTGCTCCACACCCAGAGAACCAATGGACATCAGATTGGCTATGGCACAGGGTTCAGTGGATCCACCGAAACTCATCAACATTTCAGGAATTACCGTGACAACACAGTACTGAAAATTTTACTTTTACTTACATAAACTATTATGATAAAAATAAAATTGAACTCCTGTCCCTGACCAGATTTTTATCCTAATAAGACCTGACCAGACCAGATTGTGACTCTTATGTACTTATGTTATGATTGTGACTCTTATGTTACAGTAGGATATCTATAGACAAGAATAGTTATCTAATGTTGTCTGACAGTGGACATTATACTTAATGGGTATTATTTAAAAGACATATCATTGTGCTAAGAATTGAAAATACAATTTGACAATTTTTGCTGAGATTGATAGTTTGGATTCCAGATTGTTGGATCAGAATTACAGTTTCATTTAAAATTTAGTATCAGCTGCTATTTTAGTGACAGCCCTAGGTAAAACTATAATTGGTTGTGCCACTAATGTTCATTATATTTTATGGAATGATTCAAATGCCAAAAGTATTTTTCCCATCTAATATTTTGTATTTCATTGCAAGTACTAAAGAGAAGTAATAAACATAGTACTAGCAATCACAAGGTCAAACAATAGGTTATTTAGATGATACACATAATATAATGGAAAGCCAAGAAACATAGTTTTTAAGAGTGACCTAAGTGTCCTGTTGTAAGTGAGAATTATTCATGATATTAATGGCGCTTAGGCCAATGGAAAAATATTGGTCTGTAATAAAATCTAGTTGACACTGATTTCCAACTGTGTACATTTCCAATAGAAATAGAGAAAAGATTTTCTGAACTTAAGGATAATAATTAATGACTAAAATAATATGTTAATATTGCAGTGATGCAATTACTGTACCTGTTCAGGTTTACCAAGAGCTTTAGCTAACACCGGTATAGCTTTTACCACAAAATCAGTTGGGATTTTTGATCTTGAAATGTTGGTTTCTATTCTAAAGTGAGGCATTATATAATTTTAGATTATTGTTGTGTTTTAAACGAGAAGACGTCGATTTATTTAGGAGAAATGCAAAATTTACGATCTTTTCTATGTCGTAGAGATACAATACAAACAAATAAACATGTAGTTTGTTAGTTTGATTTTTCGAACAGGAAAGGCGAAGGTATCACACTATACAGCGTAATTTTTAACATTTTTGAATTTTTAACATCGAGGGGTGAAAGGCTATTTGGTTTCCTCATCATCATCATCATCATCAGCCTACGTCGTCCACTGTGGTATTTGTGTTAGATAATAAAACATAATCTTCGTATGTAATATACTTACGATAGTTACATAGTAAGAAAGGCCAGTTCTTACATCCACTATTGTACACAGGCCTCTCCCATCTCAGTTTCAAAGATATTTTTGCAAATTTACAGGAGAGCCATTTAAAGTTAAAAAATTGGAAGAAATATCACAACAAAAAACCTTCTTCAACTATTTGAATGGGGTAAACTTAATTGATTCAAAATTTTGATACTAATACCATATAAAACGAACCTTTAATTACAAAGATAAATGTTGCTGATGTCGCTTAAACCAAATAGCCTTTTAACCCTCGATGTGAAAATTTATCTTCTATCTTCTTCTTCTATAAATATAAAAATGAATTTGTAGCAAACCGACCGGTACGTCACTCTCGCGGCCGTATGCCCGCTCGCTATACATAGTTAGTATCTATGTCGATCTTTTCAACAGTGTATAATCTATGTTCCGGGCGCTTCCGTTTTTGAGTGTGAATAGCGTGCGCCCGCGTCTAAATGTATTTATTGTTTAAAATTGAAAATTGTTTGTGATAAAGGAAGATTAAAATTCGAAATTCGATATTGGTGACTAACCCATAGTTTTAAATACCCCTGAGATCTACCCCTCACTATATCTGGCTGCCCAACGTTTCCTAATTTTTTTCTTGCTTGGACTAACAAAATGGCGCGCACGCTTTTGTGAAAAATTTGCTAACTATTGTATGCTGTTGGTGCTTAATTGTAAAGAATGCCTTTAACTAGAAATCAAGATCGCCAGCAACGTCGCGAAGACGACGTTATTCCTGCTGCAGATGCAAATGNCTAATAATAGCAAGAACAGACATTGAGCAGCTTACTAAGAGTTTTCTGTTTTAAATGACGATGAACACGATGGGCACTTATCCAATGAGAATGAGTCCCATGGTGATCGTGTTGAAGAGGAGCAGGAAGACCAGGTTTGGGTGGTCGAGGGAGACCAGCCTGAAGGGAACCAAGCTGACGAGGCCGTTCAGCTGTCAGGAGAGGCCGTGTTAGATAATTTGTCACTACCCGGCCCCTCTACTCAGTGACGTCAGGTGGTGGGGCGAGAGTCACGTCATCGCGCCAGGTGCCTATAAATAGCAACGCCTTTGCTCGAAACATTCATTCGATCGGCGGCGTTCGTGAGAGAAGGTAGTCGTGGACATGATGTGCGTGAGTCATTGTTTTAAGTCTCTGTAAACGTGTCCCAATTGTTATTTTTTTTAAATGGTTCTTCTTCTGATTTTTAATAATAATGTAACAGTTTTTATCACCTAGGTACGTTCAAGACTCAACTTATTTCTTTGGTTGAGCAGTGACTATTTAATTGGAACTATGTTAAAATTCAATCTGAAGTTCGATTTTGTCCCTATTTACCCCATTTTACGGTATGTAGTTTGTTAGTTTGATTTTTCGAACAGGAAAGGCGAAGGTATCACACTATACAGCGTAATTTTTAACTTTTTTGAATTTTTAACATCGAGGGGTGAAAGGCTATTTGGTTTCCTCATCATCATCAGCCTACGTCGTCCACTGTGGTATTTGTGTTAGATAATAAAACATAATCTTCGTACGTAATATACTTACGATAGTTACATAGTAAGAAAGGCCAGTTCTTACATCCACTATTGTACACAGGCCTCTCCCATCTCAGTTTCAAAGATATTTTTGCAAATTTACAGGAGAGCCATTTAAAGTTAAAAAATTGGAAGAAATATCACAACAAAAAACCTTCTTCAACTATTTGAATGGGGTAAACTTAATTGATTCAAATTTTTGATACTAATACCATATAAAACGAACCTTTAATTACAAAGATAAATGTTGCTGATGTCGCTTAAACCAAATAGCCTTTTAACCCTCGATGTGAAAAATTATCTACTATCTTCTTCTTCTATAAATATAAAAATGAATTGCTTTTGTTCGTTAGTCTCGCTAAAACTCGAGAACGGCTGGACCGATTTGGCTAATTTTAGTCTTGAATTATTTGTGGAAGTCCAGAGAAGGTTTAAAAGGTAACAAAGGTAAAAATAACAATTTGGTTTTTCCTTTAATCTGTCCCTCGTCGGACGGGTTCCTTTTGTTTGTTTTATGTTTATTTTATACAAAAGTTTAGGTCTTTTGTTTATCGATTGAGCCACTACGAAGTCTGCCGGGTCAGCTAGTATGAAATATAAATAGGTAATAAAACGAGATGAGATGTGTTGAAATAAAGTCTGCTCGTTATTTATTGAGGCTTCAGTAGACTTTTTAAAAGAGCCCGAGAAAACGACAACGACTTGGTTCCATTTTCCCACATTTACTACACGTTCACAGATGCTAAACAGTCCAAACACCTTGCATGTAGGGGACACGTTTATCTCTAAATAACATGTAAAGTCAATCACTTTTATAAAACTATTTACCTACATGTTTTTTTTCTCCACATCTTTTGTTACTGCCATCTTATAATCTTACTTTTCTTTTCGACTTCCTATATACAGGTTGAGTCTTTCTACTTAATGAGCCGCCACACTACATTTAAAACGTTAAATATTATTTTTAGGAAAGTACGAAGGAATTTAAGGATTGAACGACAGATTTGGAAACGCTAAACATCGGTTGCCAATTGGAAATGAATGTGTCGTCCTGATCACGGGACATACTCTCGAGGAATTGACGGCGCAATAGGTGTTCTTCCTGATTGTATAACATTCTCTTGAAGTATTAGTGATTAACTTGAAATCGTAATTGTTTTGTTTGAGGAATTGCTGAGTTACCTACTCTTTAATGAATCCAGGCTTCACACGGTCCAGACTCACTGTAATATCTTTTTCTCCTATGCTGATTATGATTGTCTGGTCACTCTTGTTTTTGACTACATGTGTTTAGTGTGTTTAGGTTTAGGATGGTTTTAAAGAGTCATCTCGAAAAAAAACGTAACGAGAGGTGTTACATAAATCGTTGAACACAAAGATCGTCGTTCTGTGTAGTGTGATGGTGGCATTGTTATTTGATTTTGATATTGATTGACTTTGCAAAAAGTCATACAATATTGTTTAAAATGGGACCCATAATCCAATTAAAACTTAGATCTCGAATCTCAAGGGTAGATAGGCGGGAGACATTTGTTTAAAGATGTTTGTGGCCGCTAAAACCAACTGTGCTGTCTGATTGTCTTTTTAATTCAACCACCGGGAGGGTTCTATGAAAGGAAATTTTGGAATCTGCGAAAGAATGAATTTTAACACCCAACTGACAAAATTGGGAGGTAAACGTAGGTAAAATAAAACTTCCGAAATCATTTTATTCATTCTTTTTATTTCTGAGAAAACTAGTTAAACAGTGAGTAAATTAACGATTTAGAGTTATGAACTAATCTGCAACATCACATAAGTTTCTTCTTCTATTTTATCCATCCCAAATTACTATGCTACCTACTAATTTTATTGCTGGTTTAACTGATGATTACTGGTGCCACTAGTTGGCTCTTTCTTCCAAGTTTTTTTCTTTCCCTATCTAACTTTTTGTCGGTTTACGTATTACCTACGTGTGTGGGCTACAATATTTAAAACTGATTTTACCAATTCTACCAATAGCTGTCGCTAGAAGTTTCAAAGGATATTAAAATTTGGTAGGTTGGAATTTGGCTTTTATGATTTATATTTTTAACTGCCAATCGATTTTTATTCAGTTTTCGTAAATTTGATAGTCAAATATGTGAATGCAGTAGCATCGCATTGATGGCTACCGCCACAAGTTCATTAAAATTAAATTGCAAAATTACGCCTTGAATACCTACCTAGTAAACGCACAAAATAATAGGGGTTAAAGTATGAAATTTCCGTTTTAATTTAATAGGTACTTCGAACTGATATAGGACCTTCATGGTTTGAGTGAAACTTTTTTCAAATGGTGGACTTGTGGACAACCTATNTCCTATATACAGGTTGAGTCTTTCTACTTAATGAGCCGCCACACTACATTTAAAACGTTAAATATTATTTTTAGGTAAGTACGAAGGAATTGAAGGATTGAACGACAGATTTGGAAACGCTAAACATCGGTTGCCAATTGGAAATGAATATGTCGTCCTGATCACGGGACACACTCTCGAGGAATTGACGGCGCAGTAGGTGTTCTTCCTGATTGTATAACATTCTCTTGAAGTATTAGTGATTAACTTGAAATCGTAATTGTTTTGTTTGAGGAATTGCTGAGTTACCTACTCTTTAATGAATCCAGGCTTCACACGGTCCAGACTCACTTTAACATCTTTTCTCCTATGCTGATTATGATTGTCTGGTTATTCTTGTTTTTGACTACATGTGTTTAGTGTGTTTAGGTTTAGGATGGTTTTAGAGTCATCTCAAAAAAAAACGTAACGAGAGGTGTTACATAAATCGTTGAACACAAAGATCGTCGTTCTGTGTAGTGTGATGGTGGCATTGATATTTGATTTTGATATTGATCGACTTGCAAAAAGTCATACAATATTGTTTAAAATGGGACCCATAATCCAATTAAAACTTAGATCTCGAATCTCAAGGGTAGATAGACGGGAGACATTTGTTTAAAGATGTTTGTGGCCGCTAAAACCAACTGTGCTGTCTGATTGTCTTTTTAATTCAACCACCGGGAGGGTTCTATGAAAGGAAATTTTGGAATCTGCGAAAGAATGAATTTTAACACCCAACTGACAAAATTGGGAGGTAAACGTAGGTAAAATAAAACTTCCGAAATCATTTTATTCATTCTTTTTATTTCTGAGAAAACTAGTTAAACAGTGAGTAAATTAACGATTTAGAGTTATGAACTAATCTGCAACATCACATAAGTTTCTTCTTCTATTTTATCCATCCCAAATTACTATGCTACCTACTAATTTTATTGCTGGTTTAACTGATGATTACTGGTGCCACTAGTTGGCTCTTTCTTCCAAGTTTTTTTCTTTCCCTATCTAACTTTTTGTCGGTTTACGTATTACCTACGTGTGTGGGCTACAATATTTAAAACTGATTTTACCAATTCTACCAATAGCTGTCGCTAGAAGTTTCAAAGGATATTAAAATTTGGTAGGTTGGAATTTGGCTTTTATGATTTATATTTTTAACTGCCAATCGATTTTTATTCAGTTTTCGTAAATTTGATAGTCAAATATGTGAATGCAGTAGCATCGCATTGATGGCTACCGCCACAAGTTCATTAAAATTAAATTGCAAAATTACGCCTTGAATACCTACCTAGTAAACGCACAAAATAATAGGGGTTAAAGTATGAAATTTCCGTTTTAATTTAATAGGTACTTCGAACTGATATAGGACCTTCATGGTTTGAGTGAAACTTTTTTCAAATGGTGGACTTGTGGACAACCTATGAGGATCTTTTTTTTTAAATGTGCAACATTCGATTATCGACTTTCAGTTGCTTTTTTTAATCAGCTTAGACAAGAAAGATGAATATTTCGAAAATTCGAATGATTTTTGAATACGAGTTCCGACGCGGAACTAACGCTGCAGAAACAGCTCGCAATATCAATGTTGCGTTTGGAGAGGGGACTGCTAATGTACGCACCGTGCGACTTTGGTTTAAACACTTTCGTGATGGAGATTTTGATTTGAAGAACAAACCACGTGGAAGACCGCCCATACATGTGAATAACAATGAATTGAAAGAGATGATGGAAGCCGATCCGAGCCAAATTACCCAGGTATTAGTGGCATGGTTTAACGTTACCTTACCAACAATATTAGCTCATTTATCAAATCAATAAAATAAAATAAATATGAAAAATGTGTGCCTCATGATTTGACTGATCTGCAGAAAGAAACGCGTGTTGAAAATTGTGTTGCCTTGTTGAATCGAGAAAGAAATGAAGGAATATTAGAAAAATGCAATGGCTGACCCCAAGTCAAACGCCGCAAACGCGTGTCCTAAAGCAAAGCTTACCAATAAAAAGGTAATGGTAACAGTTTGGTGGTCTTAGCATGGTGTTATTCACTATAGCTTTTTCCGATCTGGTCAAGCAATAACGGCAGATGTCTACTGTGCCGAACTCCGAACAATGATAGCAAAACTTGCAGTGAAACAGCCTCGATTCATGAACCGACCTTCACCATTATTGCTCCTTGATAACTCGAAACGTTCCTAACGGTTTTAACTCTATAGGAACTCCAATTAAAAAACCATTCGTCACCCTCCGTATTCGCCAGACCTTGCTCCAATGGACTACCATTATTTTCGTGATTTGGACAATTTTCTACGTGACAAAAACTTTTCTTAACAGGAGGCAATACAAAATGCTTTCACACAGTTTATAGAATCTCGATCACCAGAGTTCTATCGCAAAGCCATAAATGACTTTCTTATTAGATGGCAGCAATGTATAGATAATAATCTATACTAGTACTATAACGCTGAAGAGTTTGTTTGTTTGAATGCGCCAATCTCAGGAACTACTGGTCTGATTTGAAAAATTATTTCAGTGTTAGATAGCCCATTTATCGAGGAAGGATATATGATATAACATCACGCTAAGACCAATGCAAGTGGAGCACCAATAAAGAATGGTTCAAAATCGGGGTTTTAGTCCCTTTTGAAAGCTTTCACTGCGTGCGCTGCGGAAACGGTTAAAGTTTCGCTAAAGTAATGTATGAGAGAATTGTTCCCCTTTAAAAGATCTAAAAAAAATCTGCGACAGCATATGTCTATATATTAAGTTTGGTCACTATAAGGTTTTTTTATGTTAAACAAATTTGATCTAAAAAAAAGCATTTTTTTTTAAGGTGTTTTTATAAAGATGATATTAATCCCTATTCAAATAAATACGTTATTCATTACAACATTGAAACACCCAAATCACTTCAAGATAGGCTTTGACAATTATAGATTTTTCTGGGTTTCTCCAAGATCCCATCATCAGATCTTGATGTAAACAGGACCATTCAGAAAGTCTACCTTTTCGAAAAAAAAAAAGAATTATCAGAATCGGTTCAAGCATTCCCGAAAAATCAGTGAACATACATAGATGGTCGAATTGATAACTTCCTCTTTTGAAGTCGGTTAAAAAGCGTGATTTTGGTACCTTAAATAACTCCTTAACATTTTATTATTCAAAAATATTTTCACCTTCTACGTAAATGAAGTGGCGGGTAAAATTTAGCGTTATGCCAAAGTAACTATTCCACGCGGACGATGTCGCGGGCAAAAGCTAATGTAAATATTTTGATTAAATAAATATGTTAAATGAAAAAAAAAACAAATTTCGATTTTTCAGTACAAATCGGCAATTTTATACTTGAACCCCTAATATTATGGTTTTAGGTTTTACACATTTATCAATGTCGACAACAACTTGCTCGTTTTATGCACTGATTTTATAATCCTCGACGAGTACGGTGACATTTGTACGCTTAATGCGAGTTTTTTAACTTTAGGATTTTTTAACTCAAATTTGTATGGAGTTGGAACAGCGCCCCCACAAACCCGCATTAAGCGCACAGTGCTTTGGTTACTAATAGCATTACAACTGAAAGGTTACTGTCATTGACAATCATCCTCCTGCTTCCGCTCATTGCGAGTCTCACTAGTAACGTTTTCTTAACATATCCTAGTGAATTTAGCCGCCCCCAAAATTTTGCCTAATACTACAGCTCCCATATTATTTGACATAAAATATTACATACAATTTTGTTTGTTGAAAAATAATATGAGTTATTCAAACACGATACGATTATATAACATATTTTACGACCTGTGCAATACCCAACCCAAGTAAACAGATTAAAAGTAGATTCACTCATTGAACACATGGTGTTAGGTGATTTTATAGACATAAAATTTAAAAGAAGGTCACTTGATGAAATAAAGGGTTTTTGGACGGCATGACATTCCTACCAGCATATTTAAAAGGATTCTGCTTCATGTCACTATTAACCAACACGCAAATCTTACAAAGTTTACGCATGATTCAAAATAGGTATATGTTTTATCTTGATCACTGGTTTTAGTAAAGTAACAAAATGAAAACTTATTTTAGTTAAAAAAAATGGCAGTTGATTTCATATACTTTTTTCACCCTTATCTACAATTTGTCTGCATCAGGAAACATTGAATTCTACGATTTGTGGAGAGATTATTATATATTATGATTTTCAGGCTTTTTGAAATCCCAGCTTGATGCTATAAGTATGGGGAAAACATTTTCTTTTTGAAGAGTTCTCCATTACCAATATAAGTTTCATTCAACTGTGCACCCCGCTTAAATGATCATGAGAGGGCACAGTCGCTCATAGACATTAGCAATGCCAGTTGCACTTTCTTCAAACTTCATTTCAAGGACATATCATAGCACTCAAGGAACAACTTGGTCCCTCCAAGATGTTTTCTGAGTGCAATGCACTCAAGATCTAGATGGCAAAAATGATCTGTGCTATGAGAACTCAACTCCTGCTGTGTTGAGAAACGTAAGAGAACAAATTTTTGAAGCAGGTTTAAATGCCACAAATGATAATTTGTTCATAAAAAAATACTAATCAGTCCATTGAAGATTGTGTTAAAAAATTTGAAAGCAATTTCAGTCATAGATTGAGATCAGAGGTTTTTATTATTAGCATATATTTTGTTAAAATTATCATTGTGTTTGTGATGGTTGTTTATTTAAGCTTTACTTATAACTAAATAAGATTTGCATTGATTGTAAATTTCAATTTATACATTGTTTATTTACAATTTTAAACTTCAATTTTTCATTTGTATACCATTAGAATGTGTGAGAATAATAAGTATATTTAAATGGGGAAGGACATTATTATTATCAATTTTTCATAATCCCTGTACATCTCCAAATGCACATTATTGTTATCACTCAAATGTCACTGAGAACTTGCACAAATGACTAGCATCAGATAGTAGTGAAACAACTACTTACTATTATTATCTAAAATTGTGATTCACACAAATTAAAGTTTTGGTGTAGATCCAAACTCTGTGCTCATTGGTGTCAATTTCCTTTATAAAATATCTAATATTTAAATCGTTACATAATTTAATAAAAATAATAATAACAATATTTAAGACTACCGAAAAAGCTATAAGTTCCCATTGACTTTTCAAAGCCTTTTCAATCTTCTATTAAAACAAGCTATATTTTGTCAATGATTAAACATTTGAGATTCAATTATTTAAAGTATATTTACGATGAATTATTAATTGTCCTGTATTATCATCTTTTCTAACATGAAAGAGCATAATTATTTTCAGTCAACTTGATAAATATAATATATGGAATGTCTTTAATAAAAACTTATTATCTAAATATCATCATGAGATTACCTATTTCTTTTTGTGTGACTTATAGGGCAACACTACCCACATGTAAAAATACTAAATATAATTAAACATGTAAATAAAATTAAATTTTCAATATTATCACAATTTTAGTAAAAGTAAAAAATTAAACATAATTACCTAACTAATGTAAATATTCAATAACTGAACTTTTTTTGTTTTGTGAAAGTGTGCAATCTCTCCAAAATATTGTGATTAGTAAGTAGACTTTAATTGTTGATACCTCCATTATAAGCATAATCTGCTTTGTTATGCATCACCAATTGGTTGTCCACGAAGTAAAAACTGTCAGAGCATGTCTCGAAAGGAGCAGCAATCATTTCCTCAACTAAAACATTAAATTTATTACTTGTCATCAAATATTACATCTTAGCATATTTTCTTGCAAATAACTGACAAAACAATTACTATTTTCAAGTAATCTGGCCATAATTTTATGCTTATTAATAAAATGTATATTTATCAACTTACCTAAGTCAGGGGGTAATGTTGGAAATTCATAAATGTGCTCACAAGTATTTCTTGAGAATGGAATACAGAAACCAAACTCAAAATCAAAAGTTTTCAGTAGTGTATCCCTGAAGAAGTGCTTCTCAATCATTCTGAAATGGTTAACTGGACGAGCCCCAACTGTGAATTCCACTCTGCACATATCAAAACATACCATCAGAAATCTTATATTATTGTTATTAAGATAAGGCACCAAACAATGTTTCAAGTCACTTTTTTTTTTGTTAGTATGTACTTAGGGAAAAAATAAAGAAATTTATATATTGTCGAAACTCACGTAGCGCCAACAGTTTTCAACTTCAGAAATTGTGGTGTGAATTGATAACGAACAAATCTCCCCGCATTTGGATCCAAGGGCTCCTCTGTGGAATCTTCCAAAGAATCATTATCGACGCCGAAATCAGTCGGAGGTTTAGCTATTTCAAATAACACCGTTCCAGTTTCTAAATCTCGAATTTTAAATCTCGTAAAATCGATGTCGTATACATTAGCTTCAGGGCTGCAGAGGTATGTATCTGTAATTCTCTCCAATCTCAATACATCTTCAGGAGTTACTTGATTGGAAATCACATCGTCTTTAATTGATTCGTGTAAAGATATCGATTCACATTTTTTTCCGACAAGGCTCATTTTGCGGACAAAGTAACCTGTTTGGTTTTCAGGACTTAAGTTTAAAAAGGGAGGCACTAGTGAAATTATAAGATTTGTAGAACGTAGATTATATCAAAACATTTTATCTTTTACTTTTTAAACCATCAAAACCAGTCTCAAAATTTTTGCAAAGAAGAAAAAAATGGTCTTTTTACAACACCATTTTCTTGTTTTCAAGGATTTTCCGGGCTTCTTGACTCGATCTGTCAAATATTTAATGACATAAACTGTCATAAGTCTTAATGAGCATCAATGTCATTCGTTCAACAAAAGAAATGATCTATTGCAATCTGCAGTGTATCTTTTCATTGTCCTTTGCTGTAATTTTAAAATTATACAGACCGAAAATAGATGATCTATGAAATATGAAGGAAGCCCATATGCTTTATTTTATATTATGTCAGCTTGAAACTCATGTTACCTATTCCTACAATATTTTTGCGTAAACTGGAATTTCGCGTTTCCGGTTTGCGTTTCGAGCATAGATTGCCACCAATGATAGACCTGTCAGATGTGCTCTCGATGCGCTACTAAGGAAAAGCGAGTGCTCTTTATTTCTAGAAATGAAATGAAGCACATAAATATTTCTGAATAAATAATACAATGTTGTACTGCAGAAGTATTATAAATATTATAGTTTGGATGTGTAGAAGTTAAAACCTCCATGACACAAAAAATGAACAGATTTGCATTGTGCACAAACATAGATTGAAATCCGGTTTAGTGCATCAAATACTTCGATCATTGTAAAATGCCTAATGCAGTAACGCTGCGCATCGTAGCTACAATAATACATAAATAATCGCTATTTTACGTACCAACGGATCAAGCTGTAGTAGTTTTTGGACCAAAGAGTGATATTAAAAAATCTTGCTATCGCTAAAATGCAACTAATTTAACCCCATCTGGGTTAAATTTAAACTCGGACACAGATGTAATCATGGGAAAGACCTTTCGTATAGTCTCGTTAATGAAACATGCTTAACTATCGTGTCTTATATATTTTATATCTACATCAGTTTTTTACAACCCTTTTACATATAAATTGTTTTCATCCTTTTTGGGCAATCGTCTGTCATTCTTTTTTTCTTTTTCGACTTCCAAAAAATAGGTTGAAGTATTTTACATAGATTTAATAAATCTATTTCAAAATAAAATATTCATGATAACATAATTATTTTTATTTTTTTCTTAACGCAAAACTTCCTGACATATTAATAAATATATTATGATAACCCTGCTATTTCCAGTCATATTAAAATTTAAAACAACTCTAAAACTGAGGAATAATTAGATTACAATTTACAATTCACTCTATAAAACTTGTTTCGTATAAAGGAAAATCCAAATCTTGACGTAATATCCGTTGCGTCTGCTGAAGCATGCGCCTTGTCATTTTCATTGGTCGGCCAGTCATAGATTAAAATTAAAATAATCTGCCAATAATCTGGTTGCCGCTCAATTCTAGTCTGTGATAAGCCTATTTTAATGTGTTAGTGGATAGTTTCATGTGCATTTAAGTGAAAAAATTATTGAACATGATTATCAAAGAATAGTAAGTATTCAGTGTATTAACAGTATACTTAGCTTTGCTGAAACAATACTTATTACAAATGTGAATCGATATTTGCTTCCAAACCGATGTGGACAGTAGGTAACAATTTTGCTTTATCAGCATCTTTGAAAGCAACTCGCTGCTTAACGCAGAACTCCTGGATTTATGATGAACCGGAGGTTCTGACATTGACAGCTGGCCAGGTCAAGGTTTTGAATGGGATCTGGCCACAGATTTCAATATAAAACGATTAAGCAAACAATCACTAAAAATATGATGATTTAGAAATAGTTTTTAAAAGAAATTATTTTCCATTTCAGCCGAGTCACACTTCCTCTAACAGTTGAAGAGGTAAGTGCAACACAAAAGAAATAAAAATTAGGTTAATGTATCAAGGTCGTATACTTATTTCATTTCGAAGATTTCCCAGGTTTCATCTGAATTTGATTACCAAGCTAAAAATATTTGGCATACTTTGCATTCAAAGTAAAATTAAGTTTTTTTTATGAAATACTGTCAAGGCAGAAGGGTATACTCTGTTATATATAGAAAAAAAAGTCTGCGAGTGCATTTGATTGTAATGTCTATGGCATATTAATCATTTGGCACCCCTAAGCCATCTAAGCAATAAAAAATAATTAAATAAAAACTAAGGCCATGAGCTCGTTCACCCACCCGAGCAGTACAAAAAAATAAATAGCTTCAGAATCACACAAAAGCTACTCTAATTTAACAGCTTCATTAGAAGCGGAACATAAAACAAATACTCGAATGTACTGAGTTTTAAGGAGATAGTTACTTGTTTCATAAATTTTGCAAGTGATTGCACTCACCAAATAAAATTTTCTGATATCAAATCAAAAGTGTCGTCAATAATCAATGTTATCAGTAGATAATTATCTTTATTAACTCTTGGATTATCATTGAAAATAAACAATTTTTCCATACATAGGTTTACCACAAATTTACTGCATTAAAAAGTTAGTAGGAATTGTCAAATAAATAGTTTGAATAACTTGCTATTCATTTTTTTGTTTTTTTTTTAAAAAAAGCTGTTCGCTGATGGAAAATTAAATTGAAAAATATAAAATTTGAATAATCAGATTAAATTGATGTCTAAAATATCCTAGATTTTATTTTAACCTCTTTTTCTTAAAATTCTAATTAAATTACTCTTGTTTGTTGATATCCACCAAGCACTGTTCAATTTTTCCTATTAATTGTTACATCTTTTTGAAACAAATAAACCCATAGTCTGTTACTAAATATCTATAAAGGTATTTTAAAAATGGGCGAGAATTGGTTTTTCTATCAAAAATATGTCTGTTTATTTCCAACCTGTAGATATGTAAGTAGCATAACACTTATAATTCTAATAAGTTAATAATTTTTCAATAATGTTTCAATATACATTAAGATTAGTTATATATAATGAACACTGTCATCCTAGTACACTTGATACTCAACATAATCACATACATTTTGACACAAGATTGAGATTCATGTTACATTTTCATTTTTTCTTTTTTCTTTTTTTTTATTGCATTGATGGATGAATGAGCTCACAGCCCACCTGGTGTTAAGTGGTTACTGGAGCCCATAGACATCTACAACGTAAATGCGCCACCCACCTCGAAATATAAGTTCTAAGGTCTCAGTATAGTTACAACAGCTGCCCCCACCCTTCGAACCGAAACGCATTACTGCTTCACGGCGGAAATAGTGGTGGTACCTACCCGTGCGGACTCCCAAGAGGTCCTACCACCAGTGATTACGCAAATTATAATTTTTGCGGGTTTGATTTTTATTACACGATGTTATTCCTTCACTGTGGAAGTCAATCGTGAACATTTGTTGAGTACGTATTTCATTAGAAAAATTGGTACCCGCCTGCGGGATTCGAACACCGGTGCATCGCTACATACGAATGCACCGGACGTCTTATCCTTTAGGCCACGACGACTTCATTCTTATACATATATATTTAATAAGTGAAATTAAAAAGTCCCTTAGTATCAATATTTGGATCGTTTGAATCGTTTATTTAAAACAGTACAAAAAATTATTTATCTTTAAAATTTTGTCAAAAGGCACTAATAAAAAATTCACATCTGGGACCTCCACAAAAAACTTGTTATTTGCGTTACATTTTAAAAAACATATTTCATTATAATAACAACTCAAAAAAGTTAAGTTGCATTGTCCGAGTGGTGTTTATGAGCTATTGTAGCGACTCAACATCAGGTGGGTCGTGGGTCGTGAACTCGTTTACTGATCTAACATTATAAAAAATTATTTTTATTCGAGTTAAAATTTGATTCTGTCACGAGAACATCATACTTTATTCGAATCACAAGCATACAAAAACTCAGCTAAGTATCTTGTGAATAAAATAGTTGTCTATCCTGTTTAGACGTATTCAAACGTACGTTGACGTAATTATTGAGTTTTTGTAGTGTTTAAGTGACCTTTAATCATATAAATACCGTTCATCATCATTTTTCGTTAAAATCTGCTGTCGATACAATAAATCATGCTCATTCTGAAACAAGAACAGTAGGTATAATGATTTTTTTGTTTTACATTTGTTCTTCTTCTTCTGTTTCATTTTGGATCGCGCGGCTTGCGCATTTGCCAGAGAGCAAAATAAAAGGTTGGGAAACTACGTAGTCAAAAAAAAACTTGATCGGATTCGCAAGGGAAAGATTAGGAAAGTTAGAGAATATATGAAAATACATATATACCTAGTCAGGTCATAAGTATTGTCACACAGTAAAAACTTTTCTTTTAGAATGCTGGCCACAAAAAAGTTTATTGAATTCGAATTTCGAATTGTTCATGAAGATAAAAATGTATACTTTTAGAATTTTACTCCTATTTTAAATATAGAGTGGACGCTTAAAGAAGACCGTGTTGCAGTTATTGCGTTGCATCGTTGCGGTTACGCGCCAATTCAAATTTTTAACATACTGAAAATTTTGAATATAACCAAAAGATTCGTTTATCGTACCATCAAACGATACAATGAAGACTCTAGTGTAGATGACAGGTCAAGAAGTGGTCGCCCTCGGTCTGTTAGGACTCCAGCAGTGATAAAAGCTGTGAAGGCGCGAATTCAAAGAAATCCCAAACGTAAGCAGAAACTGTTGGCCCTTCAGATGGGGTTAAGCAGAACCACGGTGAAAAGGGTGTTAAATGAAGACTTAGGGCTTCGGGCATATCGAAGAAAAACAGGACATCGTTTGAATGCTCGTCTAATGGACCTGAGACTGAAGAGATGCCGCGCTTTGTTGAAGCGGTACGCGGGAAAAAAATATCGGGAAATTCTTTTTTCGGATGAAAAAATTTTTACCGTAGAAGAGAGCTACAACAAACAAAATGATAAGGTGTACGCACACAGTAGTGAAGAAGCGAGCAACCGTATTCCGCGTGTCCAACGAGGTCATTTTCCATCCTCGCTCATGGTATGGTTGGGAGTTTCTTATTGGGGCTTAACAGAGGTACATTTTTGTGAGAAAGGTGTAAAAACGAATGCAGTTTTGTATCAAAATACAGTCCTGACGAACCTTGTGGAACCTGTTTCTCATACCATGTTCAATAACAGGCACTGGGTATTCCAACAAGATTCGGCGCCAGCTCATAGAGCGAAGAGCACACAAGACTGGCTGGCATTGCGTGAAATCGACTTCATTCGGCACGAAGTCTGGCCCTCCTCCAGTCCAGATTTGAATCCGTTAGATTACAAGATATGGCAACACTTGGAGGAAAAGGCGTGCTTAAAGCCTCATCCCAATTTGGAGTCACTCAAGACATCCTTGATTAAGGCAGCCACCGATATTGACATGGACCTCGTTCATGCTGCGATAGACGACTGGCCGCGCAGATTGAAGGCCTGTATTCAAAATCACGGAGGTCATTTTGAATAAATTTTAGTGTCATAAGAATCTATGTTTTGTTAAGTTCATTTTGGTATATGAATGGTTACATAATGAATAAACTTGTTTCAATTATTTTATATTAAACATGTGACAGAACTTATGACCTGACTAGGTAAATAAGATTAAATTAAATATGTACATCATTAGATAATAAAGACAATAAACTATTGATTCATTTCAAACGACGTATTAGGAAGGATAGAACCTCACCGCCCATCTAATATCAAGTTATTAGTGGAGCCCATAGTCAACAACGTTAATACCGCGCTGACAATAAGTCAGAATTAAACCTAAACTATTATTTGAAAGTTATCGTTATGGCTTTGTGATTCACTAGATACCATTGTCGTTCATATGACAACAGTTGAACAAACGACTCGAACAATACGTTGGCAACATACAACTTACTGAGTTCAAACGAAATTACGTCTAAATGTATATTTTTATGTATACATAATAATTATTTTATTGTTCGATACCAGACACTCGCTAGTTGTCACTGTTTTCAAAAGCGTCGTATTCGTTATTTAGGCATATTATTTCATCAATATAGAAGATCAAAACAGGAAATGACGTTTGAAGTCGTCGTGGCCTAAAGGATAAGACGTCCGGTGCGTTCGTGCTGAGCGATGCACCGGTGTTCGAATCTCGCAGGCGGGTACCAATTTTTCTAATGAAATATGTAGTTAACAAATGTTCACGATTGACTTCCACGGTAAAGGAATAACATTGTGTAATAAAAATCAAACCCGCAAAATTATAATTTGCGTAATTACTGGTGGTAGGACTTCTTGTGAGTCCGCGCGAGAGATACCACCGCCCTGCTTATTTCTGCCGTGAAGTAGTAATGCGTTTCGGTTTGAAGGGTGGGGCAGCTGTTGTAACTATACTGGAGTGAGACCTTAGAACTTATATCTCAAGGTGGGTGGCGCATTTACGTTGTAGATGTCTATGGGCTCCAGTAACCACTTGACACCAGGTGGGCTGTGAGCTCGTCCACCCATCTAAGCAGTAAATAAAAAAAAAGCGGTTTAATTTTATTGATTTTTCTAGTTGCGTATTGTAAGCCCACCTGCACAGATAGTTATCATAGCATTGTTTCCTACGAAATGCTCAGGTTTTTAGAATAGAACAGCTGTTCTGTGAGTAGAGTTGAGATATTGATCTCATGTCTCCAGATGAGCGTTTGGTATTGACGCCGTAAAATCTTGGAGCTTCAGTAACCACTAAATACAGAGTCAGTCTTCAGTTCGTCTGCTCAGCAGTGCTATTAAAAAAGAAAACAAAAGTGAAACAAATAATTTTCATGAGGCTATTTGTTAACTCCATAGTTTAATAGTTTCTAGTTTCCTCTTGAACTTTGGTCTAGGTCATTTTGCAACTAATCAAATATTTTTAAAGTGTATAAGAAGATTTCCTCTACACGTTTAACGTGTTATCTACACGTATATTTTTTATTTATTTTTTGTTATAGCATAGATTGGTGGACAAGCTCACGGTTAAGTGGTTACCGGAGCCCATAGACATCGACAACGTAAATGCCGTCACCCACCCTGAGACACGAGTTATAGGGTCTCAATTTTAACAGTACAAGGGCTGTCTCGCCCTTCAAACCGAAACGCATTACTGCTTTACGGCTGAAATAGGCGGGTGGTGGTACCTACCCGTGTGGACTCGAAGTCTTACAACCAGTAATTACAGAAGTTATAATTATGCGGGTTTCATTTTTATTACACGATATTATTCCTTCACCGTGAAAGTCAATCTTAACATTTGTTAAGTACGTATTTCTTTGGTAAAATTGGTACCTGCCAGCGGGATTCGAATACCGATAATCGCTAATAATAATAATACTATAATCGCTACATACGAATACACCGGAAGTCTTATCCTTTAGGCCACGACGACTACGAAGAAATAAAAACAAAACAAAAAAATATACATGACCTCTGATCTTCAAAGCTTAATAATGTTTCCTAATCATATTGTCTAAATACTTTTTACAGAGAAATAAGAACTGTCTCCCTTTAACGTCTTTCTGCTAAATTAATTTTCTATTCATATGGTAATTAATTTAAAAAAAGCGTACCTTAAAATTATGGATTGCTTGCGATAAATTCGATAATCTATACTCACTTATGTTACAAGTAGTTATATCTAGTAGGTGACTGCTAATTTTAAACATTACTTGACACGATTAAAACGTTCGTTTATCAGATAATTTTTAGCTAGTAAATGGGTTAGTCCAGGTCCAATAATAACGTATCTCCAATCGAAAAAATGTAAAAATTAACAACAACAAAAATGTTTAGCTGTTTGCTATTCATACGCGGTACAAGTGAAGTCTTCAGAAGCTTTGTATCTCATTCTCTTGCAAGTTATATCTTAAACTACTCGTATCGTTACGCGCTGGGACTCGGGTTAATTAAAAACTTTCTTAATTACGTGTCCCTTTTAAAATGCTGAAGAAGTATTCGCTTCAAGATCGTTTGTTTTAAATGGATGTAAACGTTCTAACTTTTCTTGTGTGTTCCATACAAAACCACGGACGCTTGATATGGTATTTAGAAAGAGGAGAGGGAGAGAGAGAGAGAGAGAGAGTATTCTTATTTGTACACCAAAAAAGAAATAAACAGTGCAGTACTTAGGTTACTATCCATTCATTATTTTATTGCCCTATTAGTATTTACGGATGCTCAAGGACATCAGCTAGTCAGGGACATACCGCTTATGACTCTTTTAAATTCTCGTTTACTACATGAATTACATGGCATATTATGTAGTTTGATAATTCATCGTTTTTTAATACATCTGATTTTAATATTTGCATTAGGTGGTAACATTCAGAATCGATTTAATTGCTTTAGATATAACTCTAATCTCTATATATATTTTAGGAACAAAACAAACCATTTTGTTTGTTTGAATTAGATTGATATGAGCGACGTGAACAAGGAAATCGCGCAAAGTTCCCAAACCTCTATAATAACCACTATTACACTCGAGTTATAGTTACGAATATTTAATAATCCTTCTATAACACGTTCGCGACATATGGCATTTTGTTTTAATATTAACGTTTTAACCTTACATATTTTATAGTCGTCTCTTTTCTGCACCAAATTAAATAGAAGTTACTTTTTCCGTACGACAGAGAGCTCTAGGTTTCTCTTAACCAACCGCAAAGGCGATACAGACCAAGCATATTATACCTTGTTTCTCACTTAGGGTGCTCACGCTGTGGCTGGGCAGAAGGTCTGACTGATGTCCATATTTTAATTCGTAACACAGGTCTGCTTAGTAACAGTAAAATGCAGATGATCATTCCTTCCTGGACGTCTCACGATGTGTGTACCCTACTACAATCAACGCATCTTTTATGATAGCGTTAATGACAACCTTAACAGAAAAACCAAATAACGAAATATGATTTTTTTTAAACTATAACACGTGTTATTTGACACGGCAGCACTGCTTGATAAGATACGAAAGTAATTTCTAATTGTAACGAATTATTCTATTTACAGACAATCAGAATGTCTTACTTTAAAAAATTAACAAAATATATATAATTTATTTATTTATTGCTTAGATGGATGGACGAGCTCACAGCCCACTTGGTGTTAAGTGGTTACTGGAGCCCATAGACATCCACAACGTAAATGCGCCACCCACCTTGAGATATAAGTTCTAAGATCTCAAGTATAGTTACAACGGCTGCCCCTGCACCCTTCAAACCGAAACCCATTACTGCTTGACAGTAGAAATAGGCAGGGTGGTGGTACCCACCCGCACGGACTCACAAGAGGTCCTACCACCAGTAATTTATACTGTAAAATAAATTAATACTTTGTACTTTACACCAGCTAGTTTGAGATCGTGACGTGGGGGGTACATCCAAGTTTCGACTAATCCTTCTCCCGTCTTCAAGGATACGATAAGCAATTCCAATGCAAGTAAGACTTCAACCTCACGTCTCAAGGTGAACCTCACGACCAACCACGACAGCTTTACAATACTACTCAAATAATTCTCAAAAGAAAAAAATGCTTCCCGCTTTTGAAAGCATGACGGAAAACAAGTCGTCGTGGCCTAAAGGATAAGACGTCCGTCCGGTGCATTCGTATCTAGCGATGCACCGGTGTTCGAATCCCGCAGGCGGGTACCAATTTTTCTAATGAAATACGTACTTAACAAATATTCACGATTGACTTCCACGGTGAAGGAATAACATCGTGTAATAAAAATCAAACCCGCAAAATTATAATTTGCGTAATTACTGGTGATAGGACCTCTTGGGAGTCCGCACGGGTAGGTACCACCGCCCGCCTATTTCGGCCGTGAAGCAGTAATGCGTTTCGGTTTGAAGGGGGGGCAGCCGTTGTAACTATACTGAGACCTTAGAACTTATATCTCAAGGTGTGTGGCGCCTTTACGCTGTAGATGTCTATGGGCTCCAGTAACCCTTAACACCAGGTGGGCTGTGAGCTCGTCCACACATCTAAGCAATAAAAAAAAAAACCATAGACATCAGCTGTTCTGTATGCTTCGTATTTATAATTTTGAAAAATAATCTTCTTTTCTACACAGTATCAAGTGGCCCAGTTATACTGCGTGGCGGAGGTCTCCAAAAATGAAACCGGCGGAGGTGAAGGCATAGAGGTCATAAAGAATGAACCGTTCAAAGATTATCCACTGCTCGGTGAGTTTTACTTATAATATCCAAATTGAGAATATATATAATTTACTTAGAATAATAGTAATAATAATAACAGGGAACAAGTCACGCACGGTCATCTGGTCCCAAATTAGGAGTGCCTGTACTGTGGGAACCAGAGATTGATATAAATAGTTACATACTTTTAATTAGATAGATAATTAACGTCCATGCAAAGAGCAAACAAACCTGTTCGTCACACGATTGTCCGAGGTGGTAATCAATCCCACGACCCTCCGAGTCACATCGCAACCACCACCAAGTCAGCACCACTTAGGAGAACAATAATACGAGCGACCTAAATTAGTTTTGATTCTCCATTTAAGTTTGGATCCGAGATTCAATTGACCTCCGTTACTTGTAATTCAATCATAACCCTAAAGATAATTATTATCGCTCATGTCTTGGAGTCCAATATTGTAGTTTTTACAAGTTATTCATCTGAACTCTTGATGGGAAATCTGTGGTATCACGGAACTATTCTAATGAAGCTAATGGCATTATGTTTAGATTTATTCTAACGTAAATACATTTATAGGTCCAAGTAAGAACCGTGGTGGCTCCTCGAAAAGTTCCGATTCTGATTCGTGTGACGTATGTCAGGATTGCGACGAATCTGGTATATCACGTGCTGTATTTTGAAACTTATAGAATTTGAATTCAGGAGTAATGAGAACACATCGTCATTGAGTTCGTAAACGATAGACGAGTCACATCTTATCATTTAATTTAATTTTAGTTCAAATTTATTTTAAGAATTCACGTTAAAGGTGTTATAACAATCCGCGATCATAGTAGATTTATTGTTATATTCATACTTTTAAATTTAATTATGTTTTTAGATGTTAATTCTCAACTAATCTTCAATAAACCTTGAAGTTGATAATAAAAGGCAAAAACTTTAATTAATAGTTTCAGGTTTTTATTTGTCTGTTATTTTTAATAATTTAAGTAAGTTTACAAGGCAAGTTACCAACCAGTCTACGTCATAACAATGTATCTGGTTTTGTCGTGTACCCTGTGCATGTTGAGAGACCTATTCAAAAAATAACTTAAAAAATTCAATCCTCAATTCAAAAAATCAAATTATTAATTCAACAGATGAGGTGTTCTGTAGTATATTTATGTTGATGTGTCACTTCTATGTGTTAATTACTAGTTTCCGACCGTATATAAAAAGGAATAAAGACTATGCAAAAAAAAAAAAAAACCGATGACGCAAATAGAGAAATTGCATAGTATGCAACAGCTAGGTCTAGGCTATGCAATAACTCGTGACGTCTGTGGAAATACATTGAATTATTAGCACATTACGTTATCCGTATACGGTCTGATCTGTAATAATCTTGGTGCATCCATTGCGTTATATGATGACCATGAGTGGAATTCCGGGGCATAACTATTTTAAAGCGCTTCTCTAAATTAGCTTGGTTACGTTTGTATGTTTGTTTGTAACGGTATCTTTGAACGATATTTTCACAGTTCAAGATTTCCGATTCAAAAATTTGTACACGCAGCAAAGGTAGCAAGGCAAGGACCATACAATCGTTTCTTCTAATGTCCTACTGTCTAATGTTTTAATGTCTTAACCAGTATCAACAGGCGAATAAAAGGTGAAATTAATTATTAGTACTATTTGCTATTTAAGTGTGTTCCTTTAATTTTCTTAATGAATTGTTAATATGTATTTAAGAAGTGTTCACAAATAAATTTACTGGCCGTAGGGCGACTTATGAGCTCTTGCGGGTACTTAACACAACCTCACCTATTTCTGCCGTGAAGTGAATGTAAAGTAATGCGGTAGATAGAGTTTGAAAGGTGGAGCAACCATTGTATTAAACAAATTGAGACTCAGAACTCGTGTCTCACGGTGGGTGACGACCTTGATGTTCGTCAATGTCGATGATCGATCTTAATGTTCGATCTTGTTGTTGATGTCCATGGACACCGGTGATCGTTTAACACCAACCGGCCGTGAGCTCGTCCATCTATTTTAGAAAACCAAAATAAAAAACTCACGATATATGTATAAAAATGTATTATTATATCAAACCCTCAAAAGGACATTGCATACCTAGTGATGGTACGATATATTACGAGCCCAATGGTAGAACATGTTGCACATTTCTGCCACGCAGTATTCATGCGGTCTCATTCGGGACAATCGCATGCACAGTAAGAAAAATTTGAACTCACATCTCAAAAAGGACACGTGACTGTCCACTAGCAACTTAACATCAGTAGTCGCCCGTGAGGTCATTTGGTCGAGTATCTCTTGATTTATGATCGATTGTCTTGAAATCATCAAAAAACTACTCTTGACCCACACAATGTGTGTGTTATCCAACCAAATGAGTCATAACGCCTTGTTCATAAAAACAAACGTTGAAAATATTTTTGTTTGTCAATTGGTAATGAAATTTATTTTGAAGATGTGCACTCATGCTCGTGTTATGCGTAGAGGTAAATAATAATTAGAATAATGCTCGAAATAGACTTTGTTTATCTACGTACCATTCTATCCGAACAGTAGAAGTAAATATAATGTTGTTGATTGCTTACACTACGTATGATATTAATGTGTTGGTAAAGGCAACAAATATTATATCGGTTATTATATACCACAATTATATTCCTTTCACTGTACAAAATCCATGATTTGATTTGTTTCGGACTTACATGTGTTCAAAAGTTGGACACGGCGAAAATTATTATCTGATTGTTGTTATTGAGCATGTTTCATTATTATCACAATCTGCCCAACAGAAATGACAAAGTTAGCGCTGTGTTGGCCTGTAAAAAAACTTTAGAACTCGTAACTCGGTCATACAATGAATCGGAAGGAGTGATCTAGCGCATTTTGAAAGTGATCTTGAAACTTACGCCCAGGCGTACTGCTTCAGCAATAGCCGCATTAAATTGATCAACTTGATCTAAAAATTAGTATTTTGCAATCGTAGAGCTGATGATGTCAATGTATTGCATACACTTTCATCCTAGCGTAGTCGAAATAAACAAGGCGATCGGACCATTTTGTACCCGACTCCTCGAACTCCACCAGCATTTGTGACCATTTTACGTAAAATAATAATACACAAATGACATCTTTCTTTGTCGATTACGTCAGATTCAATGATTGACACAGTTGTTTCGCTTATTTGTAAAGGTGCGTGCTGGAACTCAGACATAATTTTTTTTTGTTAATTATTTCTCGAGTCTACGTAAGTACGACTGCGAATAACGTATGGAATAATTAACATTTCGACTTTCTTCATTTTGACAAATATATTTATTTTTCGCCATGTAAAGATAACACAAATTTCGTCATTGAAGTTGATGATTTTCGTCATTCAACTTGTTTTTGGAGACACGCATTATTTTTGTATTGCCAAAAAATTAACAGTATTCCAATAGTGTGTTATGTTTGTCGTCCAATTTGAAAGCTTCATTATCCGCTGTGTTAACTAACACATATCATTTGTGTGTTCTCATTTCGTCTAAATAACCGGTCTTGTGCCTTACCAATGCAGACTCATGACATAACATGACTTCATCGACACGGAGCCGCCTAGCTCCAACTGTTGACCCTTGCGCGTTTTTTTTTTCCACGGCAATGTCTGAAAACGGATCTCGATGTGTCATTATTGTACGTATTCTAAATATAAAAAAATGTTTAGGTATATTCCCCGTTCCTCATTTAGTTTTACGTCAATAATGTTGTGTTTGATTTCATTTTGCTTAATCTAGGTTCCGTCTGTTATTAACCCTTTGAGGCCCAGAATCCACATGTATTGGACATCTGCTTTTTTACTCGCAGGTCCACTGTCCACACTTGTATAAATTCACTAAAATGGCTAGGATCTGGTACAATTTTTTTTATAAAAAGGTCTGCAAAGGGTTAAATTACGAAATTCTATAATAATTGATAGTATTTTTCAATAAAATTCGTGGATGCTATGACAGTTTTGGTAACTTAAAACAAAAAGTTTCAGTTTAACAAAATATCGAATCCAAATTTATTATTATATTAAACGAAATCTTCAACGAAGAATTGCTAATGAACCACAATGCGACAATGCGACAGTTATGAGTTCATCGACCCTTTTTAAAAGCATAGATATCTAATGTTCGGTATATCGGTGGGACGCTAGCCGACGTTAAAAGCATACTTTCATTTTGTCTCCAAAGTCTGGTCGCCGGCTGCATAGTTACAAACGCTTTAGACCACCTTTTCATTGTTGACCAATCAGGATTTCGTATTCCGTTATTTAATCTCATCCACGAGTCAGTTTCAGACGAAATGTTAAATGCTATATCTATAGACGCTATTTAACTTATAATTTTTTTCGTGTCTTAAAAGATATGATCTGAAATTCCGCAAAATCAGTGCTTATGTAGTAGGTCATCGTTTATAAAAGAAGACGAAATAAGTAATAAAAATTATCGCCGAATACGCATTAGCAAATCGTCTTATGTAGTCTGTTTTCAAATCTGCTTAAATTCACCTAGTACCCAATCGCGTTTCCGTCAAAACGTCATTAGTCTAATTAGCTTCAAGGACTTCGGCCGTATAACAACAGGTTTTATTGCTGTGTCTCTCTCGCAAAGAATACAGTAATTGTAATCGTTGTCGTTTGATGAATCGTTATATATATATATATATTTTTTTTCTAACAATCACGCCACGTTAACTGGTCCCGTGATAAGTTCGTAAAGAACTTGTGTTATAAGTACCAGATAACGGAAATAAATGTAAGATTTTTATTATACACATACATATATTTAATAGACATCCATAACCCTGGAAAAGACATTTATATTTATCATACAAATATCTTCCCTTGGCGGGATTCGAACCCGCGACCCCCTTGTGTAGTGACCATGTCACTTACCACTACACCAGACGGCCGTTATATAATATGCGGATCGAAATGACAAAGCAACACCGTTCTACCCCTTAAAGGTACGGAAATGTTAAAACTGCAAATAGCCTACAGCGTTTTGGGTCAAGTTTCCGAGTTATAAATGTAGAACAGCTTCGTGACCTATTCCCGAGTGCAAGCGTGCCGCGGTACTATGTACTACGACGAATGATGAAACTATTATAAATCTGTTAAGTCAAATAGTACTGCTTTTTTTCTTCTTCAAACGACCGTAAAACTTGTTTTATTAGAATTAATAATTTAATTTATAAATAAATAAAATAATTTATTCAAAAAGACAGGTTTTAATAGTTTTATCGTTAACATTTTTTTTTATACGACGACTGTCTAAAAAAGCAGAATCCTTTCACAGTTCATATATAGGAGTTTGTTAATTCCAAAATAATTTTTAAATTTTTGAATCCACTTCGAAAGAGTATGTGTCACGTCAGAAATATCTATATAGCATCTAGAGTGACACTAGCTATATAGCAGTGCAATTTTTTTTGTTAATTAATGATAATGCTTCACTGGTTACCGGAGCTCCTCACCATTACGTAAAAGAACCTTCTTCTATTTATTCAGATATTGAGCTAGTCTAAAAAAATATGTATTCGAATAATATCATACATCAAATCGATATTGGAGTTTGGCGGCAAAAATACTGACAACGGTGGTATTAACACGTCCTCTGCTTCAGCTTTGGAATCAGGTCAAAATGTACTCAAAACATGGGAAAGTTGAAGCAAACGAGGGTCTTACCTTGAATTATGTAAAATCTGGCCCAGTACCAATATTACTCTATAAAAAACATGGTTTAAAACTTTGTAGTGATACGTATAAGCTAACTAACACAAACATACACAAAAAAAAACAAAAAACGTGTTTTTTTTCTCGTAAGAAACTGGCAATCAATGTTCACGAACTTCACACCGTAATGAGTAACGGGACACGCAAGCGGATGCCGAAACACGCAAGGGGGTTGAATTTAACCCGATAGCGGAAAAGGAGAGACTTTTTTTTTTCGAAACTTTATATAAGAAATGTGGTCATTAGCGTCCAACCGTTTCTTTCCATTCCATAAGTTTTTATTTATTACTTTTATTTACCTGAAAGGATGCTTTGCTAATTTAAAGAATTAATGTTATTTGGATTATTTTAATTTGATCATAATAGTAAGATGCAAAACGTTGACGTTGTTACTAAACTGGTTTTGTTCACACTAGTGCTATATACTGAACTATTGCTAGTTTTTTTTTGTATAATTTTTTTATTGCTTACATGGGTGGACGAGCTGACAGCCCACCTGGTGTTACTGGAGCCCATAGACATCCACAACGTAAGTGCGCCACCCACCTTGAGATATAAGTTCTAAGGTCTCAAGTATAGTTACAACGGCTGCCCCACCCTTCAAACCGAAACGCATTACTGCTTCACGGCAGAAATAGGCAAGGTGGTGGTACCCACCCGCGCGGACTCACAATAGGTCCTGCCACCAGTAATTACGTAAATTATAATTTTGCGGGTTTCATTTTTATTACACGATTCCTTCACCGTGGAAGTCAATCGTGAACATTTTTTGAGTACGTATTTCATTAGAAAAATTGGTACCCGCCTGAAATTCGAACACCGGTGCATCGCTCGACACGAATGCATCGATCGGAATTGAAATTGAATATAAGAAGACGGAGACACACTAAGTTAATCTTTCATTTATTAAAACCATTCCCAGGTCCCGTGGCGGCTGATTCTACACAACGGTCACTTGGTATTGCATTGTCTGAGATTTAATTTGTCTTAAGAATTAATGTAAGGCCAGTATATTTTAAATCCAAAGTAAATAAATTTAAGCATTTATCAAAATTGCATACAGACTTTTAGTCTGTTTGCTGTCGTATATGTTATTAAGTTAACCCGTCGGTTCGGCGAGTAAATTAACGTACAGACACAGCCTACTGAGTTTCTCGTCGGATTTTCTTAATGGGTCGCGTTTCCGATCCGGTGGTAGATTCTGCGAAGCACTGCTCTTGCTAGGGCTAGTGTTAGCAACATCTTCAAGTTAGAGCCCTGTGAGCTAATCGACTCGCTCGGTTATGCGGATATAGACTCTAAAGGCTACCAGCTTAGTTAGGGAAAATAATAATAACGTTATAGTCAGATGATTTACCAAATTGTCATTATTCACTTGATCGTTTTCTTCGTGTTTTTATGAAATATGTAGTTATTCATCGTCCTACTGACTGTTACACAGTAAAATTGAACCTTTATAAATTGTCAAACTGCAGGCTATTGTTTCTTTTAGCCCGCTTATAGCTGGACTATAAAGGACACATCGAAACGAAAATGTCTATCTAAAATCAGAAATCATGTATTTTATTTAGTAGTGTATGTGGTAAAAAGCTAGAACTTTGCATTCATCGTATTTTTGTAAAACATTTGGTGTCCGTATGTAGGGTAGCTAACGTAAACAATATTATTATTGTACATAGTAAGATTGGTTCTAAAGTTATAAATGAGAAAAATAAACGACTTTGATTTAAAATAAGCGTTTTACAACAACAACAAAAAGTACTATATAGGTTGGTCTCGTCGAGATGCTGTTTACATAGAATCATTGTGACTTGTAAATTTTACAAATCGCAATTGTAGGTAATTGACGGAAAAAAACAAAGGAGCTAAAATATTTGAAGTGGGTCTAAAGATTAGAAATTTCAAGGTGCGGTTTAATCTCGTTTTTAATTTTATAATTTTCTAAAATGTGGCATTTCTTTTGCAACTTTGTTTTTACTGGTGGTAGGACCTCTTGTGAGTCCTCGCGGGTAGGTACCACCACCCTGCCTATTTCTGCCGTGAAGCAGTAATACATTACTGTTTGAAGGGTGGGGCAGCCGTTGTAACTATACTTGAGACCTTAGAACTTATTTCTCAAGTGGGTGGCTCATTTACGTTGTAGATGTCTATGGGCTCTAGTAACCACTTACCACCAGGTGGACTGTGAGCACGTCCACCCATCTAAACAATAAAAAAAAACTACCATTGCGAAAATTAATTAGGGTGCACTTTTTCACATTATATATTTAATTACAATGTTTTGAAGTACGTGTTTGTAGATACTTAAATGTTCTTTTTAACAGGTGGAAAATACTCGTCTGGACAGTACACGTACAAGATCTACCATCTGGCGTCCAAAGTTCCGGCCTTCATCAGGCTACTTGCTCCGAAAGGATCTCTCGAAGTACACGAAGAAGCGTGGAACGCCTACCCGTACTGTAGAACAGTGCTGACGGTAAGAACATAAACTTGAGTTTATATACAGGGTGTTAGCAGATCGTTTCCGAAGACGTAACTGGAATAAACTAAAGTAACCAAAACAATACTTACTAATCGCATATTACGTTGTCTTTTTTTTATTGCTTAGATGTGTGGACGAGCTCACAGCCCACCTGGTGTTAAGTGGTTGCTGGAGCCCATAGACATCTACAACGTAAATGCGCCACGCACCTTGAGATATAAGTTCTAAGGTCTCAGTATAGTTACAACGGCTGCCCCACCCTTCAAACCGAAACGCATTACTGCTTCACGGCTGAAATAGCCAGGGAGGTGGTACCTACCCGTTCGGACTCACAAGAGGTCCTACCACCAGTAAAATTAGTCGTATTAGTAAGATTCTTTTTTTTTTTTATAATTCAAACAAAATATTTTGCACGATACTACGTTTTTTTTTGCAACAGTTTTGTTGAGTTTTCGATTGTGATTTTTTTGTGTGTCTTATTTAGTTTTTCGGCAACGATTCCAATACATCATCTACGCACAAAAAAATCCATTCGTGATTTTAAAAATACACTAATGCTGAGCTGTTAAGTATACTCGAGCCTGTTGAAAAGACTTCCTTGTTTTGTGTTTAACTGTCTCGAGACAGTTTGAAATAATGTAACACGTGAAGCCTTCGTTATTTTAATACGGTTAAGTTACTTTAATGTCATGTTTTTTTTTTTATTGCTTAGATGGTTGGTCGCGCTCACAGCCCACCTGGTGTTAAGTGGTTACTGGAGCCCATAGACATCCACAACGTAAATGCGCCACCCACCTTGAGATATAAGTTCTAAGGTCTCAGTATAATTACAACGGCTGCCCCACCCTTCAAACGGAAACGCATTACTGCTTCACGGCAGAAATAGGCAGGGCGGTGGTACCTACCCGCGCGGACTCACAAGAGGTCCTACCACCAGTAATTACGCAAATTATAATTTTGCCGGTTTCATTTTTATTACACGATGTTATTCCTTCACCGTGGAAGTCAATCGTGAACATTTGTTGAGTACGTATTTCATTACAAAAATTGGTACCCGCCTGAGATTCGAACATCGGTGCATCGCTCAACACGAATGCACCGGACGTCTTATCCGTTAGGCCACGACGACTTCAAAACGTCGCATATTTTGTCAAATACGTTTTTTCATATACGTGTAGTTTTGAGGCTTACCTACACCCATTGTATAATAATTCCAGTAATTTTCAATTGCTAATTAACACTAAAATATATCTCAAAAGATAATATTTTAAATTTTACACTGCTTTAGAAAATAATCATTTTTTTTTTCATTTCCTGAACATTTTACATTTTCAGAAATGTGCCTTTTTCGAAATTGCATATTCAATTATGTAATTCGATTATTAAGCCCAAAACTCGTGCGTTGTGTTGATCGATTGTGCCAATGATATCGAAATTGGCACGTGGAATTTTGGAACTTGGTAACGTGTTGGTGATATTTTTAATTTATTTTTCAGAATCCCGGTTACATGAAGGAAAACTTCGTTATATGTATAGAATCGCTGCATTTACCGGACGCCGGCGACCAATACAATGTGAGTGCTGATTTCCTTTCGACGAAAATTTCATGTTTACTTTCTTCGATAACTTTTTTAAACACTACTGTGTATTTCTATTTTTTATCGACGTAAACACAAAGTCGAATACTTTGTGTTCATATTTTTTATTGCTTTCGTATTTATTGTGTAGGGATAAATGGTTCTAAGGCAACGGTCGTTAATATCAGTGTACTCATAATAGATACGTATTATACTAACTAGCCTTTGATATCGTAATTATAAAGCACTCGACATTAGTGTACTTAGAGTAGGTATCTGAAGAATCGCAAGTTGAAAGTACCAAGAAACGAAAACGACTGTTGTGTGACAGCACACATTCAAGGCTTTTATGGTTGTGTGTATGGTCAACGGTAATAACATAAGTCAACTTGTTCGTTTGTGTGAGTGATGCATTGTTGTGAATTTATCGCCCAAATTTACATTCTAATTGTGGTGTTAACTGGTTACCGAAACCTACAGGTATAAATAACATTGTGAACATCACAGCTGACCTCGAGATATGAGGTCAAAATGTCAATTGTTACGAGACGGAAATAGGAAGTTTGGGGAATCTATAGGAACTGATTTAAATTTGAAACTGGAATAGAACAGTTGTTGCTATAATACAAACATAAATTTGGTCTTTACATAGCGGTAAACTTCATTCAAGAACAATGGTTAGGTTATTATTTAAAAAAGTGATACCCACTCTAGGGTCGTATCAGGGATAGTGAACATTGGGCTTCTATCGTGTTAGACTTCCAAAGCTTTATCGCGTCTGTAAAATGTAAATGTATTTTAAAATGTAAAGCCCCATAATATACGTTGAAATATTTCTTAATGTGTAATCAAGTGTTTGATGAAGAATTTAAAATGTTGGGATAAGATTTTGCAGTAAAATATCTGCAGAATATTTAAATAAAGGTACATACACACAGTAAATTTGTTTTATCGGGGCTAAAGAAAATATACAGTTTCGACCTTCCTAACGTCTTTGATATGTTTTAGATAAAGACGTTTCACCATTAAACTACGTAATTTTCATATAACTTTGATAATGTTACGCGGAAGTATTATTTAATTTCGTGTCGCTTCTTTTTAGTTTTTTTTTGTTTTTGTTTTGACGAATTCGGCTATAAATATGTAACATTAGTGTGTTTATTTAGTTTGATAACTAGTTACATTATTCGTTTATCTCCGGCGAAGAATAATTTTTGTGAGCGCAATGTACGTGTGGGTAATAGAAAATCAATTTCAAATTGAAGACGTCTTAATGTCTACTTGACGACCTGGGACTCGAATCAATGCGGAAATACATGAAGTCAGCGTCAGAACATTACTTCGATAAGGTTATATGATAATCGCCTTATCGTTACCGCCGCTGACTACTCCCCGAATCCTGATCACGCAGGAGACAATCACCGTCGACGCCCTAGGCACGTCCTTACAGATCCATCAAATCCAATAACCTTTGCATTAGACGCCTTCATCTCTAACATTAACAGCAGGCTTAGAGACCCCGGTAACTGTTCTCGTCGAACTCGACCAAGAGTTCGCCGTGCAACCTAACCCGTGCATCAGCCCGCTGAGGTTCTCGCCGGATCTTCTCAGCGGGTCGGAATTCCCATCCGGTAGTAGATTCATTCGCGAAGCAGTTGCTCCTAGATCGCCAAGAGACTCGTTAGAGACGGAACTGGGAATGGGCAATAAGCGCTCAGCGTACTTTGAGCTGGTCGTTCTTGCAGGTTGGTAGATAGCTTGCCCATCTAGAACGATATAAAAATCGAGACTGCGATTTGATTGTGAGTTGAAACACTTTTTAGAAACTGCAGAGACTTCGGTTCGTTTTATATATACCTGATGCTCTATGCGGATTGACCTGAATACCGCATCGTAACCTCGTTAAGATGAATAGTTATATTTTTCTAAAGAAACACTAAATTATAGTAATATACTTACATATGTGTGCGAAATTGATTTAAAGGATTTAAATTATTATTCCATTCATAATTAAGATATAGATTGACTCGGATGATTAGTAGCGTGAGTGCGATAATTATCGTTTTAGTCTTGAATTACCAACACTAGTAAGTCTGCGCTTCGGGAACAGCCCTCCTACATCCAGTAGGAACATTTTTTTGGAGAATAAAAAGTTAACGATTCTTGTATTCACAATTCAAATCGGAATTGAATTACGATACATTTACGTCATTAATTCGTTACGTAATTTTTCCAATAGAAGTTATTACTGCATATAATTGCTAATAGCATACTCATAGACACTATCCATCGGTAAATGGTTCTCAGTTGGAACGCAGAATAGATAAGGCTTTTGGTTAATCTGTGGCGGGTAGCCATCATACAACGCAAGATAATTGACAGATGCCTGAATCTCGCTTACGACATTTTCAAGATAAAGCGCATATATACAAGTTCCGAACAACAACATTCGGACCGTCGGTCTACCGAGCAATATCACCCGCTCGGTGGAAGATCTTTCCTCTCCTCGTTAAACATCCCAAAAATCTATATCTATACTAATATATAAATCTACAGTGGTTTTTACGGATGTTCCGCTATAACTACTGAACCATGCATCCAATTGACTTGAAACTTGGTATCCATGTAGAAAATACATGTAGGTACTTAATGGATAGCCTAATATTTATATGAGTGTTGGACTCCCTACACCAGTTGCGGTTGCGGGGCGTTAATGATGAGAATCTTTGTGGGGTGAGAAATAATAATGTTAATTTTAAATGCCCAGCGAAGCGGACGGGTACAGCTAGTAGATACATAGATCTAGTGATTTACCTACATGCGGTAAGTTCATGAATAAAAAAAACGAAATATGTATGTGCATATATGTATATTCGAAGGCTAAGTTGCGTATATTTTTTGCATAAATTGCTCTGATACGGATTGGTGTTTATAATTTTTTTTTTTCTTTTGGGATCTCGACCTCAAGACTATTATGTAACTTTGAAACTAAAAATTTTAATGTATGTTTTGATGTACACGTATTCTTCGCCACGGCTCAAAGCACAAACAAATTTGGTTTGATACATTTCAGATTCGCATTGTTACGCGAATATTTTTATAGTAATCGGTAAAGAGCCATCAAAATATGTAAAAAATATAAACAATATCTATTTTAATGAATTTTAATAAATATAATACAGATAGCTATTGCCTTATATTAATACTTTTTGTATTTCTTTTTATATAATTTTTTAAATTAATTTCATAAAAGCAATTGGACCGTATTTGTTAAATAATTTTCATTTTTTTTTATAAAACCTTTTGTTTCACTGGTGCTACTACGTCACAAATTGTTTTCATGACTTATTCGCCATGTTAGCTGATTGCAGTGTAAGCATGATTATATGTTGATTGGCGTTCTTGAAGTAAAGGCTTATTGACGGCCTCCGTTTCTTGTCGTGGCATTGATATATATGATATAGCTAATCGAAAATAATATGATGACAAAAGTAAATTTATAATAAAACAGAACGTAAAATAAACTTTGGATATAATGGGGAAAATGTAATGAGATATCGCGAACTTAGGTAGGTCATGTTGTAAGCCTGGGTGATTAGATATCATAATCCTGGTAATTTCTGCCACGAAGCTTTTTTCCCTGCCTAACCGTTGGTAGCATTTAACTGCATCTACCACCGGATAGGAATCGCGACCCATTAAGAAAAAATATGTCATAGCAGTTTGGGTTTTAATATCTTTTAGTTTTTTTATTTATAGCTTAGACGTGTCAACAAACCCTATAGAAATCATAACGAGAAAGTTGCTACTCACCACGAGACATGAGATCGAAGTCTTAATAGTATTGTAAAGCAGCTGACCTATTCTTCAAATCGGAACACATGACCTGCTCCGTTGCTCCCAATAGAGACAGCCCATTGAGTTTCTCGCCGGATCTTCTCACTGGGTCGCGACTCCGATCCGGTGGTAAATTCTGCACTGCTCTTGCAAAGTGTTAGCAAATTCTCTCAGATCGAGCCCCTGAGATCACCTATCCGCGCATACTCGGAATAGCTTCTTAGACTACTGGCGAAATAGGCCTCATAGACTACCAGCGAAATAGGTAGGGAACAAAGAAATAAATTTATCGTTTGATTTGATCAAATTTTATCATACTCGATAAATAAATTAAAGACATACAATCATATTATTTATATAGATAGTTTATATACATAATAGAGTGTAGAGCCTTGGGAAAACATCACTTAATTTGTTTTTCTTTAAGCCTATTCCTATGTCTACTTTTGTTGTTAAAAAGTAAATTCGAATTTAATGCAAACTAATAAACGATTGCATCAAATTTAATATTCGATCAATATATCGAACGTATATTTTGAGGTTGTCTCGAAAGTACTGTCAGTATCCATTAATATTCCCTGAAACTAGGTCAAGAAAGGTTTCGGTTCTAAAAGCAAACTATTTCTATCTTGTTCGGTTTTTGTGAATATCGGTCAAGTAGACCAATATAGTATGCCTTATTCAACTTTCGCATGTGAATTTTGTTTGATTATCCTTCAATTTTGAAAAATCAATGAACGTAATTAGCTCACAGCCCTACTGGCGGTAAAGCGTTTGTCGAAACTAATCAAACATTATAACGTGGATGCCGCCACACATCTTGGAACACGAAGTCGATGTTTTAGCTTCATAATAGTTATCCCACTCTTCAAATTGGAACGCATGGTTTACATCCGCCAGAAATAGGCAGGCTAGTGGAACCCGTCCATGAGAATTTATAAAACAATGTGAACTACTACCACTTAAAAATAAAAGTTGTTTTTAAACGATTTAAGGTGACAGATATGAAATGTTCAAACTGAAAATATTTAAGTACTATACTCTATTTCAATTACGAAGTCCCATTACGAAGAGACAGATGTTATTATTATTATGTTGTTGTGTGTGTGAATTAATTCTATAATGATTTAGATTGATTGTATATTTTTTTATATGATATTTACGACCATGAACAAAAAATGTTTATTATTTCAAATGATGCGAAACGTGAAGAGTTACGTTCTAAGTGTCAAAAGGGACTTCGTAATTGGAATAGAGTATAAGGTGTAGGTTAATTCAAGGTTTTGTGAAAATTTTATTATACCTAACTATTTTCGTAGAAATGATAATCTTCTTACCCTTATCACTTTGGGTTAGGCACAGTATAAATGCATGTTCTAAATATCGTTCGTTTTGGATTACAGTTTTACAGCTGACGTGCCTTACGTCAACTCTCTTATTATGACAACTTCGATATAAGTTCGATAAATAATCGTACGATCACCCACTTTTTACTCAGGAACCGATTTTTATCAGTTAATGCGTGAAACTTAGAGTGTAATTCGCGATAAATATCGCACGACGTCTGATAAAATAATGTTATGTGTAATCTTTTAACAATTGTTTTTTTTTATTTAAGCATTATCAAATTTTTATCGTAAATACCTCTTTTATTTGGATAATTAAATGTCGTTTTCAATGAAATAACCCTAATAAAATATTTGTTATTTATACAAGGTTGATTCGAATAAGTACTTTAAATTCCTAACTTTAAAGGCAAACAAAAAGCTTACAGTAAAATCCTAACATCTGTAAAACTTAAAACATTAAATTGCCTGTTATTGGTTTTCATTTATAGCTGAACTAGCTTACGACATCAATTTTAAAGTCACTACATTTGAAACATGAAGTCGATTTTAAACAAAAAAAAAACATTTTTTTAAATGAAATACTACATTTTTCTCTTCCTTTACTTTCTTTCTTTTCTACCATTAAAAATGATTACATATTTGTTTGTAAGACGAAATAAACAAAGCGCTTGGTAGTGTGCCTTGCGTGCTCACAACACGTCCCGAAACTAGTACTTAAGATAGAAATCTAAGGAATTTATGGTAGGAGTGAACTATTACATACGAATTTATGCTTGTTTCAATTTTTTTTCTTCCACTACGGAGGGTGCCGTTACGCATAGGTTGGTAACGATAACAAATATTGGGAAATTTCACTGAATTTGAACGTATAATACAATAAATTTTAAGTACTTATTTTAATATAATAAATTTTATAATAATAATAAATTTTAATTTTAAGACTTAAAATTTATTGTTATGAGGATACACGTGAACAGATTTAATATAAAAAAACCAATTAAATATGATTAATAATAAAAGGAGGTTTTTTTTTTATTCAATTTCAAAGAATTAGCTTGGATTAGATATAACTAGCAGAAGCTTCACAAAAAAAGATCTATAATATATTAATACATGAAGCAAAAAATTTGTACCCTTTTTTACGAAAATTGCCAGAACTGAGTATGAAATTTCCCACACTTATAGAGAATATAGAGGAGGAGCGCAATGTTATTTTTTTTTTATTATGGATAAATATTACATTAAATCCACGGGAGCGGAAAAACGAGAGCGCGGCTCGTGAGGAAATTTTGCTGATTTCGCACATTTGATTTTGTCCATAAGTGGCAAAAGTGGTTAATAACAAATAGACTTAACCTTCAGACACAGCCCACTGAGTTTCTCGCCGGATCTTCTCAGTGGGTCGCGTTTCCGATCCGGTGGTAGATTCTGCGAAGCACGGCTCTTGCTAGGTGGTTCGTGTTAGCAACGTCATCAGGTTTGAGCCCCGTGAGCTCACCTACTAGTTGAGGCTACGCTGATATAGCCTCTCAAGGCTCTCAGCTTAGGTAGGAATTAAAAAAAACAAATAGGGATTATCTGATCAGTTAATTGTTTCAGGTCCATGAGCTGCCGCCTGAGAAACTAAAGACCCGCGAGGTGGTCCCCATAGACATAGCGAATGACCCCCTCCCGTCGGCCGACTACAAATCGGAGACCGACCCGACCAAGTTCAAGTCTACGAAGACTGGCCGCGGACCGCTCGTCGGGCCAAACTGGAAGAACGACGTAAAACCGGTCATGACGTGCTACAAGCTCGTCACGGCCGAGTTCAAATGGTTTGGTCTCCAGGTAATCTATATATCTATATACTACTACTACTATCCGTCCCTGTTCCCGTTATCTGGGGTCGGGTCTCCTCACTCTACAGCGCCAGGCTGATCTGTCCTGGGTTGTCGGTTTTGGCAATTGGGCTTTCTTAAGATCTCTTTCGATGTTTGACCACCAGGTAGATCTACATATCTATATTATATTAATACGTGAAGGAAAAACTTTGTATCGCTTTTTACGAAAATTGCACGGACGGAGTATAAAATTTCCCACACTTATAGAGAATATAGAGAAGGAGTGCAGAATATTAATATTTTTTTAAATTATACCTAAAAATACATTAAATCAATAAAGAGAACATTACACACACTACCATGTATTTGACGCACATACGCATTCATATTATTTATTTATTGTCAAACTTTTGTTCTTGACGTCTGTGGTCAAATTGAGAATAGATTAAATATTGTTTATCTTTATTAATATCCTTCTATAATGTAGGCTTGGCGAAATTTGTGATTATAGAAGTTTAATAGTCTTATAGAAGTCTTATAGAAAATAGTATCATAAAAGTGTACAAACTTACAATTTCAATTAATTATAGTCGAATTTCGACTATTGCGGGACCACTAGTGTAAAAATGTATTGCTGTTCGTTAGTCTCGCTAAAACTCGAGAACGGCTGGACCGATTTGGCTAATTTTGGTCTTGAATTATTGGTAGAAGTCCAGAGAAGGTTTAAAAGGTAGATAAATGAATGAAAATGCTCGGAATTAAATAAAAATAACAATTTTGTTTTTCCTTTGATGTGTCTCCCGTCGGACGGATTCCTTTTGTTTTTTTTAAGTTTATTTTATACAAAAGTTTAGGTCTTTTATTTATCGACTGAGGCACTACGAAGTCTGCCGGGTCAGCTAGTATGCCATGGAAATAATTCTAGACGTTGATATACTGTTTCAGTAGTATTAGCTTTAGCAATGATATTAACACATTTCTATTTTCAGAATAAGGTAGAGAATGTCATCCAGAAATCGGAGCGACGATTGTTCACAATCTTTCACAGGTACTGTGATTGATGGCTTTATTAGTAAATATTTATTTTATAATTTATCTTAAGGTCTACAAACGAGGACTTTTTTGAATCTCGTTTGACGTGCATCATCGAGATAATATTATTATTGTCATTATAAGCTGGTTGAAATGCAGTAAAAATTGTACTTGGTGGAAAATCGCAATTATTCTAGGCTAAATGATGAATGTAATCAACTGAAATTATATTTAGTACAAATTAAGATAGGTTCAAAAATATTTCTATAGACTGTGTCAGAATTGTAGGTAGGTAGTAATTTTATTATTGAAAACAGTTGAAGATAACAATATACTATATACCAATAAGAATAGTGTTATAATCTCAGTATAGTTACAACGGCTGCCCTATCCTTCAAACCGAAACTGCTTCACGGCAGAAATAGGCAGGGTGGTGGTACCCACCTACGCGGACTCACAAGAGGTCCTACCACCAGTAATTACGCAAATTATAATTTTGTGGGTTTTAATTTTTGGAAGTCGTGAATCGTGAACATTTGTTAAGTACGTATCTGATAAGAAAAATTGGTACCCGCCTGCGGGATTCGAACACCGGTGCGTCGCTATATAGGAATGTACCGGACGTCTTATCCTTTAGGCCACGACGACTTCAAAATTTATCGATTTACCCATTATTTTTTTATTTCAGACAAGTGTTCTGTTCGATGGACGACTGGTACGGAATGACGATGGCCGACATCCGAGCTATCGAGGACCGCACCAAGGAGGAGTTGGAGAAGCTGCGGCGCGAGGGAGAGGTGCGCGGCATGCGGGCCGACAACGAGTAGATAGACGCACGGCGCCCGCACCGCACCGCACACACGAGAGCTGATTGAATTATGAATTCAACTTGGTTACTTAGGTACGTTGACTAAATATTCCTGTGAGTATAGTACATTATATTAATGAGGCCTATAAAACCAAAACGCAGCTAAATCCAATTCTGTCAAATATTCAGGTAAACTACAAATAACGTCCTAAACACGTCATTACGGATCCTCCCGATCCACCGAAGTACTGCTCTTGCTAGGGCCAGTGTTAGCAACACTCCCGGTTTGAGAAGTTGAAATAACTTTGTTCGGATAGCTACGATATTCTATATTTTAAAACAGATTTATAAAGAATGACAATATTACTAATAATCTGAATTTTAAATGATAAAACTTCGTTTATATTTGAGTGCAGAGTAAAAATAAATTTTTTGAACTGAATTCGCTAGAGATTTAACTGCATTTGTTATAACATGAAAACACTAAAGCGCGTCCAACTAACTAAACTAGATGGCGCCATAGTTAATTCATTTTGCGACTTTAAAGGCGTTTAGCTGCTTTTGATTTTATAGGCCTCATTTTATTAGGTTTTCGCGAGTCCCACACGAGATTAAAAACACTTTTACGGTTTAACTCGAGCTCGTACTGTACGTGCGTGTCGGTCGGGCAAATCTCGCTATCTCTCTCTGTAAAGCGAACGTTAGAAAAGGATGAACGATTAGGTAAAGTTTCACACCGCCCTGCGATGTTTTAGTACAAATTTATTTATGCTTATTGGTGGTAGGACCTATTGTAAGTCCGCACGGGTAGGTACCACCACCCCGTCTATTTCTGCCGTGAAGCAGTAATGCGTTTCGGTTCGTAGGGTGGGGCAGCCGTTGTAACTATACTGAGACCTTAGAACTGATATCTCAATGCGTGTGGCGCATTTACGTTGTAGATGTCTATGGGCTCGAGTAACCACTTAACACCAGGTGGGCTGTGAGTTCGCCCACAAATCTAAGCAATAAAAAAAAATGCACCCGAATTTAAGAGTGCAAAACTGTATTATTACTATTTTCGACTAAGGCAGTTTACACGTTGTGGAAACTGAGAATGAGAGTGAGACAAGAATCAACTTGAATCGATTTAGTTACGCCGGTGAAATAGAGAATGAGAGAGAGAGATAGAGATAGAAAAATGTCCGGTCAGAATTGAAAACATTAACTTTAAATTTTTAAGGGCGAGATTACACCGTGTAAGTGTTTTTAATGGCTGTAAACATAGTTTTTGAAACTATTATTAGTTGGATGTTAAAACATTTAGTGGGATATTTTCCCTTTGAAAAGCAATAAAAAATTATCGAGTTCCGCACTCGGTACGCATATTTTCACGTTCATATTTATGCCCGAGCTTCGAATTCTCGAGATTGTTTTCTGACAAATGAAAATAATTCACGTCTCAATTGGAATTATCTTGAAAAATATTCAAAATTTATTTTGGCTTACAAAACAATAAGATGCCACTGTGTGTACTATATAGTTATTGTGTAAACGCTTTTACTCGACCGATTCAATTCGTAATACAATAAGTCGAGAAAAAGGCGATACAAAAGAAATTCGTCGATATGTGATGCTTGGGCATAGATTACCATTAGGTAAATAATAATTATTATTAAAGTGCGGCGTAGTTAATATAATAAATAACCATTAAGTGAATGTAGTCAGTGGTTGTTTTCAGGTAGTGTTGTCGTTACCTTATTACTGATTAACACAATTCGATATAAATCTTTGACAATTACTTATTAGAAAATCGATTGGTAAATAAATATAGTATAAAAGCATTTTATGTCAACGGAAACTATAAATTTTCAGTTTAACTATTAACATAATATATTTTGTTAAGTTGAAAGGTTCGAAAGAACCATTTGGGCTGTTGTGTATTTATATTAATTGATAGTAGGTAAATTAATTGAAAAGAAAGTAAATATTGTAAGTATCTTTGCGCAATAGTATATCCTAGTTTCGTCGAGAGTGGTTCTATGTGAAATAAAATATTATTGGTGCAGAAATATGTTTTAATAATAGCAAATTATGTGAAGTGGAATTTTGGTTTATTGATAACTTTGGTGTTGCAAGACGAATATTTAACTTAACTGTGGTTTAAAAGGTCATTGGGACGTTCTCTGGTAAATTAATTGTAATTGTAAATTGGGATGTGGTTCAATTTGCAACACCGTACCATAATGGCATGTATATTTTTTTTATGAAATAAGTTTCTTTTAACGAATCAGTATTTTAAAATATTGTGTGACATTCCAAACTGTGCCGGTTGTCGTTCGAGCATTTCCTAGTTTGATTTGCCGATTGTTTTTCTCCTCATACAAAATGGCTCTCTGAAATAAGTGCAGTACATAATATAAATAACCACTTTGTATCATTGTGTATTGTTCAAGAAAATAAAGCAAAATTTACAATTTTTAAAACATATGTAACGTTTATTTATTAATGTTATTTCAGTCTTCATAGCCATGTATTTACAGTCTTAAATAAGGCTATTCAAAGCTCTTGAAAATTTTACGAAAGCTGTATTTCTTTGAAAATTATAGTAAACAACATTAAGTTCCTTTCGTAATTTTCAAGAGCTTTAAATAACGTTTTGTATTTGCTTAATAATGCACTATGTTTTAAGTATTTTTTACTTATGTTGTTATAAGTTTTACGTCAAATATAAGATATGTATTTGATTACTTTTTTTTTATTCTGTTGGCCATTCGCTTCTAGCTTGTTTAGTGCTTTTGATGTTTGTTTTAAATTAACTTGCAAACGATTTCAAGTAAACTATGTATTTTAGACCAAGGTATAAGAAAAATTCCGATAGCAATATTATCTAGACGGAAATAACCCTACCTACCATACAGTCAGTACATGAATAGTAAAATGTACATATTATTTCAAGTTTATTTGCTTTTGTTGCTATTGCAGTTACCAAATGAATGTACACGTAATTATTATTTTTTTGCTTCCATTAAGTTTAAATAAATTTCCATGTTTACTAATCCCAAGAGATACATTTTACTAAGTAAGAATTGCTGTTTCACTGTTCTAAGATAGACATCCGTAGGAAATTTGCGTCAAATAGTGTTTTAATAGCTAAAATTGTCAATTTTTAAATGTTTAGCTAATTTAAAGATTTGCATTTAAAATTAATAAAAAAATATATTGTACCTATTAATAATATTTGTTGTAAAATGTAACTATCGATTTGATGCCAATATGAATAAAAGTAACTTAATCTGTTGCTTTGTTTTTATTTCCCAGAAAGTTTATACTATTTGAATTCAAACTTCAGAATTCAATTGATGAATAATTTAATCTGTTATAAATGACACAAAATATATACAAAATAAAATCAATACTTATATCTAGTAAAAAAGGAACTGATTTTATATTTATTGTATTTCGAAAAAAATTATGACACTAATGATAATTTAACATTTACTTAGAATAAACATAAAATCAATACCTTTAGTTGTTTTTTGTGCTCAGACTACATGGAATATAAATTTATCACAGGAAAAAAGGGTATCGCTCTTAAACATGACTTTCAGTCCTAACTTAAAATAAACATGTCAATAGTGTACAGACAATATTATAAAACAATATAAATAACGCTAAAGTACAAGACATTAGTAACGTTTATAGCATTGTTACAAGCTTAAGAAAGCGTTAATAATAAAATCCTTCGTAATAAAAAAAAAATTCATAACACTACACAAGGATGTAGATGAATATAGTACCCACCTACTTATCACTTAATGGCTTAGGTCTACTAATATATGAAATTAACCACTAAATTTGGGTTTGTTCGCGACCCAAGCCTACTCCACAAGTTAGGGTTGCCATAAGCTAATAATGGCTTTTTTCTGTACTCTACGATTTCGGCAAATCAGCTCACAACACATTTAAAAGGATCTTACATAAAAGCTTTTTAATCGCGTTATCCTAATTTATTAAACGTTTTGAAAAGAAAGCTTGTAAGATTTTTTTACTAACTAGCTTAAAAAATAACAAAAACCTCAATTATCGAATGCATTCAATCTATGATAAAATTAAGAACTCGTTCCGGTTAGTTTGTGTTTATTAAAATGTTGTTAATACTTATTGTACAACAAATCTGTCACAATGCCGAAAAGTTTCCTATCTAAAATACGTTTTTATTTTACTGCTCATAGTTGGATCAGCTCAGAACTACACGTCGATAGGCTATAGACATCAAAGGCAAGATGGTGGTTACATCTCCATTAACCTGTCCTGGTGAAACTGGAAAGGCCTCCGGGCCACAAGTAATTTCCAATCATAAAAAAAAAAAAAATCTCCATTAAAATACCTAATTTTAATTCACATATTTATTCAATAATTTCAATGGTTAATTAAATGATTCTTAGAATTAAGTTGTTATTTGAACAAAAGCATACAAATACCTGTTTGGAAAATATTGAAATAGTCAAAAGGCCAACAGCAAGCTTTTTTCGTTAATTTAATGAATCCAACGAAAACTATCTGTGTTATAGGAGATTAAAATAACAAAATTATTCTGAGTATAATTTTCAAATTTATAACCAATTAACACGACTTAGTTAAAAATGATCAAGAACTACTGACTTACATAAATTCAATTACACAGGCATGATGGTTGAGTAAGTTTAAAAGTTTTAAAATCTTATTTTGAAGGCGTAACTCAATATTAGAATTTGTACATTTAGGTCTTGAAAACGATTGGTTCCATTAGTTTAAAAAAACAATTAATTTACTGTACTAAATAATTATACTATAAATTCAACTTGAACCATTTGTTGTTATAATTGGATGCAATCATCATCAGTCTACAGACATCCACTGCTGGATATAGCCTTCCTGCAGGTCCATCACAATGACCAGATTCGTCAGGTTCCCTTGAGCTTCAATAGGTAAGTATGTCAGTCCATATTGTCGGAGGCTTGCCCAAAATGACCATACAAGGGTCATATTTTATTTCTACTTATTTAACATCCTGTCTTCATTTTATGATCACAGAAAATAATCAAATGGTTACATTAAACATTATTAAAAACTAGAGAGCTTTATTGAAAAAAAAATTAGATATTATAACTTGTGTGAATTTGTAAATTAATTTGTGATCCTATCTATAGATATTCTCTAATGCTTGTGTTGTGTATCCTCTCTTCTCATGTCGTGACTTCCTGAACAAATCTGTGTATATATATTTTTTTATTTGACTACCATATGGGAGAATATATTTCAATATTCCTATTTATTCAGTTCTGAACAGATTACAGTTTTATTGCCATATTAGATACAGAAAACAGTAACCTATTGCAAGGATACGCTTTTGTTTTTAATAAAAATATTAAGTTCCTTAAATTATTAATATAAGTTAAAATATGTGCTGCCCACCAAAAAAAATTAAACTTAAATTGGCCCATTGATTAAAAAGGTTGCTCACCACCCCTCAGTTATTGAATAAAAAAATATCTTAAATTACACATAAAATTTTCCTAATTAACTAAACTGTCACAAAAAAAAACTTTAATTGGAATAAGAGATCAATTCATTGTATATGATTTTGTGTATTTTGATAGCTTCTTTGATGCAGCAATGTCCAATGCAATTTAAACAGATACTCTAATCATATTATTCAATCATCAACTTCTAGTTCAAGTTCAATATCAACCAAATTAACTTTCCTTAGTGTATTTATTACCATGTACCTGGAGAACATCACATACAGATACCTAAACCACACCATTTGTGAGGAATGGAGTTTCATGGCTCTGACTATTCTTCTGCTTTCTGTCCATCGCAGAAAATATCTGAAACATAAATTTTGTCAATATTTATTTAGTGTTACTAATTATGTAATTAAGAATGTAAATTCATTTCTAAAATACACATTAGCAATGAAAAAAAATTGTTACATTTTGAACGTTCATAAAAGATAAATACCTTTTGGAAGACAAAATGAAACTGAGTGGTAGATCTAAGAAGCCCATGTATTTCCTCAATATATTTACTGAATCTAATGTGTAAACTGTACATTCTGGAAAATTTATGCACTTATTAATTGTTACACATTTCTTACTTAATTATTTGATTTGAGACGTCTATTATCAAAGGTGGCAATCTGTGCATTTGGACAAAATTTTTTTATTGATATGTCAATTCAGATTGATTTGAATATAATCGTCCCCTTCAAAGAATACGGTTCAAAACCTGCATTAAATAAAGGTTAATAGTTAACCTGTTATTTATCTAAGATGTCGTTCCGAAGAGTTTTGTGACTGCCAATGGAATACAAAGTCAATAATTCGTTTTTTCTGATTTACCAATCATTGTCCAAAAGTCAGATTGCCGGCTTTGATAATAGTCGACTCATTTTACCTAAATATTTTAACTCACTTTGAGGCATAATCTTTTCGACGAACATGAAAGCAACAGCATAAAATACTGCTGAATGATTAGGATGAGAAGATACACCTCCTCTGTCAAACGTAACCAGTGTGTCTACTGCTAAAGATTCTAATTGATGATGTATTAACTTAGCAATAACAGGCACAGGCCATTGTACTTTAGGGCTATCTTGCAGTCTTGTGTCATTAATCAGGCAGATATTTTCAACTGGTACTCCTAGTTCTTGGCAAGCTGACCAAAGTTCTTTACGCCTAACTTGACTTTTACCTTCAAAATTACCTAAAAAATATATTTTTTTGTTTTATTATTGAAATGTGATTTTTGTTACAAAATCCACAATTAAAATAGTGATTTAAAGTTACCATTTGACAAACATAGTATATGCACGTCGGTACCCTGTTCACACAATCTAAAGATCGTTGGTCCGAAAAACATGCATTCATCATCTGGGTGTGCGATAACTATGAGCACTCTCTTCGCTCCGAGTGCTCCGCGAATTCTTGTCGGAAGCTTTCGAGCGTACCGTCGATATACAGCACCACATACTAGTAAATAACTTAACACCCATGCACAAATGTACAATGCAAAATTTTTCACATAAACTAAAACTTCTGACAAAATTTGCAAGTAAATATTATACAAATATTCCCAATCGTATCCCAATATTGACAATAACATTTCTAAGTAGAAAGTTTAAAATAGATATTACTTTAATTTTCCCATTACTATAAATTGAAATTAAAAATGAATAAAAATTAATCAACCTTGTTTATTTATTATCGGATTTTATTCGGATTGGCAATTTGGAACTTATCCTATTTGGAAGGGCATTTACTAAATTTTACTATAAATATCATTAGTTTTTTTTTTAATGGATTTTATGACCTGGTAACTGAGACCTTTAAGTCATGTCTTATTTTAATTTATATTCATATTTTTATGAACAATGATATTATGTAGTGAAATGATATGAAGATGATTAATTTGAGACATTAATCAACTGAGGTGAAATTAAATGAAATGNGTAGTGAAATGATATGAAGATGATTAATTTGAGACATTAATCAACTGAGGTGAAATTAAATGAAATGAAATGGGATGAAATATAATCTCAGTAAAATGATGGTCATTTACTAAGATTTTTTCAGTGGACTTTTTGGAGGATCCCGAAAAGTTACGTCCAGCGGCTTTGTTTCATTTTCCCACATTTGTGCACTTTCACACATATTAAACAGTTAATAAACCACCATTATTACACATTTAAACCTGAAGAAACATTAAATAGACAAAATAAAACAAATCAGACAATTTCACTCCTCGCGTTCCCGCCAAAAAGTCCTAAATATCATTAGTGTTTAATCTATGGCATAGATTATACACTTAATATATTCGAATCTATGGTATTATTCATAGATACTGTAATAGTGTTTCGTTTTTTCAACTAGAAAGGTGAAATTAATATACTACACACCTTAAGCTGTATAATATTTATATTTTTGTTTAAAAAAATTTATAATATATTTTTTATTGGCATTGTAGGCAGACTGATGGTGAGTCGCCGTCACTCCTGGACGTCAGCAATGCTAGGGTCAGAACCAAGCTACTGCCTACCGTTAAATTTACTGAATTTTTAAGCTATTGCATAGCTTTTATCGCGGGCTGTGAGCGCGGCGACCGAATCATGAAATTCCGTAACGGAAAAAACCTTGCACCCCTCACTCCACCTACCATGTAGCTCGTGTACAACATATTCACACGTTGCGCTTGTGTAGTGTTTGTGAATAAGCGCATGGCGTGACGTCACACTGTATGCGCATCATAAAAATCTGCCCATCTCTCTCTCGCGCGGTCTAGCTTATGAGTGTGAAGGGGACAGTTAATGTTTTGCTTTTATTAATGTTAATTAAAGCGTGGTCTTGTTTTATTATCGTTTTAATATTAAATTATCATTATCTAATTATAATTGCATAAGTTGATAAAAAATGCTACGCAATAGCTTTACCGCGGCAGTTCCCGAGTGCCACACGTTTTTTTTTATATCTTTATTTGTTGATAGGTGAGAAGAGACTATTTCGGAAAATAGCTGTAACCCCTTAGTCCTATTTTTTTCATGGTGTCTCTGATCCACAAAATGAAACGATAAAACTATATAATGGAAGTATGTATACATATAGATAAAGGAGTAATAGAATAAATAAAAATACGTCACTAGCTAGATGCGTTTACACAGTTTACAGGTTTCCTTGATTATGTTTGGATGGTTTCAGACCTAAGCTGCACTACGGATATTTTCCGCGACTGATTCTAAAACCACGAAATGTTACAAAATTAATGCGAATAAAAACCGCACCAAAATTAGTAATCCATAAAAGAAATAGGCGTACACACACTTTATGTAACCGCGGGCGGTTTTTTGAAAAGTGCTATAATATAAATACATTTGCGAATTTTCGTATCCACGAAGCGAAGGTTTGGATTTGGGAGCACATTGAGCAAAATTTTATCAAAGGTGGCATAAGAATGACTCTCAAAAACTCTATTGGGAGAGAGATGGCTAAAGGCCTGGATATCGACCGTATAAAAGACTAAAATAATATGGAGACTAGATCGGGTGGATCCATCAGGACGTGGTTAGGGGTTAGCGGTGACGCCATAAATTATGGTGACGCCTCCTTAATGTGAATAGGAGGACTTTTATGCAAACGGTTTGAGTTTGTTATGTTCTCTTAGAATGTGTTTCCTGAGCTACGTTTGAGTACCCCTGTGGTAAGCATGAGTGCTTAGAACGGAAACCAAACTAACCGTCAGTAAGAATGCCTTCGGAAGACACGAGGTCCTTGCAAAGCAGACGTCACTCGTCGCAGTTTGCCTAGAGATATAAGGCTAATCTTGCGGTACGAAGTAGTGATTGAATTAGTATCGAGTATCAAGAGCATCGAGTATAGATTAACTTTGTGTAACTCTAAAGTATCAATTCTAGTATAAAATTAATCAACACTTTTTATGGATCTCTAAAATCTGACAAAAGTGGTTGACCTAAAGGTCGTAAATACCAGGTCATAAAATCCCAAAAAAAAAGACAAAAGTGAAAAATTTTGAAGTATTTGGAAATGAAAATGAATGTATAAAAAAATGACAAAAGCTCCAATTTAAATTACTATATCGCCATTCGACAATAGCATAACTTAATACCTCAATACAAAAACATCAAACGCGACAGGTACTGATGTATAAAAAGTAAATTTGGTTTCCGTGAAGAAATTTCTGAAACATACAACTATTTATTTGTAGATGCTCCGTCAAAGAAACAATATTTTAGTGACAACTTTTTATAGACAATTTACTACCTCACCTCAGTTTTGTGCCAGCCACTATGATGTGCTTGGAGTCACACCAAAAGCGACCCAGAACGATATAAAAACGGCTTACTATAAACTTTCCAAAGTACACCACCCGGACAAATCTAAGGTAAATGTAAAATCTACAAAGACAAAGATTCCATTTAATAAAATTAATCATTGCAAAAGCTATATTTTCAGTTCAGTATACCAATGCTTTAGTACTGAAACCTTCACAGAAAATAGAAAAAGTTATATCTATTATGTAATATTATCATAGCTTCTATTTTGCAGGTAATGTAAGCTGAATCGGCAATTGTTCAAAAATAGATATTATTTTTAATTACGTGAAGTACTTACTTATCTTGTATGTAACTGTTCTAGGATGAAGCATCTATCAAAAAGTTTCGAGCAATAACAGAAGCATATGAGGTACTTGGGAATATTCAACTTAAAAAAATGTATGATAGAGGTTTGTAATGCTGTCCATGTAAAATAATCGTTATAAAGTCTGCAACTATTTTAGTGATTTTGCTGAAATATCATCTTTATTTTGAAAAAATGCTTATAAGTAAACACATAAAGCCAGTTTTTTTCCATGAATGGTAAAAGTGTTTATTTTTTGAGGATATCCAAAAATTACGCTATTCTTTCATGTGGGTAAATAAGAGGAACTATTGATCAGTCAGATTGGTGGTAGATTCATTGAAGCACTGCTCTTGCTAGTGTCAGTAATTTTTTTTTTGGGTTGAACCCCGTGAGGATACCTATCAAACTGCATGTTGCTAAAACTACTTTGAAAAGCTGAAATAGAACATCCTATTCCATATTTCCAGTTTGAAGATGCAGTAAATTAAATGGCCCTTAGGGTATCAATTGGCGACTTTTTCAAGTAGTTTTGAGTTGGGTTTGGTTCTGAGGTTGATCATTACATGCAGGTATCACTTTAACATGCCTTCCTTTATGCTGTGCCTGCTGTTTGTGTAGTGCACAGCTTAATCAGATTTGTTGAGTTTCATATGGTTACAGATGGTTTTATTTGGTGTCAAGGGCTCATTAAAAAAATAAGGCCAAGGTAGTTTTACCAAAGACACAGCATAACCTTTGCAGTGTGAATATTCGCCTGAATAACAACATAGAACCATGTCTGGGCAGCCCCCAATATTTTTTTACGTTGCTGTATTGAATCCATTTTTCACCACCCATGATGCCACAAAGAAAACCATTCTTTTTTTACTGTTGAAGCAGTTGTTTATAGCCGAAAAATCATTGCTCAATGCCCCATGGCTTCAACACATCCAATCCCTGGAATCGCTTGAAACATGATTTGGCAAGTCATTCCTAATCTGATAATTGGATCTTGCCTTTAGTACAAATCATCATCTAGAAAAGCGTCTTAATATTTCATTTAGNCATGATGCCACAAAGAAAACCATTCTTTTTTTACTGTTGAAGCAGTTGTTTATAGCCGAAAAATCATTGCTCAATGCCCCATGGCTTCAACACATCCAATCCCTGGAATCGCTTGAAACATGATTTGGCAAGTCATTCCTAATCTGATAATTGGATCTTGCCTTTAGTACAAATCATCATCTAGAAAAGCGTCTTAATATTTCATTTAGAAATGTTTTCGAAGGTTTTTTGGCTTTCCTTTAAACCAATAAATTGTGGTTTAAAGTACACATAGGTATTTATTTTATTACATATGCAATTTTCTCATTACTATAAAATAAATTTTGATTAGGCAATTTATTTTGTTACTTAGGTCTCTTAGTTGGTAGAGAGAATACTTCTCGTATGGAATACAAACCAGAACCAGAACCTACAGATCCTACCCTAAAGTTTTACAAGTCCCATGCAACTCGCAATATCACACCCACCATGGACGGGAAAGTTCCAATTTATGACTTTGATAGTTGGTAAGTCCAAGATGATTTTGGATTTTGTAAAAAGTAGTGGCTAATTTTTTTTTTCTCAGGAATGTTTTACTATTTTAATCTTTAAATTAAATTAAAAGTCAAGTAGTATTCCTTTCTTTTTCAGGTCCAAACACCATTATTCAGATGTATTTGCAAAGCAGAAATATGATAAGGAAATGGTACGAAACTCACAAGAAAAACAACAGAAAATATTAGAATCTACTAAGCAAGAAGGAATTATTTGGCTTGTTATAATCATAGGTGGTTTGTTTATTGCGGTGTTACTTAATGGACTCGATGATTATGATCAAAATCAGTTACAAAAGAATAATATAGAAAAAAAATGAACTTCTACAAATATCTGATATAGATAAAAACGAATATGCTATTCAATTATAGCAGATTTGCATTATATTAGGATAATAAATCACAATTTACTATATTTATTTTTAAATAATGTGTATATATTGTAAATATAGTTCTTTATTTTAATTGTGATATTAATTGCATAAAATGCAAACATATTTTTAAACTTGTTTAATAACAGCAGTCCAGAAATTAAAGAAATAATAATTAACATGAGGATATAGTAAATAAAAACTTGTTTAGAACATTTATTTTCATTAAGTTTCTTTGATATACATAAATTGGTGTATTTTTTATTATATTTTCCTTACATGATGAATTTTAAAATGGTATTTTTTTTAAGTTTATTATGTACAATCACATTTTAAATAATGGTAAGCACCAATGGTAAGCAGATGGACATCTATATCAAACAAATTTTGTTTAGATATTGATAACATATAATTGACTTTGCAAACTGGAAACTTCATTAAAATCCTAAAATAATATAATCAACACATAGGTGCTTTAATGGCCACTAAATTAAGATAACATTATCATTATGAATAAACATCTTGAACACACAACAGAAATATTAGAATATTTCAGAAATGATTTCCGTACATTCCAGGCATAGGCATGTTAAGGGGTCCTACAGGGTAGGGCAGACTTTGTGGATTCTGTGATGGTAAATAATTGGAATATGGTAAGTATGGTTTTGTAGCACCATTACCATATGCATTCTGATTGCTGTTTCTCAACAATTCTGACATTTTCTCGGCTTTGTACTTCCTTATATGCATTTGTTTACGGATGGGTTCAAAATCTTCTAGAAATTTATCAACACCCATTTTTCCAGATAAAAAGTCTCTTGCAATGTTATCTGACTGTTCTTCTGATTCTGCTGCTGCTGTTTGCAGAAGTGCATGAGTTGTATCTGGTGATATTCCAGCAGATTTTGTTTCTGAAATGGCAATAATGTTATGAATGATTTTTTTTAAGCATAGATGGTGGACGAGCTCACAGCCAACCTGGTGTTCATCCATTCATCCCAGACATCTACAACATAAATGCCGACACCCACCTTGAGATATGAGTTCTAAGGTCTCAGAATAGTTAGAACGGCTACCCCACCCTTCAAACTGAAATACATTACTCCTTCACGGCAGAAATAGCAGGGTGGTGGTACCTACCCCTGTGGACTCACAAGACGTCCTTCCACTAGTAAATGATTTATGCTGATGTTAGTAAAATATGTTTAACCTGTATATATCTATGGACTTAGTATTTTGTATTGCATTCCACATTAAAAGCAGTGGCATATTGGGCAAGTATCCACTTGCTGGTAAAACAACCTCATCAACCATCAATACTACTACATTATTTGGAAATATTTTTTGGGCACTTCCCGATTCACCTAGGACAAGGTACATCCTTCCAACCGGGTGTCTATAAGTTCATGGCTCATCTGATGTTAAGCGATTACTGAAATCAGCATCGAATCCCACAGGCAAGTACCAATTTTTCTAATGAAATACGCATTTGTCAATTGTTTATGATTGACTACCACAGTGAAGGAACAACATCGTGTAGTAAAAATCAAACTCGCAAAATTATAATTTGCGTATTTACTTGTGGTAGGACGTCTTGTGAGTCTGCACGAGTAGGTACCAATTTCTGTCGTAATGCGTTTCGGTTCGGAGGATGGGGCAGCTAAAAACTTGAGACATTAGAACTCACATCTCAAGGTGTGTGGCGACATTTACGTTGTAGATGTCTATGGGCTACAGTAATCACTTAACACCAGGTGGGCCGTGAGCTCGTCCAACCATCTAAGTGATAAATAACTTACTATAATCATCTAGTAATTCTTGAATACGGGTACAGAGCTGTTCCCCTAATTCTGATTTCTCTTGTAGCTCAGCTTTCATTCTCTCTAACTCTGGTTCTTTTCCCAAATTAAACTCTGCTAGTGATCTATTACTTGCTATGAACATTTCTTTCTCAGTGTCCCAATCTTTGACCTGTAAACAAAATTATTAACAACATTGTAAATCCGTTCGTTTCGGTATTGAATTGAGGGCAAGCACTCTTTTTCCCGTCAAATCTCGGCTGGAGTCCCGTAATACATTAACGACATACTTTTACCCGGCCTAGAAGAATAAGTACTTTCCGGGACCTTGACGAGACCCACAGCACGCAATGATTGCGTGCTGGGGATCTCGTCTGTGGGGTAGATGCTGGACTTTCACCGGGCGCGTCCGTAGGTGGCGGATCACGGGATCCTCTGGGCGACTTTCCCATAGGTATCGTCCGATTTTTTCGTTGCAAGGATTCTTAGGTTTAGGTCCTAAGTTTAGGATTGAGTTAAGATTGAGGTTAAGGATTATGATAGGTTAGCTAGGCTTTGCAACGAAAGAGATCGCATGACGCGGACCATACCAGCATTAGGAGGAGCAGAAGGTCTGCGTCCTCCACACTCTTCACTAAGTGAAAAGTTCTCCTGGAGAGCGCAGCTTCTGACGGCACCAGTTTGCCGGTGTGTCGTGAGTGGTCAGCCTGTGCCCCGTTGTCGTGGGAGTGGACCAGTGTTGCATTTTCTGCAGCTGTTGGCCGCTGGTTGCCATGTCCCCGGCTTCAGCTACAGGAGAACGTCCACCAAATATAGGGATAGGGGCGTGCTTCCGTGGTTGCTCGTTTCGAGCGTGGGGCGGTGGTCTGCCGAGTTACCCTCTGCACTTGGTGGGCTGTCGGCCAACTCGTAATCTCCACTAAGTGGGGGCGGCGCTGTATGGGTCTTCCGTGTGTTGCCACGCGACAAAGTCACGGCGTTGCGACGTCCGCAGTGCGCGATTGCGGTCAGGGCGGTTCACGGGTACCGCAGTCTCGTTCGAGGCGGCGTGCGTGCTCGCCGGGACGCTTTCCTGGGAACTGAGACACTCGCTGCGGGTTACGCGTGGCGATGAGATCTCCGCTCCAGGGGGAGCCGCGTCCCGGCGCGGTGGAAGTTCGAGCGCGGAAGCTTCAATCTCGGCGTGCCGCGTTTGAAGCGTAGTCTCGCTGCCTGGCGAAGCTCGTCTATGGACGACGGGCCGTCGGGGCCATCCGCCCTATCCTCTCGGACTGGGTGAATCGCGACCGCGGACGTCTCACCTTCCGGGCGACGCGGATGCTCACGAGACACGGCTGTTTCGGTCGCTAGCTGCTCCTCGTCGCCCGAACGGAGCTGACGCCGAAGTGCCTCCGGACGGACGGAGATCGGACGTCAAGTGTAAAAGTGCAGGGGAGTCGTTTAGTGGGTGGGCCCTAAAATTCCTTGGGCCCGCGGTCTGCTCTCAACACCTGCAGAGCTTTGAGTCTCACATATCCCGCGCGCCCCCTAGGCGCGGGGACCTCGTAGGGGATTTCTACTGGTGGTAGGACCTCTTGTGAGTCCGCGCAGGTAGGTGCCGTGAAGCAGTAATGCGTTTCGGTTTGAAGGGCTGGGCAGCCGTTGTAACTATACTGAGATTTTAGAACTGATATCTCAAGGTGGGTGGCGCATTTACGTTGTAGATTTATATGGGCTCCAGTAACCACTTAACACCAGGTGGGCTGTGAGATCGTTCACCCATCTAAGCAATAAAAAAAAAAAAAAGGTTCGGCCCTCGGCCCGAAAAAAAAAGGGGCTAGTGTTAGCAAATCTTTCAGTTCGAGCCTGTGCGCTCACCTACTACGAGGGCGGCACTGAAAATTTCGGGAATTAACGAAGTGACACAACATTACTATTTAAAAATGTATTTATTGCTTTTCGAAGTATTCTCCGCGAAATTTGACACATTTTTCCATACGATGGAACCAATCATTGAAGCAACCATTCCATTCGGAAGTTGGGGTCTCCAATTGCGAACAAGAAGTCCAAAATGGCCGTTTTGTAGGCGTCCACAGCTTCTTCAGGTGATGAAAATCTCTGTCCACGCAATTTATTCTTTATTTTAGGGAAAGTACAGAAATCATTAGGGCTTAGGTCAGGGCTGTACGGCGGATGGTCTAATAATTCTATGTTTTCTTGCTCTAAAAACTCTTTTGTTCTGTGCGCGGTGTGAGAACTCGCATTGTCGTGATGGAGGATGATGCGGCGGTTGCAGTTCTCTTTACGGAGTTCAGAAACGACCTGTGGCAAACAAATGCTAGCATACCATTCTGCATTAACCGTTCTTTGTCCCTCAAGAGGAATAGTCGTAACATGGCCGGTTTTGGAGACAAACGTGGCCACCATTTTTTTTGCAACACTCCGTGAACGAACAATTTTTGTTGGCTTTAACTCATTTTCGAACACCCAAACTCGTGACTGGTTTTTTGTTTCGGGTTCGTACGCGTATATCCAGGATTCGTCACCTGATACAATGTTGTATACAGCATTTGAGGATCCTGCGTGGAATCTTTCGAGAGTTCTGACGCACCAAGTAACGCGAGCCGCTTTTTGCTCTTCACAGAGCGAATGCGGTATCCATCGGGAAAACAACTTTTTTACACCTAATTGTTCATGCAAGATTATTTGTATTTGACTCATGCCAATGTCTAAAGTTGCCTGAATTTCGCGGTATGTCACATGTCGATCTTCCTCAATCAGCTTACGCACAGCATCAACGTTTTCTTGGGTGACTGCAGTTTTTGGACGACCTTGACGGGGATCATCACTGAGCTTGACACGTCCACGTTGAAACTCAGCAAACCAGCGATAAATTGTGGTTTTGGATGGGGCTTCATCACCAAATGCAGAAATCATCCGGTCAACACACTGTTTTTATGTTAAACCACTTCGAAAGTCATAATAAATCATCACTCTTGAATTTTCTCAAGTCAATTCCATTTTCTCAACGACTAAACAAGTTTGACAAAACCTCGTGACAAGACCGAGAATCTTTTTTTAAATAAATAAATGGTATACGATTTTTAAAACCAAGGAGTTTTCAATTAAAAAGATTTTAATATGACAGGAACAGTGGAAATATTCCATTCCCGATACTTGATACTTTTAGTGCAGCCTAGTAGTCCCCAAGTAGCTGGAATAACCCCTTAGGCTACCAGCCATTACGTAGGGAAAAAAGTACTATCATTAACAATATTCATAAACTATATTTAGTAACAATTTTTTATTACATTTAAACTTTAAGGACACCTGTCAATCATACCATTAACAAGTAAAATACAATTCCTACAGCTGTGAACACAGTACATATTGTTATGAAGTTTGTAACTTATAACTATCAGGACCACAGCTTCATCACAATAGATCCATATCTGATCACTGTGATCAGTGATCCATGACTTTAGAATCTAACTAACCCTTGCGAACAAGAAGTCCATCTAACACTAGTAATTTTAGCTAACTTGTAGATTACAACATACCTAAATTCATAATTACGGTGCCACTATCTCGCTTTGAGTTTACATGAAACATTGTATTTCTTGAACAAAAGGGTAGATTTTTAGATAATCTCATTTTTATTTGTTTAAAGTATTTCCTATAGTATTCAGATCAACTAAATAAAACTTTCATAAGTCACTAAACATTTTTCAAAATATAAATTCATCTAAACTATGTCTGTATTAGTTTTAATGTTCTTTTTGTGATGTTTTATAGTCATTATTTTGTAGTTATATGTTTTTAGTGTAAAGGTATATTGAGTTGTTAGATTTATAAAATGAAACTGTCTTACCTGTTTAACATCCTTTAGCACAGACTCAAATTTAGCATCATCATTGAGCATTTCTTTGAGTTCATTAGAATTTAGATGAGCCAACAGGCCCATAACTGATGGATAATCCGATTGAATCATTTTTTTGTTTCCTTACTTCGGGTAATAATTCGATTTGTTTTTAAAAACGCAGAACAAAGCCACTTTATTAATTAGTCAACAAATACAAAATATTTCTTGACTCATTTCAATACAGATTAATCTCAGTACCTACATACATATTTCTTCAAAATAATTGGTTTTATCAGGGATCTGACGGATCATATTTTTTAAGGGATTTAAGACTTAGTAGCTAAGACCTTTAGGTCAAGTCTTATTTTAATTTTAATGAAAACTGTTTTCAATGAAAAATGATATTATGAAATGAAATGAAGTTGATTAATATGAAACATGGTATGAAACGAAACGGGATGAAATATAATCTCAGTAAAATGGTGGTCATTTACTGAGACTTTTTGGTGGATCCCGAGAAGTTACGTTCAACGGCTTTGTTTCACTTTTCCACCATTGTGCATTTTCACGGATACTAAACAATTAATCAACCACCGTTATTACACATTTAATGCATACCTACAGGGTCTGTCGTAGTTCGTTAACCGGGGGTGGCCCGGATGTCTTATTCTAAGAAAATCTACTTTGTTTGTTAGGGCTGCCAACACTGCGAAAGCTATAATTTTTCTTGTCCTTTTTTCTAAAATTTTCTATCGTGACTAGTAATTTGGCCATAATTTTTACAAATTAAGATATTTTAGTGTACTTTTTTTTGTATTTTACTCGGAAATAATTGTACTATTTAATCAAATTACTATTTTAGGCATCATACATTCTAAACTTATGAATATTAGAGTTAGAAGTTATTTTTATTTTTCTTTTTTACTTTTAGTCAAGTTATAAGCATTGATTATGGAAAAATAATGTACTGCACTGTGAGTGCCTATTGTTTTAAAAATTGCTTTGCTTGTGTAGATTCTAAAAAGGTATAACAATCGGTACTTGACAAGCAATATTACTTTGTAGAAGCGAAAGAGCTTATCACTTTCATTTCAATAAAATAAAAATAAAAAATGACCTAAAGGTCTTAGTTACCAGATCATAAAATCCCAAAAGAGTTGCCCAATATTTCTCTCCACAAGTTCACAATACTAATCTGTAGTCTGTAGTCACACCCGTTTAAATAAATTCGCTTTATCATTTTTATTTCGTATAATATCGACTTACGTCCCTACGTTGACTTTATAAGTTTATAAAAGTAAGTAACGTGTAGACTGTATTAGCTTGTAGTTGCACCATTTTTAACCAGATGTTTATTTAAATTCGTTACCTTATTTGGAAGTTTGACATCGTATTCGTTTGTCCTAAATAAATTTATATTGAAAGGTGGAGTCGAGAGTGACTCACGTCCTCGTTAAGAAGGCGACGATATCTTGAGTGATAGACAGCTTTGGCTAATTAGAATTTAAATNGTAACGTGTAGACTGTATTAGCTTGTAGTTGCACCATTTTTAACCAGATGTTTATTTAAATTCGTTACCTTATTTGGAAGTTTGACATCGTATTCGTTTGTCCTAAATAAATTTATATTGAAAGGTGGAGTCGAGAGTGACTCACGTCCTCGTTAAGAAGGCGACGATATCTTGAGTGATAGACAGCTTTGGCTAATTATAATTTAAATTTAGCACGCAGCAAGTGTAGTTTTTTTAGTACTTCCCGCCAGGCAGCAAGCAGTTGGTGTTCGTAAGCCCTTTTCCTAAATATTGATGAGTAATAGTTAGTGATAAACATATACATAGACCCTGTTGGTAATACATAAATAAATAAGGAAAGTTTATAATTTACTCTTATTAATATACATATGATTCTGAATTTAAATATTTGTCATTAAACATATATGTCAGAGGTTTAAAATTTAATTTGAAATATAAATATAATCAATAATTTGTTACCAATTTACATGCCTTTATTTCCTGCCATGAATTTGCATTAAAGCACATGAAACGCTAATTTACTAAAGGTAGGTTTATAACTTTCAGTTCACCATGTCATCTCGCAAGACAGCCGGTCGTCGCATTAACAAGAAGCGCGCACAACGTGCAACCTCCAATGTGTTTGCTATGTTTGATCAAGCTCAAATAGCAGAGTTCAAGGAGGCTTTCAATATGATTGATCAGAACAGGGATGGATTCATTGACAAGGACGATCTGCATGATATGCTTGCATCTTTAGGTTAGTACAGCAGTTTGAATATTTATGTACCAAATGAGAATTTTAAACTTAGATTTCTCAAAGTAGGTACTGGCGTTCTTATCTTTATGGGCTCTCAAAACTATCGAAAATTGGATACATTGGTGGTTTCAGTGTCAAAGTAGCAAAAGAAAAGTCAGTATTGTTTTACCAACACATGACTGTATGAGTCCACAGAAGATTTGAGTAGGTGACAGTCTGGTATAGAAATAATGTTAGGATACTATGACTTTGGACACATCTTATTCACTTAGTTGGACTTAGTACTGTGTACTGTCTGCTGTTCCAAAGATGTGAACCTAATGATCATAGTAGCTTATGTTATAACTAAACTATAAATAGAGTACTACTATTCAAGTTCTAAAATGAATAATCATCTCAAATAATCAAAAGGATAACATTTGGACAAACAAATGGTTACAATGTCACAGAATGGTATAATTTCATATAATGTATAGAAAGATTGCTGAAAATATGGAAAATACACTGTAGCTAAGATATTATGTTTTTTTAAAAATTGACAGGAAAACTGAATGTCATTGAAAAGCTTGGGCAAGGTCAGATATCAATGTCGTGTGAAAATTAATCAAAACTAACATTGTTTTTAATGTATTGGCTTTTAAGTTTGAGTTCTACCTTTTTTCCTTTTCACATAAAAGTGAGTAAAGGATAAGAAAAAACATTGAAATGTTAATTTAAAACAACTGATAGTATGTAACCAAAATACGTTATAAACTCTTTATTCTTGTGTGTGTAATGTTATAAGCAAGTTTGTTATTGGTAATAAGATGTCTGCAGGAATGTTGCTAATTTGAAATTCTAATTAACACTCGTGACATAAATTACGATAACATGTTGTAAAATTATAGGCAAAAACCCAACCGAAGATTATTTAGAGGGAATGATGAATGAAGCACCGGGACCAATTAACTTTACGATGTTTCTCACTCTGTTTGGTGAGAGACTGCAGGGCACTGACCCTGAGGATGTCATCAAAAATGCATTTGGGTAAATATTGATTTAGACATATGCTATTTAAAATCTCTCAGGTGTTCCTAATAATACCGATGAATGGCAGTGACGGTGAGCCCTAATACAATAATATAAAAATTGCAATGCAGATTGCACCTTATTACACAAAACTTAAAGTAGCGTAATTAAAAATCAGAAAATAATTAGTGTATTTCAAAGAACAAAACTGTGTATCTATGAAATATGAATATACTAAAATAAGATTAATGTTTAGTTTATTGAAAATGTAAATCTTGCATAGGACTCTTTATTTGAATTTGAATGAATTATTTGATGAATGTGAATAACTAGTCTTAGGTAAAAATAATCCATATATTAAAGAAAAGTACCAACTCCATTGAAACACTAATTTACAGGCAAAAAGCAAAGCTTATGAGTCATGCAGTATGACCTCTCTAATATAACCATAACTTTAAAGTTAGTAAAGATATTACAGGCAGGGATAATCAAAGAAATAAAACTTTTTTAAATTCATTATTGGCAGTATATGTATATCATTTTGATATATGTATAGATTTTTTTTGTTGTTTCTCTTACTGTAGTTGAATAATTTCAGCAAGATCATGTTGATGAATACAATATAGCCTTTAACTATATTATGTTCCCACCTATCAGACAATAAGATAGTTGTTATCCATACAGATTCAATACACCACAAGTGATTACGTACATATCGCGGCTTTGAATGTTTATTAGTCATGTTGATATTCCTTCACGATGTTCAAGTCATTTGTGATGTATGTATTTATATATAGTCGCATCGCTTGATACGAATGTACCGGACTACTCATTATTTAGGCCACAAAAACTTATAATAGACATTGCGGCTTATGGCGTAACTGCTATTATTAAAGTAGAGGCGTGTGAGAAATTTTGGCAAAATTATAGTGTACTAACGACACTGCTTTTTTTCTCAAAGTGCTTTACATTCAATAGAATAACTAGTTGTTTACAGGCTTTCCGTCCGCGTAATTAAAGAAATGTGAACGAGATTTTTTTTCGTGATAAAAGCTAGCCTATGTCACTCTGATAACCTAAAACTAGTATAGCTTGTTCCGACGCGAATGCAAAACAAACAAACAAACACACTCACATTTATGAAATTAATATGGAAATATTGATTTACAAATAAAGGAAACACCTTTTATGGGTTATAAAAACTAATTATTAGAATAACTAGCCGTACTCGCCCGCTTCGCTGGGCATTTAAAATTAACATTATTATTTATTGTAATTATTATTAAGGAGTCCAACACTCATATAAATATTAGCCTATCCGTTAAGTACATGTATTTTCTACATGGTGAACAAGCTTCAAATCAATCGGATGCACGGTTCAGTGGTTATAACGGAACATCCGTAAAAAACTGTAGATTTAAGTATAGGTATATTAATATAGATTAGTTAACTGTCTATTGAATAGTTTTAATTTTCATTAATCATTTCATCTATCAGGTGTTTCGATGAAGAGAACAATGGTGTAATCGGTGAGGAGCGACTCCGCGAGCTGCTTACCACAATGGGCGATCGCTTCACAGACGATGATGTGGATGAAATGCTCAGGGAAGCACCAATCCGCGATGGACTCTTCGATTATGTGGAATTCACGCGTATTCTTAAACACGGCGCTAAAGACAAGGACGAGCAATAAATTTAGCTTACCGTGGCGGGCTGCTGATTTTAATTGATGTAATAAATAAATATGCACTATGAAACAACCAAGAAAAGTTCCGGACAAATTTGATTTAATTCTCATCAATAAAGTTGAAATGTATGCAGTCCGTCTTAAGAGCTTATGATATTATATTTTGCCAAACTAACATAACTGGTATAATTTTTTTAGAATAAGTTAATTTGATATGGATTTAGAAAATCTCAATGAGGGATGAAGTTGTTGATTCCACTACGCATTTCTGTTTGTAATTCTATATGGACCATAATATAAATACATTGTGTGTATGTCATGTTTCTTGAAAGCTATTGGACAAACACGGGTGCAATAATAAAAAATCATTCCTTCATACTAAAATTGCAAAAAAATGTATTAAAGTAATTCATAAAAATGTTTTAAATTTATGAATTTATTTAGTTAAGATGGAAATTATAACTTATAGCGTGTGTATTTGATCATGTATCTATATGTATTTTTCATGTAAATTTTTTATCTAATAAATTTTGTTTTAATTTTTAATCCCACAATAAATAGTTATTCTAGCACAGACTGTGAGTGGAACCGTCTGAAAGCGAAAATGGCAAAAGGCAAAATTTACAGAATTAACTACTATAAATATGTATTTTTACATTTAGTAGTTATTATTTTTTGTTTCTGTTATGTAATTTCTGTTGATGAAAGGCGATTGCATGCAGCAGAGATGCGCATGTTGCGATGGATGTGTGGAGTAACGAGAATGGATAGAATACGGAATGAATATGTTAGAGGAAGTCTGAAAGTGGCACCTGTGACAGAGAAGCTGAGAAATGCGCGTTTGGGATGGTATGGACATGTGATGAGACGAAATGAAAATGAGGTTGGTAAGAGAGTGTTAACTATGAACGTGGAAGGATATAGAGGAAGAGGTAGACCTAAGAAGAAATGAATGGATTGCGTGAAAGACGATATGTGTAAGAGGGGAGTGAGCGAAGAAATTGTATATGATAGGGGAGTATGGAAGGAGAAAACATGTTGCGCCGACCCCAGGTGACTGGGTGAAGGACAGGATAATGATGATGTTTTTTGTTTTTGTAGTATTAAGCCAATCTGGTGCTTGCTGGTATTTATAGAATAGGAATTATAGGTGGATATGCTGTATTCNTGCGTGAAAGACGATATGTGTAAGAGGGGAGTGAGCGAAGAAATTGTATATGATAGGGGAGTATGGAAGGAGAAAACATGTTGCGCCGACCCCAGGTGACTGGGTGAAGGACAGGATAATGATGATGTTTTTTGTTTTTGTAGTATTAAGCCAATCTGGTGCTTGCTGGTATTTATAGAATAGGAATTATAGGTGGATATGCTGTATTCTTATATCGATAATAGGTTTTTATTAAAACAGAGTTAATCACAAATGTTTAGCAAGTCTTTATTTCCATTTTCAAATATATTTTTTTCGTAAACACGAACAGCCGTCGTTTTAGGAATGAGTGTCTTTGATGAAAGCCGCGCCTCGCTCGGCGACCATCATGATCGCTGCTTGAGGATTGCCCGTCGGCTGTGACGGCATGACCGATGCATCGATAACTCTCAAACCTAAAGAGAACATGGTGGTAAATATCTCGAAAATATGTACCTAATGATGTACCTAGACTTACGAGGCTTGCGGAGAGTACTTAATGGTAGGCAGCGGCTTGGCTCTGCCACTGGCATTGCTGACGTCCATGACCGACGGTGACCACTTACCATCAGGTGGGCCGTATGCTCGTCTGCCTAAAAACTGGTGGTAGGACCTCTTGTGAGTCCGCGCGGGTAGGTACCACCACCCTGCCTATTTCTGGCGTGAAGCAGTAATGCGTTTCGGTTTGAAAGGTAGGGCAGCCGTTGTAACTACTTGAGACCTTAGAACTTATATCTCAAGATGGGTGGCGCATTTACGTTGTAGATGTCTATGGGCTCCAGTAACCACCTAAAACCAGGTGGGCTGTGAGCTCGTCCACCCATCCAAGCAATAAAAAAAAACCTAACGTATTTTTTGGCATATCATTTCAAACCTTCAATTCCGTAGACTTTTAGTTGAGGATCGACGACCAAGCCGATAGCGGTTGTGCCGAGTTGATGATTCTGGGCATCAGTGTGCAATCGGATCATGCACTCCATCCAGTCATCTGACCAGTCTTCTGAGGTCTCACTACACTCATCAGTCGCTTCGGGATCTAGTTCTATGCCATATTCTGATTCTAGGATCTGTAAGACAAATAATACTGTTCATATACAAATTATATGTTTACCTTTAGTGAGACGTGAACACGTGAACAAGAAATATCACTACTGTGTTGTTCTTTGTGTGTAGGTATGTAGGTACTTTTTACTACTGCTTAACTTTTTTTTTCCCTACCTTAGCTGATAGCCTTGTGAGGCTATTTCAGCTTCAATCTAACGTTGTAGGTGAACTCATGGGGCTCAAACCGGAGAGTTGCCAACACTGACCCTAGCAAGAGCAGTGCTTCGCAGAATCTACCACCGGATCGGAAACGCTGAGAAAATCCGGCGAGAAACTCGGTGGGCTGTGTCTACGGGGGTGCTTAACGAATTATTATTTGATTTCATTGGTAGCTGGGCTTATTTAATTTTGTTGCGATAAATTTATGATTTTCGTTCAATTCGTGGAGGTAAAGTTCTTAAAGGCTTTACTATGAAATTATTGGCTAAAATTTTAAAAATTATTACATAGTATATTGAAATCTAAATTTATAATAATATATTGCATCTGCTTATCTAGGGTTGGTTCAGGTTGAAACTAGGCAAAATAAAATAGTAGTGTAATGTTTATCATGAATTCTCCGCAGCGTCTAATGACGAGAACTAGATATAAAGTCAATGACAAATAAATATAATTTTACAAGTTTTTTATTCATTGGTGGAGTGGTGTAAAAAAACCCAGGATTTAAGTACTCGATTAGGCTTAATAACACGAATGCGTATTCGAGTTCTATGTAAGGGATTCATAGGAGATTGGGTAGCATCGATCTCTAAATATTTACCAGCGTACTGCGATTAGCAACCGGAATTTACTCGTGGTGGGGTGTATTGTAAGCCCACACGGGTAAATACCACCGTTCTACCTATTTTTGCCTTCCACCTGTTCCGAAGGGTTGGAACCAGCCATTATTCAATACAATTGAGATTTCGATTTCAGTGTGCTTAGTGCGAGTTTTTTAACATTCTCGATAGGGTGAAAGTAAACTCAAATTAGTATGGTAGTTGGAACAGCGCCCCTAGCGGCACACGTAGTTTGAAGTCGTCGTGGCCTAACAGATAAGACGTCCGGTGAATTTGTGTTGAGCGATGCACCGGTGCTAGAATCTCAGGCGTATACCAATTTTTCTAATGAAATACGTACTCAACAAATGTTCACGATTGATTTCCACGGTGAAGGAATAACATCGTGTAATAAAAATGAAACCCGCAAAATTATAATTTGCGTAATTACTGGTGGTAGGACCTCTTGTGAGTCCGCGCGGGTAGGTACCACCGCCCCGCCTATTTCTGCCGTGAAGCAATAATGCGTTTCGGTTTGAAGGGTGGGGCAGCCGTTGTAACTTACTTGAGACCTTAGAACTTATATCTCAAGGTGGGTGGCGCATTTACGTTGTATGTCCATGGGCTCCAGTAACCACTTTACTTCAGGTGGGCTGTGAGCGCGTCCACCCATCTAAGCAATAAAAAAAAATAAAAACACGTAGTTTGAAGTCGTCGTGGCCTAACAGATAAGACGTCCGGTGCATTTGTGTTGAGCGATGCACCGGTGTTCGAATCTACGTACCAAATACGTAGGTACTCAACAAATGTTCACGATTGATTTCCACGGTGAAGGAATAACATCGTGTAATAAAAATGAAACCCGCAAAATTATTATTTGCGTAATTACTGGTGGTAGGACCTCTTGTGAGTCCGCGCGGGTAGGTACCACCACCCCGCCTATTTCTGCCGTGAAGCAATAATGCGTTTCGGTTTGAAGGGTGGGGCAGCCGTTGTAACTTACTTGAGACCTTAGAACTTATATCTCAAGGTGGGTGGCGCATTTACGTTGTATGTCCATGGGCTCCAGTAACCACTTTACTTCAGGTGGGCTGTGAGCGCGTCCACCCATCTAAGCAATAAAAAAAAATAAAAACACGTAGTTTGAAGTCGTCGTGGCCTAACAGATAAGACGTCCGGTGCATTTGTGTTGAGCGATGCACCGGTGTTCGAATCTACGTACCAAATACGTAGGTACTCAACAAATGTTCACGATTGATTTCCACGGTGAAGGAATAACATCGTGTAATAAAAATGAAACCCGCAAAATTATTATTTGCGTAATTACTGGTGGTAGGACCTCTTGTGAGTCCGCGCGGGTAGGTACCACCACCCTGCCTATTTCTGCCGTGAAGCAATAATGCGTTTCGGTTTGAAGCGTGGGGCAGCCGTTGTAACTTACTTGAGACCTTAGAACTTATATCTCAAGGTGGGTGGCGCATTAACGTTGTGGATGTCTATGCGCTCCAGTAACCACTTAAGACCAGGTGGGCTGTGAGCTCGTCCACCCATCTAAGCAATAAAAAAAAAACGTAGGCAAACTCCAGTTCTATACAAATTTGAGTAAACTTTTACGCTATCGAGAACGTTAAAAAACATGCACTAAGCACACTGGCCTGAATGTGGGTAGCGATTTTCACGTTACGATGTCTATGACCTCTGGTAACCTTCTTACACCAGGTGTGACCGTGAATACTCCGTTAGCTCATACACCCCGATAATCAATACGCAAGTCAGGGGTGATCTATGTTACGGGTGCTTGATCTCTAGTACCCTTCGATAAGATCTCATATCGCAGCTTAGCGAATGTAGTTAATGAGTGCCTAAATTTGATCAACACTGTGCTTGTAGTGTCGTAAATAATCATATTCCTTCTATTCCTTCCTTTAGGGTCCTTCTATTTTAATTGCTTAGGCGACTTTAATAAAATTTTAATATTGTTCTTTAGTATTTTTGGTACGAGTATATTTCGTTGTATAACTGGTGGGTCAGGTACTTCACCTTGCTTTCAGATATTTTTTTCAAATATCTGAGTCCGTCTTTGGCCACGATCATATCATCAGGATGTGAGAAGAAATTCGGATAAAATAATGGAGAAACTAGTGGGTCTGAAGACTGCAACGTTAAGTATCCCTTGCTTTTTGGCAGGAGCGCCACTGCATTGGCTCTGAAATTATTTGATAATTGTAATCATGTGCTATCAATTATTTATAGACAGACCTTGCCCCAAGGGTAAGGTTGTCGGTTGAAGGATCGTATGCTAATTTTTTTCAAACGAAATTGTGAATATCCTTCTATATTACTGATGGTAGGGCCCCTTGTGAGCCAGCTCTACCATCATCCTGCATATTTCTGCTGTGAAACAGCGTTGCGTTAATGCGTTTCGGTTTGAAGGTGGGGCAGCCGCTGTACTGTAAAACTGAGACTTAGAACTCATGTGTCAAGGTGGGCGGTGGCATTTACGTTATTTATGTTTATGGGCTCCGGTAGTCAGCTAACACCAGGTGGACCCTGAGCTCGTACCCCCATCAATGCAATAAAGAAAAATATAAGGTCCACATTAGATATGCCTACAAAATCGCCACTTAATACAATACTTTTGTAGTTACTTACGTAATATTTGTTCCTCTTTCTTGGCAGTCACTGTCAATAGTCTCTCCCACGAAGCCCGTCTTGGAGCATTCTGCATACATGCCATTAAAGAAGAATTGAAGGTCAGGTTGCTTTTTTCTTTTGTCCGCCAAACTTGAATACAACAATCCTGTTACCTAAAATTAATCGTCGTCTAATTATAATAATATAAATCATTATTGTCAAACGATAATATTTTGTTCTCGCCTATATTTATAATGAATCTATTATAGTAAATTCATAAAACCGTAAAAGTAAAATATAATAATTTGATATTCCAAGTCGGTGGGGCAATTCAACTTTTTTGTCATTGTTATATTCAACGAATAGTGATAGATATTAAATAAATTAGAATTAACTGATGCGCGAACTCTTGACCCTACAGTTCCTACTTACAGACGACAAGGACAGATGCGAATCCCGCTGATCCGCAACCCACCTAATTTTAACAGATGTATATACGCAGTCACCAGTATCTCAAAAAGAAATCCGTGAGGGTGATTATGGTTAAGTTCGAGGAAATATAAGGCAGTTTTTCGTCCAATAAAAGATTGTTTTGAGGGTCAATACTGAAAAGTAGCTTTCATGGAGCAGCTAATGAGGATTTTTAGGTATGTCACACCTTTATATTCCTGTTCGTAGGAGGGAACATTCTTAATTGAATTCCAGCGTTAATAAATAAAAAGGCTTTTTGAAAGGGTGTTTTGTATAGCACTCTCTGGTTGCTACTAATGTTCTAGCTGTTTCTGTTCCGAAGAAAATCCATCACCAGTTTTGGTTATTTAGTTTAGTTAATAAAAAACAATGTCTATTTTCTGAACCCACCTGAGTAATTGAGGTGGACGCCATAGGCCCCTCCTGATTCAACAAGTATGTGGCAAGCGTGCTCCAATCCAAGACTCGTGTGTCGTTGAGTTTAGGCAGTATAAAGGATACAGTGACACCAACGTGATTCTGAAGATTCAAACCCACTGGGAGATCTGCTTTGACTGGAATGTTGTACTTCTCTAGCGTCTCTCGGGGTCCAATGCCGGAATGCAAAAGAATGTGAGGAGTGTTTAACGCTCCAGCACTTAAAATCACCTACAGAAACATTAGGTATTATTGTCAATATGCTTTAATTAAAAACATTTTTACATACATTAATAAATGGGAAAGGTTCATTTTTTTTTGTTCAACAATTTTATCTCGAAAATAGGCATTGGAGCTTTTGAATGATCAATATAAAGTACTAGCCGTACTCGCCCGCTTCGCTGGGCATTAAAATTAACATTATTATTTATTGTCATTATTATTAGGGAGTCCAACACTCATATAAATATTAGCCTATCCATTAAGTACATGTATTTCCTACATGGATACCAAGTTTCAAGTCAATCGGATGCATGGTTCAGTAGTTATAACGGAACATCCGTAAAAGCCACTGTAGATTTATATATTAGAATAGATTTAGGCTTATTACATTTTTCTGATAAGTAAATTTGATGAGTGATGATTTAAATACCTCTCGAGAAGCATAAACGATATTTGAATTTCCGTCGGAGTCGATGAACTCAACGCCGGTGGCTGTGTCGTCGGTCACTATGACTCTTGTAACGTGCGCTCCCAGTTTCACTGTCAGGTTCGGTCGTTCTGACTTCGGTTTCAGGTACGCGCGCGCTGTTGTGTACCTCTGGCCGTTACTGCGGTTTAATAAAAGCCTTAACTGTAGTCTTTCTCTTGAAAAGAGGTTGTTTCAACGTCTATACTTTTATACTAATCTATACTTCTTTTGAAAGATTGTTTGTCTGTTTGTATTGAATAGGCTCCGAAACTACTGAACCTATTTGAAAAATTCTTTCACTGTTTGGAAGCTACACTATTCCCGAGTGACATACAGCTATAATATTTTAAAAAAAAAATTAGGGTTCCTTATTAAAACTCCAATAATTTAACCCAAGGTGTAAAAATATTACCTAAAATATTCTTTACATCGCGTGCCCTGCGAAAGCAATTGATGATAGAATAATATAATGCACTACGACTTTGTAGAACACATTATTATCTACAAAAAGTGTCGCGACCGCATATGTCTAACTATTATAGTTATGCCGCAATAAGTGTTCTTTTATTTATAAAAAATAAAACGACGTCGTTGAAATTTTTGTTAAAGACCCGAGCGAAGTCGGAGCAGGCCGCTAGTACACCAATATTTTGGTAATTCTTTCCAGTTTTAAGGGCTGAGTGAACCTATTAGGGTACAATCGATTTCATGTTTCAAGGTGGGTCCATGGGCGTCGCTAAACTTATTTAACATTACTTGGATCGTGCGCTGCTCCGTATAAATAGAGGAAAACATGATGACATTGAGTTGACAAAGTTATTAACTTTATTACAGAAAATATGTTGGAAAGTTTGAATGAAGTGTGATTAGGATGTACAGGACGGACATTAATCTTTTGATCGATAGTTTTAGTGGCTTTTTATTGGAGACATTTTCGACATCATTCACGTTGTGACATCTATGGCTTCTGGTAGACGATTTGCACCAAGTGGGTCAATATTATTTATCAATCAAACACAACAATACCTAATTTTTTTAACAAGTATTGTCATAACTATGTCGGTCTTAGTAGATTCCTTTTGTACTTACTTTATTTCCTTAACTATCTGCCAGTAGCCTTGAGGGATTATTCTAGCTTCAGCTTGATTAGGTGACAAGCTTACGGAGCACAGCGTGAGAGAATTTGCTAATATCTGCTCTACCTTGAAACCTTCTACCTATGATGCAACCTTCACTGAATCTACCACCGAATCGGAATCGCGACCCACTGAGAAGATCCGGCGAGGAAATCAGTGGACTTATACTTACTCGTTAAACGCTTGTGCTATGGTGAATCCATCGGGAGTTTCAGGATCATTCATGTCAGCTATGATAGAGAACCCAGTTTCGTTGAGGGCATCCAATAGTTTATAAACGGCTGGACCTTGGTAACGGAACTAAAGAGAAATTATTTGTATTCATAAAAGACGTAATGGCAAGCGTTCTGGAGGCCGAAATGATTAATACTTAAATAAAATTATACAAAAGATATAAATAGGGGGTGGGGTGGGGTCAGTCCTCATGCTGTGGTGCACTAAGGAGTTTATAAGTCCTATGCTGACTTGCCAATTTAAGGCTCAAGAAGGATGGAAGATAAGTAGGTAGCTAACCGCTCGCAAAACTGTAATTCCGATGAAGCCAAAACACGTGTGTAATAAAATATTTTACACGTACCTACCTACCGAATTTAGAATTTAGTATACATTTTCTAATTTAGATTCCATAAATTATAATAAGACGTTATCATCATACATTAACAATGTATATTTACTATTTTTATCATAAACAAATAGTAATAATACAAGTCACACTAAGGCATCTGGGCCTGTACCACGATTCCATGTAATGTGGGAATCCGAGACGGACATACGTACGTCATCATCATCATAATCATCATTGTCATTAGTGTGCTTAGTGCGCGTTTAACTTTTCGATCGCGTAAAAGTTAACTACAATTTTTATGGAGTTGCCCCAATAGTGCCCCTACGTGTGGTGTTAAGTTGAAAAACTAGCACTAAGTACACAAGCCTATAGTAGTCCATTGCTACACATAGGCCATACCATATGCACACCACTGAGCACGAAACTTAGCTTCATACATACGCACGTATAATAACATTGTTCGTCACAGGTTTGTTTGCATGACAGCCATATTAAAATAAAGCAGTTTGAAGCAATTTGTAGTATATGTACTTATAAAACCATATTATACTTACTCTTTGAACAGGCAAAGGCCCTGAACTAGAGTGGTGTTTCTGGCTCACTATAGTTCCAATTTCCTTGTTCCCCTCGGTCATGTCAAAGTATGGAAGATTTTCCTCCCATGACCAACCTTCAGCACCGAGCTTCACCCAGTCATCGTAATCAGCGGCATGGCCTCGATGGTACATCATACCATTAAGGAGACTTGATCCACCTGAGAATATAATATATATGTAGTTTAAAAACATAAAAAATAAATAAATAACTAAGTTTGGGGGTGAAGGTAAAGCGAAAGGCTGCCACTGAGCGGGTGAAATTGAAATCGGGTAGATCGACGATCTGAATGTTTTTTTCGGGGAAGGAAGTAGGTTGTTTAGCAGGTGTGCGAGCAAAAGTTCAGTCCAGAGGGTTGGATTTTGCTAACGGCTGCTTGAGCGCCTTCAGAGCAGCTCCTTCGTGAATGAGTCTACGACCGGATCGAAATCGCGACCCGCTGAGAAGATCCGGTGAGAAACTCAGTGAGTGAATGGGTTAAGTTGCAAGTCGAACTCTTTGCGGAGTTCGACAAGTACGTACCGGGGTCCCTAAGTCTGCTCCTAGTGTTAGAGCTGTAGGCGTCTAGTGCAGAGGTTATTGGATCTGAGGGAACCATAAGGTCGGGTCTAGGGCTTCGACGATGACTGGCTCCTGCGTGAGCATAAGTCACCGAGCAGCCAGGTTCCGAATGTTGTTCGAAACTTGTATGTAAGGAAACTTATCTTGAAAATGTCGATAGTGAGATTCAGGCATCTATCAAATATATTGTGTTCTATGATTTTTTTTATTTTTTAATTGCTTAGATGGATGGACGAGCTCACAGCCCACCTGGTGTTAAGTGGTTACTGGAGCCCATAGATATCTACAACGTAAATGCGCCACCCACCTTGAGATATAAGTTCTAAGATCTCAGTATAGTTACTACGGTTGCCCTACCCTTTAGACCGAAACGCATTGCTGCTTCACGGCAGAAATAGGCGGGGCGATGATACCTACCCGCGCGGACTCACAAGAGGTCCTACCACCAGTAAAGATTGTTCTATGATAGCTACCCGTTACATTACAATAAATTTCAAGTTTTTTTTTGTATCTCATTTATATTGGTCATGTTATAAGAGTGGAGTTATATAATTATTGTTTTGTCATCGGTCATTAGTGCGTGTGCGAATTTTCAATTTAATAGGACGTATTGACGGCGGATAAAACGACGTTCAAGGAATCCGTTATATCTCAATAACATAAATTCCGCCACCCCCTTGAGACATGAGTTCGAAGTCTCCGTTTTACAGTACTAGTTCACGGCATAAATAAGCAGAGCAGTGGTACCTGCCCGTGCGGGTTCACAAGCCCTACCACCAGTAATATGAATACGTAGAACATACCAAGAACCTTTCCTCGTGGCCAAGGACATCCTTTATCGCCTTGGTCGAGACAATAGTTGTCGGGCTCAGTTCTATAATCCCAATCCACCTCTTTGTTTGACCAGAATGCTCTGTAGAAAGAGGGAATGCGTGCTCCCGTAGGCTCTTGACCTCCGGCTTCCAGTAATAGTACCTAAAGCGTATCATATTGAGTAAAACGAGTAATGTAGGAACCAGAAATAGTAAATTGGGTTAATATTTAGTAGAATTGCTCGAACAATTGAAACATTTAGAAAACTATAAAATGATTCACAATTTAGTCAACAGGTAAAACTAAAAATGTGGCCTCTAAATACAATTTTCTTATGTTTGTGATTACGAAAAATCGATTCACTGTGATTGTCGTTGTGCGCAAAAACACACAGTTGGTAAAACAACTCGCATGTAACCTGCTACACGCTGATAATATCATAACAAAAACCCTCGCTGAAATACCAATAGCAGCTGTAAATAGTATCAAACGCGAGACATCTGGCCAACAAATAACACAATTAAACACGAGATTCGTTTAATATATTCGATTAAACTTACATTAAAATTCTTATCTTCGCTGAGTCTTCCAGCAACAATGGCTCCGGCCGGACCTGAGCCCACCACAATAAAATCGTAACGGGCATCCAGTTGTTCAGCGGATCTTACATTAGCGCAAGGAGTTGCGATTTTGCAACGACCTCGGATGTACCCTTCGAGTAATACCATAAATAGCAGAGTTCCACTGCAAATCGGCGAGTTTTCTATAGAGACTCCTTCTTCAATAAGCGGACAGCCGCACTCCTAAATGAAAAATGACTTTATAATTAGTAATCGTAATTGATATTATTTCTAAAGATTTAATAGGGGTTATCTACTCGTAGGGCATATTTTGAACCCGCTCCTTAGAGTAAGTACTTCTTAGAAGTAGTCTATATGTTCCAGTTTAAAGACCAGGACAATCTTTATACAGTTTAGATATCATGTCTTAAGGTATGACAATTACGTTGTAATATCTATATGTCTATATCTTCTTCTTCTATATATATAAAAATGAATTGCTGTTCGTTAGTCTCGCTAAAACTCGAGAACGGCTGGACCGATTTGGCTAATTTTGGTCTTGAAATATTTGTGGAAGTCCAGAGAAGGTTTAAAAGGTAGGTAAATACGGAAATGCTCAGAATTAGATAAAAATAACAATTTTGTTTTTCCTTTGATGTGTCCCTCGTCGGACGTATTTCTTTTGTTTGTTTTAAGTTTATTTTATACAAAAGTTTAGGTCTTTTATTTATCGATTGACTCTCTACGAAGTCTGCCGGGTCAGCTAGTCTTTAATATATAATATCGTTCCGGAACGGGTCTTCTAAGTGATAATCGATATCAATCAATGATTGAAATTCATTTAGACTCCCGTATTGCTATTGAGCTTACGAAAAAAAAAAAAAAAAAAAAACTAAATGAAGAACAAAACAGTCGTCTGTGACATCGCAAATTAAAGTATTCAAAACGTCAGAATCAATATGATGTTAATAAAAACGCGAAATTAAACCGTAAAAGTAACTTTTAATTATTTATATCTACGATTTCGGAAAACTGATAAAAATTCTAACACATAACTTTAACAATAATGGGATGAAAACAAACAGAAGAAAATCGTGCTTACCAGTTTCGTCTATTACCTATTTTTGTTAGAGTATTATTAAAAAAAAATACGGATATACATGTACTATACATGTACTTGTATCCTATTTTTTTACTTAATTCCCTAGTTGTTAATCTGTTACAAAATTAAATACAGATGGCATTTTAACCACCCCTGTTATGTTGCAGGCCTGTTGTATGAAAGCAGTTAGGGAGACAGAGACATTCCGGATTATGTTAGTGGGCAAACGTTGGGCACCTAATTTAGGTAAACTTATAAAAAGATAAAAGAAATACTTAGACGGCCAAGTTTTAGTTACTGTAAGTACCCAATACTTGCAATAAATGGAGAGCCGGTCCATGGCCATTTGCTTTCATTAATATTATTTAGACAAATATATGCCTGGATGCTTTTTTTATTTTTATTGTTTAGATGAGTGGGCGAGCTCACAGCCCACCTGGTGTTAAGTGGTTACTAGAGCCCATAGACATCTCCAACGTAAATGCCGCCACCCACCTTGAGATGTGAGTTCTAAGGTCTCAGTATAATTGCAAAGGCTGCCCCGCCCTTTAAGCCGAAACGCAATACTGCTTCACGGAAGAAATAGGCGAGGTGGTGGTACCTACACGTGCGGACTCATAAGAGATCGTACCACCAGTAAAAGCTATTCCGTAAGCTATCCGTATAACCCTTCAAGATAGTTATATGAGATCTGCTTTAAATAATTATTGAAGGATGCGTATAAAAGCTTACACATTTGGGTAACAAGAGAAATAAATAATTTATTTCCATCTAAATTAATTGAATACTTTAGGTATAAAACTTACCTCTGGAGCTAATATCATCTTTGAAGCTTAAAGTAGAAAATAACGAAGCGATTAATCCTAAAAGAAATTTAATTGTTACTGTAGTATTTTACGTCTCGGCGAACGCCTAAAGTATCGAATAAAAACTTAATTGCTGAATTAAGAAATTGTTTCTTATATATGTTGGGAATTATGAATATTAAATGACTTGTCATCATTTAAATAATCGTGTGACGGTAGCGTTAACATATAGACGTTTCTCTAAATGACTAGGAAGATAAATTTTAAAAAGCTATTGTAATTAGAAGAAATGGCGACGTCTGGTGAAGCGCACCACCCAAAATAATGACCACACTCTACCAAGAGTGCATACGACTGAGAAGAATAATTGGTATTAGATCTAATTGAACGGACGGAATGTTACATATTATAAAATATTACTACTATGTTACTGTTAATATGTTAATGTTACATGTAATGACGGAATGGATTGTTATGCTAATTATAATATATAACATTCCGTCGTGCCATCGGATATGGACGACGCTGTCGTCCCGACTGATTTGTCCCACGTAACAAAAGCGTTATGGCAAATCATGGGACAGGGGAAAGCTACATTACCAGTAGTGGACGTCTGTCACATTAAACTAACTTTTGAAATATTAATGCACCTTAAAAAATATATATTATTCAAATCCGAATATTAAATTGTAATTTATTTTAAATCAGACGTTTCGTGATTTCATAACGGATAGTAATCAAACTGCATCGTGTTTTATAAGAAAGAGACATCATGTTCGCGATTGTATATGTGCTTTGTAATTCACATATCTATTTTAACTATCAACTGAAATGTTACCGGAAACAAACAGTAACAGGATAATTAGAACAAACAATTACTTATGAATTTAATAACGCATGTTCGTAAATCCTACTGCGTACAAAAAAAAACTTAAATTTTATTAAAGTAGAGCAAAGATGAGACTGCGCTTTTATTGTACAAAAATACAGAATAGAAACAAATTCAAAACATTATATAAAAAACAGTACAGTATTCTGTTTAATCGCTAAGAGGAATCCATTTACCCTCAGGTGGACCTGAACCATCCAAGTGAATATTTTAAGCGCGACGTACGTACCGATTGATAAAAAAGAACATGGCTCTCAAGAGTCTGGTTATCTCTGTTTCTTTTGTCAATTTCTTTTGTGTATTTCGTGACTGTTTCCGTTAATTACAGTCTTGTTTTAATTTGAGGTGATTTATTTTATTTATTCAGAGTGTGCCCTTACTTCTCTCCACATTGCTATTAGAAGTCGTCGTGGCCTAATGGATAATACGTCCGGTGCATTCGCAATAATTCGTATCTAGCGATGCAGCGGTGATCGATTCCCGCAGGCGGGTATCTCAACAGTCACGAAATACACAAAAGAAATTGACAAAAGAAACAGAGATAACCAGACTCTTGAGAGCTATGTTCTTTTTTATCAATCGGTAAGTACGTCGCGCTTAAAATATTCACTTGGATGGTTCAGGTCCACCTGAGGGTAAATGGATTCCTCTTAGCGATTAAACAGAATACTGTACTGTTTTTTATATAATGTTTTGAATTTGTTTCTATTTTGTATTTATGTACAATAAAAGCGCAGTCTCATCTTTGCTCTACTTTAATAAAATGTAAGTTTTTTTTTGTACGCACTAGGATTTACGATTAATTTTATGCAAATTTATAATTGAAGTTATTTAAGAAAATCTTAAAAAAATTACATTTCAAACCTAAGCTTTCAAATTATATGACTCAAATTTAGTATTATAAATCACAATCACAGCTTATTATTTAATTTTTAAAGCAGCTTCCGCTTTTAGTAAAACGTGACGCTAAATTCATACAGAATAAGAAAGAAAGTAATAATGATGCAAACAAAACTTCGGCTGGTGAACGAATAAAAAAAAAGAATTTGAAATTTATTATTTTTTTGCGAGACTGTAAAATAATAATCAAAAAAAGTACTCACATTTGTTCTAATTATGAATGTATGTTGTAGTATGGTGCAGGGAGCTTTGTGTCGTATAATGTTTTGAAAGGACGAGCTCGGCACTGACGACAAAACCCTGATTCAGGTTTTAGGATATCGACCCCGATGATGTTCTAACACTAAATGCATTCAAAATATTCGTGTAAGCACGCTCAAACAAGGCTCGTAAGCCGACAATTTTTGTGTTACATCGCATAATTAGCTTCCGTTAAGCATGCCTGTTGTAATTATACACAAGGACAACGCATGTTTTATGGAAATTTCATAATTTCCAGCCATAGTGCGTGAAAAAAAATTATATATTTCGCAAAGTAAATAAGGCACAAGTGTAGAATTTGTCATTAACTCACTTTAACGAGGCTTGTGGAGAGAGTACTCAACGGTAGGCAGCGGCTTGGCTCTGTCCCTGGCATTGCTAAAGTCCATGGGCGACGGTAACCACTCACCAGCAGGTGGGCCGTATGGTCGTCTGCCTTCTTCTTCTTTGTCGTTTCTTCATTACTGAGGGTCGTGACCACCTTGGTCCAGTCTTTGCACCAGCTTCCTCGTCTGCCTACAAGGGCAATAAAAAAAAAGACGACCTGTACGCAATTATCCTGAAGAGAACGAGGTCTTGGTGACGGAGTATTATTTTTCTCAGTCGTTTCTTTCTTTTCAGAGCGGTCGTAGTCGCTATGACGTAATTTTTAAGGATTTGACATGGTTTGTCTTAGTGCATCTTTTTGCAAATGCTACCAATTTGTTACCTACGCTCATGAGTTTTACCTCTAGAAGCAAAAAGCTCTGGCCAGTCCGTCGATAACGATTATACTACAGCCTTTGTGCAATACAACCGGTCACCGTTCTCGTCGAACCCGTCGCTTGCGACGAAGGGCTCGACGAATAAATTTACCTTCAGACACAGCCCACTGAGTTTCTCGTCGGATCTACTCAGTGGGTCGCGTTTCCGATCCGGTGGTAGATTCTGCGAAGCACGGCTCTTGCTAGGGTTCGTGTTAGCAACGTTGTCAGGTTTGAGCCCCGTAAGCTCACCTACTAGTTAAGGTTCCGCTGAAATAGCCTCTCAAGGCTATCAGCTTAGGTAGGTAGGAAGAAAAAAAAAAGCAATACAATTTTTTTATCGATACGATCTTCAATGTGCTAGACCAGCGTGGAAATTGTTGACATCGCCTATAGATGCGATGTGCCTGCAAATACGGTAGCACTTAACTCCTGGTTTCTGATTATTACAAAACTCAAATCTTCACGACGGTACGGTGCCATTGCAATTTTTCGCTGAGGTTGAAGATTTTTATGAAAACAAATGGCCCCGATAGTGCAGCCACTTACGTATAAATTTGTTTATAGCTTAGATGTATCGACGAGCTCACGGCCCACCTGGTTTTAAGTGGTAACCGGAACCCATGGATATATGCAACGTAAATGCTGCCACCCACCTCGAGACATGAGTTGTAAGGTCTCAGTTTTTACAGTATAGCGGCTGCCCCACCCTTCAAACCGAAACACATTACTGCTTCACGGCAGAAATAGTCGGGTCGGGAAATAGTCGGGTAACTACAAAAATTTCATTGTTGAGTTGCCAGATGTAAACGTACCCGAAATGAAATTATCTCTAAAGCCAGTTCCAAGATTATTAAAAAAATGGAGAAGCTCCCGGTAATGTCAGAATCATAGTCGCGCCAGTTATGAAAGAAAGGAAGACATGTATATTGTTCCTTCGTATCAAGGTGGCACTCTACAAAACCTGCATTCGTTCCGTCGTGACCCATGCGAGTGTAGTATTCGCTCACGCGGCACGCATAAACTCTCTCCAGGTCATCCGATCCCGATTCTGTGGATGCCGCTAATTACTTATCCAACCCAGGAGACGGGCAACGCAAAGCTGCCGTTTCCTGAAACATCTCTTGTCGGATACCCGGATCTGCTTTCGGTGCTTTTAGGCCCCTCAAGCATCGCTAACCATCCTAGTCATATTCGTCGATTACGACGTAGACACGAAGAGTTGCTCGTTAAACGAACCACTGAGTTTTTCGCCGGATCTTCTTAGTGGCTCGCAAATCCGGTCCGGTGGCAGATTTAGCGAAGCACTGCTATAGTTAGGGCTAGTGTTAGCCAATTCTTTCGGGTTGAGTCCGTAAGCTCGCCTACCCGTTCGGGGGTAGCTAGAATAGATCCTTAGGCTTCCATCGCGTAGGTAGGGAAAAAAGAGAGAAAAACATTTATTAGTAGAACTGAAATTTTTTTGACGCCTATCACCACAGAATTCCGATAGTTCGAAAAAGAGTTATTCTTGTGCTGCTTTCTGTCAAGGTAGGCGAAAAAATGCTCTAGAAGGTGTGAATATTATAGACCTATCCCTTCTCTTGAGTCACCTCTTTTACTTATTCTTACTGATTATCACAATTCACGCCGTAGGGCAGCTCAACAAATTTCAGTTTCCTGATCAAACGAGATTTAAATTTCACTCGTGATTACGCACAGACCACATTCAAATAGTGCGACATAATGCTCACAAGTCGAAAGAATATTAATCGATACCTCTGCCTGATATATCTAAATCGTGATAACAGCCTGGCCACGGGACATTCGCCGATGCGAATATTCGCGCGGTGCGAACGGCGAAGCGTCTAGCGACTAAAATAAGCGCATAGAAATGTACCTAACAAGCCACGCGCACCGGCGACCGGCGAAGCGACCGGCGAAATGTACCGAGCGAATCGCGCGATGCGGCGGGCGAGCAAAACAAATGCATGAATACGGACGGCGCGAGCCACGGAGTCGAGCGGTAGTCGCGGCGAATAGTGCAGTGATTAAATGAGTTTAGTTGTTTTCGCCGCGAAAAATTAACGCCGAAATTTTTATATTTTTTATTTATTTTTTATTTTATATTTTTAAAGTCGTCGTGGCCTAACGGACGTCCGGTGCAATCGTGTTGAGCGATGCACCGGTGTTCGAATATCAGGCGGGTACCAATTTTTGTAATGAAATACGTACTCAACAACACTCAACGTTCACGATTGATTTCCACGGTGAAGGAATAACATCGTGTGATAAAAATGAAATCTTCAAAATAATAATTTGCGTAATTACTGGTGGTAGGACCTCTTGTGAGTCTACACGGGTGGGTACTACCACCCTGCCTATTTCTGCCGTGAAGTAGTAATGCGTTTCGGTTTGAAGGGTGAGGCAGCCATTATAACTATACTTGAGACCTTAGAACTTATATCTCAAGGTGGGTGGCGCATTTACGTTGTGGATGTCTATGGGCTCCAGTAACCACTTAACACAAGGTGGGCTGTGAGCTCGTCCACCCATCTAAGCAATAAAAAAATAAAATAGCTGAAATACTAGCTAGACCAGCTATTTGGAAGTCTAGCCACCCAAAGTATTTCTCGTACTTCTTGTGGAATTCTCCATCTATAGGTATACTCCGATTCTTATTCAAATCATGTACTTCACAATCTTTTCCAAATAATAGGTCCTGAACCAAAAAACTATTAATTTGTAAGCAATATCGAGATAATTTCGATATAGACATTTCGCTGTCGGACTTCCTTACTAGTCGCGGCGGCGAACGTGAGTACCCGTGGCCTGCAAACGGTGCTGCGCGAATGGTCGCCTCGCCCACCGCTTCGCTGTTCGCACCGCCGATCCCCGTGGCCAGGCCGTAATGCATTTGATTTCGTTGAGACTTTTGCTGTTCTGGGACTCAATTTAATGATAATGAATGGGTTCTCGCTCTGTCAAAGTATTGTATGCCTGTATACTTCTGCTGTTGTTTAATTTCCGAGTACAGAACCATCAGTCCAACCTTTTCCAATTACGCATGGAAATGAGAGGTTATATTCCCGAAAAGGTTCACTGACGCGCTGGACAGATGATACAATTCATCGAATATGCTGGAACACCATTACAGCCTGGCCACGGGACATTCGCCGATACGAATATTCGCGCGGTGCGAACGGCGAAGCGTCTAGCGACTAAAATAAGCGCATAGAAATGTACCTAACAGCCTGGCCACGGGACATTCGCCGATACGAATATTCGCGCGGTGCGAACGGCGAAGCGTCTAGCGACTAAAATAAGCGCATAGAAATGTACCTAACAAGCCACGCGCACCGGCGACCGGCGAAGCGACCGGCGAAATGTACCGAGCGAATCGCGCGATGCGGCGGGCGAGCAAAACAAATGCATGAATACGGACGGCGCNACAGCCTGGCCACGGGACATTCGCCGATACGAATATTCGCGCGGTGCGAACGGCGAAGCGTCTAGCGACTAAAATAAGCGCATAGAAATGTACCTAACAAGCCACGCGCACCGGCGACCGGCGAAGCGACCGGCGAAATGTACCGAGCGAATCGCGCGATGCGGCGGGCGAGCAAAACAAATGCATGAATACGGACGGCGCTAGCCACGGAGTCGAGCGATAGTCGCGGCGAATAGTACAGTGATTAAATGAGTTTAGTTGTTTTCGCCGCGAAAAATTAACGCCGAAATTTTTATATTTTTATATTTTTTATTTATTTTTTATTTTTTATTTTTAAAGTCGTCGTGGCCTAACGGACGTCCGGCGCAATCGTGTTGAGCGATGCACCGGTGTTCGAATATCAGGTGGATACCAATTTTTGTAATGAAATACGTACTGAACAAATGTTCACGATTGATTTCCACGGTGAAGGAATAACATCGTATAATAAAAATGAAACCCTCAAAATTATAATTTGCGTAATTACTGGTGGTAGGACCTCTTGTGAGTCCGCGCGGGTGGGTACCACCACTCTGCCGTGAAGTAGTAATGCGTTTCGGTTTGAAGGGTGGGGCAGCCATTGTAACTATACTTGAGACCTTAGAACTCATATCTCAAGGTGGGTGGCGCATTTACGTTGTGGATGTCTATGGGCTTCAGTAACCACTTAACACAAGGTGGGCTGTGAGCTCATCCACCCATCTAAGCAATAAAAAATATATATAGTTGAAATACTAGCTAGACCAGCTATTTGGAAGTCTAGCCAACCAAAGTATTGCTCGTACTTCTTGTGGAATTCTCCATCTATAGGTATACTCCGATTCTTATTCAAATCATGTACTTCACAATCTTTTCCAAATAATAGGTCCTGAACCAAAAAACTATTAATTTGTAAACAATATCGAGATAATTTCGATATAGAAATTTCGCTGTCGGACTTCCTTACTAGTCGCGGCGGCGAACGTGAGTACCCGTAGCCTGCAAACGGTGCTGCGCGAATGGTCGCTTCATCCATCGCTTCGTCGTTCGCACCGCCGATCCCCGTGGCCAGGCCGTTGGCGGGGTAGTAAGATAGTGCACCGACAAACACAGTATGGGGCGCTCTCCAGCCAGACAGAATGACTAATTACGAAAGGCAATAAGCATAAACAGATAATAAAAAGATATTTGCCGAGGATAAACGATGATGGTAAAAGGCAAAAATTATCGTAATGAAAAATGAATGAATGAATAAGCAGAAAATAATGACAAATGCAAGAAAGCGTTAGAAAATTTTAGTTAATAGAAAATTAATAGTTTATAGATTAATTTTATAGATTTAAATAGATTTTATTTTTCTTTATTACGTAGGTAGCACAGCGTAAGCGACCACTTTCTGTTTTTATTGTTTAATGTTTTTAATATTTTTGTTGACATTCAACTTTGTTTATTAGTTTACTGAGATAATGTTTTATTTATGAGGAAAAGTTTGACATTCAACGAGTAGGTGTGTTATTAGGTGCGCGACGACCCAGTCGCGTTCGCGGAGGAGACCCGGCTGCACGGCGAATATCGCGCTGCGAAGGACGCCCTGCGGCTGGCCATCAGGCGGGCCAAAAAGCAGAACATACAGAGACTCTTGGAGGCGCTCCAAGCGCATCAATGGAGGAGCCCGTACAGGCTGGTGCGCGGCAAGCTGTGCCCGTGCCCCCCTTATGACTGAGCGTCTTCAGCCTCAACAGCTGAGAGACATCCTTTCGGCGTTGTTTCCGCAGGAGCGCAAGGTTTTGTCCACCCGCTATGGGTGAGCCGTCGGACGTCACCGATGGCCGAGCCCCTGCTGAGGTGCTCTGTATTACCAGGGCAGAGCTCAGTGTGGCCGTTGACAGAATGCAAAGGACACGGCTCCCGGCCCGGAAGGAAACCACGGCCGGGTACTGGCTTTGGCCCTCGGTGCCCTGGGGGATCGGATCCTAGATGTATATAATGGCTACCTAGAGCCGAGACGGTTTCCGGGACGGGCTCTGGCGGATGGGCAGACTCGTGTTGTTGAGAACGGAAGATACAGCCGCCGGGTATCGTCCTATCGTACAGCTGGAGAGGCGGGAAAATTGCTGGAACGTATCCTGGCTGCCCACATAGTTCAGCATCTGGTTGGGGTTGGACCTGACCTGTCGGCGGAGCAGTATGGCTTCCGGGAGGACTGTTCGACCGTGGATACGATTCTTCGCGTGCGGGCTCTCTCGGACGAGGCCGTCTCACAGGGCGGGGTGGCGCTGGCGTTGTCTCTTGTACCAACGTATTTAGCACCCTGCCCTGGACTTTGATAGGAGGGGAACTGGAGAGGCATGAAATGCCCCTCTACTTCCGCCGGCTGGTTGGTTCCTACTTGGAGGCCAGGTCGGTCGAATTTACTGGGCACGGTGGAACCCTTCACCGGTTTCCGGTCGTGCGTGGTGTACCGCAGGGGTCGGTTCTCGGCCCCCTATATTGGAATATCGGGTACGACTGCGTGTTGTGGGACGCCCTCCTCCTGAGCCTCTGCGTTATATGTTACGCAGACCACACCTTGCTCGTGGCTCGGAGAGATGATTATAGGGAATCTGCCCGTCTCGCCACAGCGGGAGTGGCCCTCGTTGTCGGGAGTATAAAGAGGCTGGGTCTCGACGTGGTGCTCAGTAAATCCGAGGCCCTGTGGTTTCACGGGCCGTGGAGAGCGCCACTTGTCGACGCCCATATCGTGATTGGAGGTGTCCGGATAGGGGTCGGGGTGCATTTGAGGTACCTCGGCCTCGTGTGGGCTTTTCGCCCTCACTTTACGGGGCTGGCCCCCCAATTGATGACGACGGCCGGCTCCCGAATATTGGGGGGCCAGATCAGGTTGATGGCCTTGTACGGTGCGCTTGTATGGGCTGAGCCGCGCGATCGGGCTGCTATGGCCCGGTTCCTGCGCCGGCTGCAGCGCACCCTTGCCGTCAGGGTCATTAGCGGATATCGCTCCATCTCCTTCGAGGCGGCGTGTGTGTTGGCGGGGACGCTGCCATGGGAGCCGGAGGCGTAGTCGCTCGCTGCCGATTATATTGGCGCAGTGAGCTTCGTGCTCTGGGCGTGGCGCGTCTCCCCAAAAGTGAGCTGCGGTCGCGGAAGGCCCATTATCGGTGGCGCCCCATGCTCGAGTCGGCGGGTGGGGATCCGGGGATTTTCAACAGAACAAAAAAAAGCTANGGCGTGTGTGTTGGCGGGGACGCTGCCATGGGAGCCGGAGGCGTAGTCGCTCGCTGCCGATTATATTGGCGCAGTGAGCTTCGTGCTCTGGGCGTGGCGCGTCTCCCCAAAAGTGAGCTGCGGTCGCGGAAGGCCCATTATCGGTGGCGCCCCATGCTCGAGTCGGCGGGTGGGGATCCGGGGATTTTCAACAGAACAAAAAAAAGCTATGTTATCAAGACTAACACTTCTAATAAATTAATATTTGTTTTTTTTGTCATACCGCTTAACTGATTACAGTCAAACTTTATCAAGCTATTACTTGCACTCGCACAAAGGTTGTAGGTAAATAGTATTGATATAGTATATAGTACTGATTAGTTAGCGCACGTATGTATAGTTTTCAACAAATGCGTGTAATTTGAAATAACTTTAGTTACTTTGGTAGGACAGAAAAAAAACTCAAAGATATACACATAATAAATGCAAATAACGTTTTTGAGGGTGCAAATTTTTATTATAGATTCTTCTCTTTTGTTCACTGGTCGCAAACGCTCGGCTTACCGTCGCTCAGCAGTACGGTCCACTCCAACACGTTGTGGATTCGCATGTGCGGATTCTCATTTTTAACTGAAAGAACGCAAATACACAGATATGTCTTATAAAGTGTTTAAAATTATTAATTGTTTTATCTTATTGTATAAAACTCATCACACAAACGAATATGAAAAAAAAGAAGAAAAAAAAACATCAATTTTGCCTCGGTGGCGCAATAGTTTATGCTTCGGACTTTTTGGCCAAGAGTCGTGGTTTCTACTCCCACATCGGGCAAACCTGAGTGTGACGAACTGGTTTATTTGCCCTTTTTCTGGGTAATTTAATATCTATAATATAATAGGTTGGGGAAAAAGTCTTTTCGCCTTATAGTATGTATGAACTTGTAATAAAATCTCTTTGTAGTAGGTATAGCTATTTGTATCTGGCTAGTTTTGGTATCATTAAAAGCTTGAAGAAGATAATTCCAAATTCAAATCCAAATTCAAATCCATTGGTACTGTCAAGATGAGTGAATCTAATGAAGAAATTCGATACATTTTAAAATTTTATAAATACTAAAAAAAGATAAAAATCCAACGCAAGCCGCGACAAAAATTTGCAATGTTTATGGACCTAGTGCAGTGTCTGTGAGAGTAGCACAAATTTGGTTTAAGCGTTTTCAATCCGGAAATTTTGATGTCAGAGATGCACGTCGCTCTGGTCACCCTATTACGGATAAAATGGATGCATTTTTTGAAAAAGTGGAGCAAGATCGGCATATCAGTAGTTACGACGTAGCTGAAGAACTGGGAATCACAAAACAGTTTTGGCGCATTTGAAAAAATCTGGATACATCAAAAAGCTCGATATTTGGGAACTTCACGAGCTCACTGACAGAAACCTAATGAACCGTGTACTTCTTTGCGATTCTTTATTACGACGTACTGAAACCAAACCATTTTTGAAGAAGCTGATAACTGTTCTGAAAAGTGGATCACGTACGAAAAGAACGTGCGAAAAAGGTCGGGGTCAAAGGCCGTTCAGGCTTCACAGACTGTGGCGAAACCCAGGTTAACTCGCAACAAGGCGATGCTGTGTGTGTCGTGGGATTGGAAGGGCATTATTCATTATGAGCTGATACCACCAGGCAGGACCATCAATTCTGAACTCTACAGCGAACAACTGATGAGATTAAAATGAGATTAATGAACAGAAGGGGTGTGGTTTTTCATCATGATAACGCTAGACCTCACACATCTTTAGCCACTCAGCAAAAATTAAAAGAGCTTGGCTGGAAGGTGTTAATGCATCCTCCGTATAGTCCTGACCTTGCACCTTCAGATTTCCACCTGTTTCGGTCTCTTCAGAGTTCTTTAGGCAGTGAGGGGTTAACATCACGAGAGGACTGCCAAAACCAATTGTCGTGGTATTTTGATCAGAAGCCCCAAAATTTCTATAGTAATGGGATCATATCACTACGTAGTGAAGTCGTCGTGGCCTAAAGGATAAGACGTCCGGTGCATTCGTGTTGAAGCGATGCACCGGTGTTCGAATCCCGCAGGCGGGTACCAATTTTTCTAATGAAATATGTACTCAACAAATGTTCACGATTGACTTCCACGGTGAAGGAATAACATCGTGTAATAAAAATCAAACCCGCAAAATTATAATTTGCGTAATTACTNTCTAATGAAATATGTACTCAACAAATGTTCACGATTGACTTCCACGGTGAAGGAATAACATCGTGTAATAAAAATCAAACCCGCAAAATTATAATTTGCGTAATTACTGGTGGTAGGACCACTTGTGAGTCCGCGCGGATAGGTACCACCGCCCTGCTTATTTCTGCCGTGAAGCAGTAATGCGTTTCGGTTTGAAGGGTGGGGTAGTCGTTGTAACTATACTGAGACTTTAGAACTTGTATCTCAAGGTGGGTGGCGCGTCTACGTTGTAGATGTCTATGGGCTCCAGTAACCACTTAACATCAGGTGGGCTGTGAGCTCGTCCACCCATCTAAGCAATAAAAAAAAAAAAAAACCTACAAGATGGCCAAAACTTATCGAACAAAATGGCACCTACATACTTTAGTTAAATGTAAATAAACTATTGTTAGAAATCAGAAGTGAAAGAGGTTTTTTTTAAAAATAAGAAAATGATACTCTAAGGATGATTTACCAGAACGAAAAACAATTACGACAATCAGGAATCAATCAATCACGACACCACAATAATTAGCACCAGACCACACGTCCGTTGCATCCGAGCGCCCGCAGCCAAGTGACCGACGATCTAAACCGGCCGGCTAGCCTGGCGCGATGACGTGACTCTCCCCCCACCGCCTGACGTCACTGAGTAGAGGGGCCGGGTAGTGACAAATTCTCTAAGACGGCCTCTCCTGACAGCTGAACGGCCTCGTCAGCTTGGTTCCCCTCAGGCTGGTCTCCCTGGACCACCCCAACCTGGTCTTCCTGCTCCTCTTCAACACGATCACCATGGGACTCATTCTCATTGGATAAGTGCCCATCGTATTCATCGTCATCTAAAACAGAAAACTCTTAGTAAGCTGCTCAATGTTTGTTCTTGCTATTATTAGTAGTCACCCACTCCAACCAGACCACAAGTGTGCACTTCAAGTGATCGTATCAGAATAGGCGGCCACCAATATCCGTATACGTTAGGCACATACGGTATAGAAAAACGCTTAAAGTTAATTGTTTCGCCAATGAATGAGTCCGGATTCTCAGACACTGAGTAAACAATCACTTGCGTCATTGTCAATTGCCAAATGCCAACAAACATTGAAACATAACCGTTAGCATTACCATCCAATAACCACTATCGGGGTTTTTAGAGGGCAATATCAACTACGAAGCGTTGCCACAATGTCGGGGCACAGCCACAATGTCGGGGCAGAACAACAGCCACAATGTCGGGGCATTGCCACAATGTCGGGGCAGAACAATAGCCACAATGTCGGGGCATTGCCACAATGGCGGGGCATTGCCACAATGTCGGGGCAAAACAACAGCCACAATGTCGGGGCATTGCCACAATGTCGGGGCAAAACAACAGCCACAATGTCGGGTGCGACTAACGCCGGGTGCTGATCAGTAGGGGCGCCACCAGCAGGCACACCCACCAAGCAGCGGATCAGCGAGACGCCTCTGCGCGCCTCGGCCGGCACGCACCACCACTGCATCTGGAGACCACTTGCCACGCCAGGGCACCATGTGCAGTGCCGCAGCCTGCGTTGTCTTCCCGTAGTCCCCACTGAAATCATTGAACAGAGGCATCCCGCTCGGCCATACTGACCGGATCGTAGTAAACCGAAAAACTGAACCATAACAATCATTGACAACACAAGGTCAAAACACAATAATCAGAAACTATAACAACTCATATCGTATAAAACGTTCTTGGCCTGGCTGTCTGCGCAGCTAGTGTCATTTATGCCACCCATATTATCATTACTACAAATGATAAAACCAATACACATCACTTCACAATATAGAGTCAGCGACTCTCAGGTCATTACTAGACCAACACAACAATAGTCTCCTTTGAGACCAAGGTATCCGCTATACCACCAGTTATTGTTAAAGTCACCGTAAGACTTTTAAACATAGTCGCCTTGGGGAAGGATTGGTAAGATATTGAATTTAAACGCCCGATGGCGAGCTTTAGTCCAGGGCTCATATTATTCTCATTATAATTTAGTCTTATGATCTTTGGGCTCCGCGAGTCGTGGACATAACTAAAGCTACTTTTACGGTTTAATCTCGCGTTGTTTTCGTTTCTCGCCAAAGAACTGTAAGGTATACGAAACATAGGAAAATATTACAATGACAATAAGCGAGATAAAAGTAATTGTAATTTAATATACTTCGTTTTAGATCAAACCTTGTATTCGAACATATTGCTTAGTGGGTATATCAGCTGGTCTCCATTTCGGTCGTCCGAGGCCGAAGTGTGTTGTCGATGCTATCCCTTTTTCATACTCCTGGGAAAATAACACCCTTTAACGTAGTTCTGTCTCGCTTGAGATGCGCTTTGAGATGAGAGCGAGAGCGAAGAGTGTAATTGATTGAACTCTGACCCGTTCCACTACAATGCGTTTTAAAAACAGTTTTTTGCCACGCACAGTAAATCTCTGGAATTCGTTGCCATCAGCGGTCTTCCCCAACAACTGCGACATTGGGTTATTCAAGAAAAGAGCATATTCTTACCTGAAGGGTAGGCAACGCACTGGCGTAAACGCTGGTGACCGTGGGCGGCGGTGAATCACTTACCATCAGGTGACCCGTCTTGCTCGTTTGCCTCTTAGATGTTATAAAAAAAAAATAAAAAATAAAAAAAAAAAACCAAACTACTAAACGGAATTTTAGAATTCGCCAATTTTCTCTTAACCAAAACTGTAACGTATGATTGCTTCGTGACAGAAATAGGTAGGAGAACTGTACTAATACAATATGCCAGGCCAGTAATTTCAAACTTTACAATTTTGCGCACTTCATTTTGTTCCACTCTACTATATCTTTATGTAGACGGACGTTGTCAAGGTTGGCTATGCCTCTAGCATTGTTGATATCTGTGAGCGACACCATCGCGTGCACAATACAGCGGCAATAAGAAAAACACATGTTAGATATGTATTTATTTAGAAAAACTGGTGCCCGCCCGTAGGATTTGAATCCAGACGTAAGTAGTCGCTTTTTTTCGATACAAGTATACCGAGCGTCTAACACGCTAGGCCTGTATTGGTAGACTTGATAGGATTTTTCCTAAGCTAATTGTAACGGCCAGAAGCATATATTCCAGAACATTTTTTTATTGCTTAAGTACATGACCGGAACCCATAGATATCGACAACGTAAATTATGTCATCCACATTTTTTTTTTTTTTTATTGCCTTTGTAGGCAGCAATGCCAGGGGCAGAGCCAAGCCGCTGCCTACCGCTTAACACTCTCCACAAGCCTTGTTTGAAGAAGGACATGTCATAGCGCTCGGGAAACACCGTGGAGGGGAGCTCATTCCATAGCCGGATGGTACGTGGCAAAAAAGATCTCTGGAAACGCACTGTGGATGACCGCAGTGGCTCCAGGTAGTATGGATGAACTCTACTCCGGTGGCGGGCGGTGCCATGGTAAAAACGAGATGCTGGTATCATCTCGAACAATTCCTCAGAGCACTCCCCATGGAACATACGGTACAAAATACAGAGGGAACCGAAGTCCCTCCGCAGACCCAGAGGCTCCAATTGAGACATGAGTCTCAGTATTACAGTATAACGGGCTCCAAAAATATATTTATGCAAAAACTTCCATCATTTATGTATACTGATACATTAGAGCAAGCATTCTTTTGTCGGTGTTGTTAAGTTTTTTGTGCAACAACCTATAATTATTGTAGGTATTGTAGGTATACGACAAAGGGAAGATCTTCCACCGAGCGGGTGATATTTGCTCGGTAGACCGACGGTCCTAATGTTGTTGTTCGGAATTTGTATATATGCGCTTTATCTTGAAAATGTCGTAAGCGAGATTCAGGCATCTGTCAATTATCTTGCGTTGTATGATGGCTACCCGCCACAGTATATTGTTTTATTACTAATATATTCTTTTTAAATTGTCAATTGAAATTAATACTGCTATTACTTGATTCCAAATATTCCTTCTGATGATCTTCGGCTCTTGTCGATCAGATCTTGCCGAGTTTGGATTATAATCTGGTGGGTGGTAGAGCATATCGTAAGCGCACAGCGGAGCTACGACTGGTTTCCATTTCGTGTTGAAAAAAGTATCTTTGGAGACGGGTATAATTATTTCAGTTCTCATATAATCAGGCAGAACTGTTGCCATTTTAAAATTTAACACTTATTAAGAGTACATAATTATCGTGTTCTATACGTGAATATTATTGACATTTTGAAATTCATTCCGGAACTGAAAATAATTTTACACGCCTTATTGAATATGTGTTTGGTTTTATTTTATGATGTAAATGATAACGTGTCATTGTTTGCATGTTGACTTTTCCTGCTTCAAAAATTCGGTTTGTTTCTATATAAAACCTTTTTATTATGTGATTAAATTTAGTTCACAGATAATGAAACATCCTTTTAAATTGGTAAAAGCAAAACAGTATTGTAACTGTTAGTAAACGATTTTCTTTTATTTATTTTTTTGCTAATATTTGGCGATTTAGTAATGTTTTAATATAATAATGAAAATATTTGAAAATAGTCCTGAATCCTGCTTTCTCCTATTTGTCAATCGATTTTAAGCTTATTTATACCTATTGATGAGATCTTAGTTTATTAGATATTTTATTTTTTATTGCCTAGATGTGTGGACGAGCTCACAGCCCACCTGGTGTTAAGTGGTTACTGGAACCCGTAACATCTACAAAGTAAATGCGCCACACACCTTGAGATATAAGTTCTAAGGTCTCAGTTTAGTTACAACGGCTGCCCCACCCTTCAAACCGAAACGCATTACTGCTTCACGGCATAAATAGGCGGGGCGGTGGTACCTACCCGTGCGGACTCACAAGAGGTCCTACCACCAGTGATTACGCAAATTATAATTTTGTGGGTTTGATTTTTATTACACGATGTTATTCCTTCACCGTGGAAGTCAATCGTGGACAATTGTTAAGTACGTATTTCATTAGAAAAATTGGTACCCGCCTGCGGGATTCGAACACCGTAGCATCGCTATATACGAATGCACCGGACGTGTTATCCTTTAGGCCACGACGACTTATTTAAAACTAGATTTATTAAAGTATCGAAATTTTAATAGCAATAACAAAATAAAATGGATCACATATTTGGTTCTTTGTTGTAGTACCTAGTCGTGCTACGTACACACGTGTCGACGTTTAAACAACTCGAGCAAACATTTCCCAACTTGTATTTAATGTAAATTAACAATATTAAAAAATTTGCAATGTATAAAAATGATAATTAAAATTTAGTCGTTTACATCTTTTAATTTTTGGCGGGCTTCTTTTTATTTTTTAAGGTTTTTTATGACCTATTAACTAAGACCTTAGGTCATGTCTAATTTTAATATATCTTCTTATTTTTATGAAAAATGATATTATGGAGTGAAATGAAATGAAGTGAAGATGATTAATTTGAGACATTATTCAACTGGGATGCAATTAAATGAGATGATATGGGATGACATATAATCTCAGTAAAATGGTGGTCATTTACTGAGATTTTTCAGGTTTTTTCGGTTTGTGGTCGAGTGCTTGAAGCAAGTGTTTTGGTTATTTATATAATTTTCGGATGTTTTATTGGGTTCTATTCCCTGTTGATTAGCTAATTATTAGTTTTGTGTGTTTATATAAGTGTGTTGTCTTATTTGCAAGTATTATAATGTAGTAGTTAGTGTAAATAGTGTAATTATGAACGGCGTTAACCCCCCCCCGATCCCGGGGGAGATAATATCCTTGATCCATCTAGCTCTCCAATCCCAATGGACACGGAGGTAATCCATCCTTCTAGAAAAAGACAAACTCCTCCGAATTCTGATCATTCCTCTTTACCACAAAGAAAAATACAGTCGCGCAAGTAATCGGATCTGTTCAGTCTGTGTATACCTTACCAGAATATGAGGGTAACAGAAAACGATATTTGGATCAGGATGTTGCTCCTTTTTTGATCCATGTAAGCAAAGATTGCGAGTCTTCGGCTAGTGCTACACTACGCCCAATTAAATTTGGTCACTTTTTACACCACAACAATATCAAGGACGTTGCTAAAGACGGCGTTAAACGTATCGGAAGAAACCGAGTCTCAGTACAATTTAAAACTGCTGTTGCCGCAAATTCTTTCCTAAATCACCCAGGTCTTGCCGCAGCTAAATACAATGCCATACCTTCTTATAATGTGACTCGCATGGGTATTGTAAGAGGCGTCCCCGTAGAGTGGAGCTTAGAAGAATTAGTTTCTTCTATTGAAATTCCTGATGGTTTTGGACGTGTCATCAGATCCCGATGGCTCAATAAAAAATCAACTGAAAACAACACTCCTATTTGGACTCCAACTCCGACAGTTGTTCTTACATTTATTGGCCAAAAGCTTCCTGATAGGGTTTACTGCTTTTTTAATTCCCTCCCAGTTCAGACATATATTTTACCAACTATTCAATGTAATAATTGCTGCAGGTTTGGACATGTTCCTACGCAATGCCAGTCAAATGCGCGTTGTTTTATCTGTGCGAAATCTCACTCTGGGAGTGACTGTAATAGTTTATCTCCTATACCTACCTGTTTGTTTTGCTCTGGTAACCATAAAGCCATTGATACCTCTTACCCTGAATATTCTAGACAGAAATCTATCAAACTGGTGATGTCACAAGAAAATATTTCATACAATGAAGCATCAGTCAGGTTTCCACAAGTTAGAAGATCTTGTGCAGATATTTCTCGTACGCCTCCCCCCCTGTTTCCCACTCAATCTTCCCAACCCCTTCCTAACCCAATCCTTTCCCCATACCCAAGCCATATCCAATTTAGTCTCGTACCGTCGCATTTACTGTACCCAAAAATCCCCTCCAGCTCCGGCATCCAGGCCAGGTTATAATAGGCAAGCTCATCAAGCTATCGTTAGTACTCTCCCTTCTACTCTCCCTAATGGGAGTGCCTATCCTTCAGATGATGTATCTCCCAATGACAATCTCCTGGAACTCTTACTTTCTACAATTTTCAATATATTTTCCCGTTTTGGGGACTTTGAACTACCGAACAATGTCATATTTAAACGTACTGAGCTTAATAAAATTATTAAAAATGCCCAAATTCCTACAATGGAATTGTCACAGCATTCGTCACAAGAAGAATTATATCATCACTCTTAATAAATACAAACCTTCTATCTTTGCTGTCCAGGAAACATGGCTTAAGCCCGGATCCAACTTTAGGATCCCGGGTTTCTCATGTCTCCGGAACGATAGGTCAGATGGTTATGCTGGTTCTGCTATTTTAGTATCTAAAAATGTGATATTTAAACAAATCTCCCTTCCTTCCCACAGTAATAGCGTTTATGCTGTGGCTGTTAGAGTTAATAATATTTATTTCCTCTCCATCTACATCCCTGACCCTAACTTAGCTATTCTCTTTGAATTAAAAACTATTATTACAAGTCTTCCTCCACCTATCCTTATCCTTGGTGATTTTAATATTCACCATACATCTTGGGGTTGTTATTACTGTGATTTTATTTTTTTTCCTTTTCTTGATCTCTGTGATGAACTAGATTTGTGTTTACTGAATGACGGGTCCCCTACTCGCAGAGTTCCTCCATCTCAGAATCCAAAGACTGCTGTGGACCTTTCCATAACTTTTCCTTCCTTGGCTTCTAGTCTCTCCTGGTCTGTCCATTCTTCCACTCACGGTAGTGATCACTTTACTATCATTCTGTTAATTCCTGATTCCCTTAATTCTATTCCTACTGCTTCCCTTCCACCTCTCTTAAAATTTAATATTCACAGAGCTGATTGGTCTCAATTCAGATCTCATTTAGATCAAGAAATAATGAATATTCCTTTGATTAACTCTGTCAATGTCCTTTCTTCTTACGTATGTTTCAGAAACGCTCTTCTTTCTTCTGCTGCTAATTCTATACCTCTCAAAAAGACTGATAGATGTAAAATCCCTTCTCCCCCGTGGTGGGATTCGGAGTGCACTGAAGCTTGCCAGAACAGATCAGAGGCAGACGATGCTTATTCGTTTGCTATGAGTTCGGAAAATTTCATCTCTTACCAGAGAATTGCTGCCAAGACTGTAAGAATTTTATCAGAAAAGAAAAGATCTGGTTGATTGCGTTGTTGCGAGGAGCTTTCTCCTATTACTCTCTCTTCTAAAGTCTGGAAGAATATGAGACGATATCACTGCTCTGTTCCTGCTCTTGTCATCTCATCTAACAATCCTTCTAACTGGATTGAACATTTTTCTTGTAGGTTAGCCCCTCCTTCTGTACCTTGCTTGGAAGAAACTTTTCCCTCCGCTTTATCCTCTAACTCTACTAATGATTTTGAGTCTTCTTTTTCTGAGATGTCTGAGATTAATCTGTGGGGCTATGAAATCGTCACCTATTAATGCTCTTCAGGTAGAATGCGGCGATGCTCCCTTATTCCTCAGAAGACAATACTTATCTAACCGGTTCCTTTTTAAAGTCGTTCAATCTCCTTATCATCCTCTTATCTCTAAACTCCATATCCTTTCTGATTTTATCTCTTCTAATAAATATTGGTACCACAAGGATTATCCCTGCCTTTCCAATAGTTTTGTCAGCTATCTCTGCCTTCCTTGTCCTGTATTTCAGTATCAAAAATTTCCTCTTTTCGACATCTCTTTTAAGGCTCTTATCTTTCAGCCTCAAGTTCCTTTAGATCTCGGCATAGAAAAAAAATGTAATTCTGCAAATTCCCAGTTAAATAGATACATCGCCAAGCATTGGTCCGATTGGCTCATCATTTACACCGATGCTTCTAAGTTGTCAGACCAGGGTTGTGTTGGCTCCGCTGTCTGGATTACCAAATAAAATGTGATTCTCAATTTTAAATGCCCCCCTCAAGCTTCAGTCTTCTCTGGTGAGTCCATAGCTATTCTGGAAGCATTATCATTCATTGAGTCCCATAAACTAAATAAATATGTAATTGTTACTGATTCTAAGAGTTGTTTACAGGCTATCGTTGCTAACTAATTCAAATCAAAATCTAAATTCCTTATATACTAAAAATTCAAAATTTACTTTTCAGCTGCCATTCTAAAAACATCGAAGTTGTCCTTGCTTGGTTGCCTGGCCACAGTGGCATTTTAGGTAATGAAACTGCAAATCTTTGTGCCAAAGACGCCACAACAACTGGCTGTATGGATCATTACAGAGTTTATTCTAATGATTTACTC